CATCCAAAAAATATCCATAATAATCCGTTTCATTACAAACCGGTTGTGAGACTATCAGCATATCGCCATAAGATCCAAACGTTGGACACTAGGAAGCTATCAAATTGTAATAACAGCAATCTTAGCCACTGCAAAATACATTTTGTGGTAAAAGCTGCATTGCTAAGGATAGGGGTAACACATTGACATGGACCTCAGCATTTCACAAGGTTGGCTATCATTAGAATTGTTAAGAATCTACTGTGGTCTATAAAAGGAAGAGTACTTATTCATATAGCAAAACCACAATCAGTTAGTAAGTCAAATGGTAGGTAATAATAAGTATAATACAATGAATAAATAAAGTTTCATGACATTGGCAACATTCTATATGGGAAAAGGCAGAATCAAAACACCTCAAAACACATTGTTTGGAAACTAGCCTTGGAATGTGGTCTGACACACTCTACAAAGAATTTGACACTGAAAACCCAGCTGAAAAGGTAGGTATTAAATAGCCTTGAGCCTGACTTTGGTCCTAAAATGAAAGGAAGATAAGTTAAACCGGCATTTTGTCGGACGACGGTGAAAACAGGGCGCCTGGGGCGATTTGATCAAGGTTCGTAAAATTTACACGTGACGTTTAGCATGCAGAAGGCCCACGAAAGGGGAGAAGCTCCAAATGTCACGTGACTAATATGCCCTCCGGCGCCCTGTTTTCACCGGCGTCCATTTTGTCGTATCAACAAGACTGAGACGACACAACACAATACACAGACAAAATTGACGATAGTGGCGCAAAAAAGCAAGCAAGGATTGATTTTTTTAAGATCCGCTCTCTCTTTATGAAATAGGCGAGCTGATGACGTAATATTGATTCGTTTACCCTTTAAGTTGAATTTCTGATCAGAAAATATTTTTTGGCGTCATTTACACTGAAAATGTTGATACATCAGAATTTAATATCGTCTTGGATCGTTTTTATTTCTAAAAAAGATCATCCACGAGGCATTGCACCAAGTTTAAAACTTTTTTTTGCAGCGTTTTATTCAGCTGGTTAAAAGCATCTGTTATTGCGCATGTGTTTCTAACCTTGCGCAGTGTTTATTGCTGTCTGGAAGATTGAAAAATTCGAGAACGCATTATCGTTTTTATACATATTATATGGGGACTGTTCTCAGGACAAGTGAGTTATTAACACATTTTTTTACATGATTCGTATCTTATTCAGGAACCAGCGAGCCATGGTGGATATGATGCCATGGCGGTTGTTCTTGCTTCCTCGGTTAGGAACATGTGTGAGTCTGCAGATTTTATGTTGTGACCATCTATATTTAAAAATTTGGTTGGTGCTGCCATATACCTTACAGACTATCATGGCTCACAAAGGTATGCTTATAAATCTCATGTAAATCAATTAATACTTCTGCTGCAGTGCCTAACAAGTTAAGTTACCTAATTCTTAACATGAATATTGAATGCTACAATTTTATCCGTTCTGATCCGTGTTCAACATTCAATTCCCAAATCCGGCCCGCCCAGATCCGTTCTATTTTTCCAAATTTGGGATCCAATCCTATCCGGTCCACGGATTTATCCGTGGATAACGGATTTATCCGGCCCATGAAGTGCTCTACTGTCCCCCCCCCGTCCCCCCCGGTGGCGCCGCCCATGGGCCCATGTCACTCCACTTTTGATGACATCATAAGGGGGCCTCAAGACAATAATGGCGTGGTGCGCCACAATCGCTTCCAAGCTTCTTGCCAACACTTGCCATTTTTGAAAATATAATTTTGAAATAAAGTTACAAATAATAAAAATATTGTAATAAAGTTATTATTCATATCAATACGTTCTCTGAAAACATACTGAAAAGTGATTTACTTATAGTAAAAATATAAGCTCGATGCGTTTCTACGTTGCTTTTCTGCTACTGCAGAGGGTTTTTAACCCGCGCCCCACTGGGGTCTGTGTATAACACGCCCTACTGGGGGGGGGGCTATTCATAGCCCCCCCCCCTCCTAACTCCGAAACTACTGGGCCGATCGTCAAAATTCAAACGGCGTCTGATAGCCCCGGAAAAACTGTCGAGCGAAACCTAATTTCATTGACCTCGAGGTCACCGATGACGTCACAGGTCAGGTCAAAGTAAAAATTATTAGCATTTTGGCTTGTACACATTTTCGGCTCTGGCCGCCGTCTTACAAGTCAGATCAGGCTCATTTTTGGTTTCCACACTCGTGAACAGATGCTCTAGATACCTTGAGGGTACCAAACTTGTACTTTGATTTTCAGGTCAGGGTCAGGTCATCACAGGTCACGAAAATATTATATCATGCGTCGGTCACGTGATACATGTTTTATGGTCCATTTAGGCCATAGATTTCGAATTTGATGTCGTCTGTGTCATTCGAGGTCATTTTGAGTCGAATTTAGCTTAGGTCAGGTCACTTTCAGGTCAAAAAAGGTCAAATTTTGAAGTAAAAATTTTTCAATAAAAAAGGTGTCTATTGGATGCAGTTTGAGCTCAGGAACACGATGGTGTCATTTATATTGGTGTACGATGTCAAATACGTACTGAAAATTTGATTTGAAAAATTAATAATTGTGATTTTTTTGCAATAATGTGTATAACTTGGCCATTTTCGAAGATATTTAGCTAAAACTTGCTAGAGTTAGTCATAATCATGCGTTCTGTCACATATATTCCGGTTTTTTCGAAAAGTCAAAAACTTTTTGAAAAAAATATAAAAATATAAATTTTGAATATTATTATATAAAATTTTCGAAATTTTCAAAATTTTGAAAATCCGAGATAGCAGTTTGATAGCGCGGTCAATTCTGAGTCCTTTTATGCAAAGAAATTGGATCTAGCTTAAAAGCTGAGCTCTTGGGAGCGATTGCCGTGGTTCAATGTTTTGCGTCGAAATCGGACGAACATGACGTCACTCTGACGTCATTTCCGGCCGACTTATGGTAGCTACGAAGTTCAAATTTTGACACAAGGTGTCAAATTGATGCAGCCGAAGGTACTGAAAGTTTGGCGTCGCTCCGTCAAGCTGTTTGGAAGTTATTGCAGAAAAACGGGAGGGGGGCTATAAATAGCCCCCCCCCCCCCAGTGGGGCGCGGGTTAAATCGCCTATATCTTCAACACCGGCCATTTCTTAGCATATTGCTGCTCTTTTTTGTCGCTAGAAAATTAGTTGGTCTTTCGATTGACATCAACGGTTGAGCAATATGTGAAAAGCACCATCAATAATCTTCAAATGAAGTTTGTCATTTTTAGTTGTTAAGGAATGGAGCACCCCTTGCGAGCATCAGGGATGACGTCACTCAGGATCTGTCTCTGATTGGTCGCCGGGGGAGTGACTGTACCTTCTATATATGGCCTTGGGTAAAAGTATGTTTATAGTCAATAGGTATTTAATAGACCAATGGATAACGATTGCATTAAATAGGTAATGGTTTTTTGGATTTTGACCGTTTTATTCTTCACCAAGCACATAAATACTTAACAGACGATTCGTCCCTGCATTGGTTCTTACTACCTTCTTGAACATCAATTTGACGAACCTATGGAAACTTGCGTTGTGACTCATGTCATGACGGTTATGTACGTTTTAGTTGCATTTGGTCACCGGCATGTGTATAAATTATCTGGCCTAAATACGTACCCTCCTTTCAATAGCAGCCAGATGCTTTGGCATAAGGTTACTTAAAAAAGTTATTTTTGTAACAATGAAGAAAGAAAAATTCGCTCACCATGTTAACACTAAAAACAATTATATCGTGACATGAAATTTCTTTTTTACTCTATGCTTCTTCAGACAATCACTAAAAGAAGAAGAAAAAAACATACCACATCACCAAAACACACAATACCAAATATGATAATGCAAAAAATTGTGAGTCGTGTGCTGTATTATGGTGGGAGCTGTGTATTTTTCCAAACTGAGAAAAACAATCCCCAGAATTTCTAAGGGCATACGAAGCGCAGCTCTGGCGGGACAGAAGATGGCAGCACCATCGCAAAGGCCATCCGTGTCTTGGCAGCAAAGAAGGTAATGGCAACGTTCATCACAATGCTTTAGGTCCTACTCGATTTATGTTATGGTTGAAACGGGAACGTTTACTGGTAATTATTGTTAATATTCGCCCAGTCCCCCTCCCACGCATAGTGTCTGACATGATGTCGCACAAACAGTCAAATGGCCTGCAATATGGCATTTGCGGATCCAAATTTGTTTCAGGGACTAGCCAAAACACATTTTCAATCATCAAGGTGCCAATACTAGTCACCTCAATCTCAATTTGACGTTATACGCATAAAGGTAACAGAAAGGTCATTAAGACGAGCTTCTAGTATCCTAAAGCGCTGGAAGAACTGGAACAGCTAATTTAATCGTTAAAAACATTTTATCGTACAAAAAGCCTCCTGCTTACGAATTACGTCCTCCCATTGCAGGTTTTTGTGAATTACGATGTTGAGACGCCTTATGATAATCTGTATCGCACATGTGAAAACTGCAGTTCTATAACATCAAGGTCAGGTCACCATGTATGTGTCATCATGTGACCTCAAGCAGACGCCTTCGGAATAAGTTTCGCCATCTGGTGGCCTGTCTGGCAGGTTTCAGTGTCTGCTGACGTTCAGAGGGCGCTGACAGCAGACCCGACCACCGTCCCTGGCTAGCTGATGCTGAATAAATACGACATTTCCCCAGGTTTAGGCCTAAGCCAATCGCACTCCCCTCGATGCAATGCTCAATGGTGCCGCTTGTAAAAGTTTTGGCGATTGCAATCAATAGGAAGGCATCGTGAACGTACCTTTGTACAGTTCTAATCCATCTATAATATTTGAGGACTTTTTTTGTGATTTAGGCAACATTAGCACGAATTACGATGAAAAAGGGGTTGTTTTAATCGACATGTAGCTCGTTATCCACTCAGTTCTCCTCGATTTTTTCATACTCAATATTATGCAAAAGACTGAGATATCATTAGACAAAAGACAAAGATAAATATGTGATAGGTATATTTTGTTTTCTTCACAGAGAATACCTACCAGGATTCCCGAGGATGAATACAGGCAATCTAAAAAATTGTTGTGCCTCAATGGACGTTCACTGTTCAGTCCAATCCGGGAGCAGAGGTCAGTCGGAGACAGTGGATTATCATTTTTTAGACATAACGCTACCTGAAGTTACCTGAAGCTGGCTGGAGCACAGGCGTGTCTATCCCTAGCCCGTTGAGGTCAGATGTCACAGTACATGTGTATACAGTTGTGCCCCCTGCTGGCGAGGCTTCCGACGCGATCGATCGGTGGTAGAATCAGCCCGCCAGGAGCGGTCAGGAGGTGTCACACAGAGAGCACGACCACAGCAGCAGAACGCCGGCTGTCAGCAGCACTGGGTGAGATGATAGAGGTGGTGCTGAAAAGACGGCGGGATGGATGGTAAAAACATGCACACAGAAGTGAATTATTTGGTTCAAACATATGTACAATACATGACAAGATATTGGATGTTTTCTACTACCAAACACTGTGCACGTTGCGGTGATTGTGCTTCATTGCCATTATGACATCAATATTTCTTACTTTTTCCAGTTACCTTTGATCATTTCAGGAAGCATGTTCGATTATTATGGTTAGGACATCCGCTCACTTTAGATATAACACCGAATTAATGCTTCAAAACGGGACGCACAAAAGTATTTGCACCATTATAATGAACACAAAAACTTCAGTCTTCAACCACACTTACCTGATGTATCAGCCATCTTACCACCTGAAAAGTTAAATACCACCATTTAACTTTTGTATAGTGTGGAGTAGGCATATGACGCATTTTAATTAAAAAACTAAAAACTCCAAGTCGAACATTGTTGTTGACAAAACTTAAATATATACCTAAGTAGGAGAACTAAAAAAGCTCCGTTTTCTCACAACATTTTTACCGTCAATAAGAAGCGACCATCCCTCGTACCGGCCGGCCTCGCTGCATTTACCCCACTTTGGCGGCGGCAGCTGCCTGACATCTGTTTTGCCTAACGACACGCTGCCCACGCGGCCATCGCTCCCGTTTACGTCACTGCTGGCGGTAGTGCTGAATCATCAGTGTTCCGCACCCCATATCTCCATCTCCCGCTCCCTGCTCCTCTCCCTCTCTCAGCTCTCTCATCTCCCCCCCCCTCTGCCTCGGCAGTGGCCGGTGGGGATATATAGATCGATGGCAGCATGCGCCTGATGACGCTACCAAGAGGGCCAATAGGCCAGATAAATTCTCTCCAGACAGATAACTCGCGGGGTGTTCATTTGTCATCCCCAGAGCCGAGATCATTAAGCCGGTAGGCAGAGCTGCTTTTTGCCGAATGACAGAGAGGAAATCTTGATATTAGCGACTGCTGCTACCGTGCAGCTTTTTGGCCGACCTTTTTACTTACTATTGCATTGAGACCACAAGCACCACAGGCCATAATAAATATAGCATTACGCTCGATTCCAAAATCAATAGGGCTAGACTCTAGAGCAGAATGCTCGTACATACCTATACAGCACAGTTTTGTTGGAAGTGATGTTTCGTGATTGGAGTTGTTTCTATCAATGATCAAAGCATTCTGTTATTCTTACATATCGTTTTCATGTCCAAAAGCCTTCAACTCTTTTGCATTGTCGATGGCATAATTCTGCGAATAGCTGAATTACACGCCCTGTATGTATACATATTGACTACGCCTAGTACGTAAGGGACGTTTTTACATGCAGGCTCACCTCTGTGATACTTGATAACCCTTTTCAGCGAGTACTGAGTATCTGGTATTGTCATCATACACTCAAATAGGGCGCGCGGGTCGATCTCGCTGTCCAGCAGGTGCACATGAGCGGTCGCGTCGAACACTCCTTCCTCGGTCATACTGGCGACAGATTTCACCTTCTTCAGACGAATCCTGTCGGTTGAAAGAACAATCTTGTAAAAGTAAGCTCCTGTTTTGTTGAACGATGATGCATCAAAGAAGCTTTTGTTTCTCTGGTTCCTAATGCATTGAGGACGCATAAATCAAATAAAGGAATGGCAAGCCCGAAAAAGAAACACATGCAAAACATCGTAAAAGAGCAAGCAAAATGAAGTGTAATCTACCCTCCAGATAATCCGAATCTTCCGGCATATGTCTTGTCAACTGACGATGGGGGCGCTACGGTACAGCCCAACCTACAGGGACTGACAGTGTTGTAGTCCGGAACAGTCTACCTCACAGGCGCTGAAGCATTGCGGTACAGTCTATCTTGCGGTAACGTGCAGTAGCTACATAAGTCTTTGAAGTCGGGCAGTTGGAAGCAGCGCGTATCGTTTGATTTCAAAGGTTGAGGTTAAATAGTCATTGAGGCACAGAATATCTCAACTATATCTACTGGTTCATATAATAAAGATCTGCTGTAGTATAGTTGTCCCGTAGAAACTTGGTGCACTCACTTGTACCGAGCCTACGACATTCATTTTGCAGATCCGGGAACCAAACGTGTAGTCTTTACCCACCCTCTGCTCTGACCTACCTGGTTTGTCGACTCTCCTGTTTCATATAGATATCCAGCCGTGGTACAGGGAAGGCACCTTCAGCTGAGCAGGAGATGTTGATAGAGCTTTCACTGTTTCGTTCCTGTGTCAGATTCATTGCCCTCGCAGGCGCTGCGGACAGGAAAAACTTTTAGTGGCGCCGGAACACACAAAGTATCATTGAGGCACAAAAAAGTCATGTTGTAGCGTTCGAATTGAACCTCATAAGTCCCTGTTTGTGGCCATGTTTTTACTGGTTTGGTTATATGAACTGTTAAACCTGAAAGACAATGTCTTATGTACATATGTAGATGATTATTGTCGCGACCCCCATCGATGGATGACTGTCGTCTAGCGCTGAGTGTTCTTCCCCCTGCCCGCATGACTGTTACCCATTATACTCGGATCTAAGCCGTAATCGCCACGCCATATGTGGAAGGCTTTTGGTGTCAATACATACATACATACAATGTACGAAATAATCAGGAATGCGCTCAGGAGCTGGAGCTCAGCAAAGCATCAATCGGTAAAATATGTGTCTATGTATTCTAATCGTCAAACATTACATGTAATCCAGTGGTATTATACAATGGTAATAAATATGCAACACACATACATGGCATATTTGTCATTATAATTATTCTCAATGGAAATAATGGACACAGGGCTCTGCATCTCCATTGCTTTCACTCTATCTATTTATAGTAACCAGGTGTTTTGCTAATTGTTTGTGAACTCACCATAGACGATCATTTTCTTGGTGCCGGTGACGACGTTCTCCTTGGTGGACACCTTGCAGATGTAGTTGCCGCTCAGCTCGATGGTCGGGTTCTGGATAATGAGCGCCCGGTGTTTCTTCAGCGCGTGACGCGAGGCGATGTGCTCCAGGTCCAGCCTCCCGCGCAAGATCCCCGAGCCGGCCGGCGCCAGCCCCTTCCCCCACTGGTAGACCAGGTGGTTCTCGTCTTTGAAGAACCACTTCACTGTGACCAGGTCACTCTCCCGAGCGGCCAGGTCGTACACGCAGTCGAGGACGGCCGTGGCGTTGGCGTTATGTTCCACCACGGCTGGTACTCGCAGGTCTTCAATGAACACTCCTTCGCAAACTGGAACCAAAACGATGCCAGCGGGTCCTAGTGAAAGGTTGGTAAAGGAAGTGAGTGTGTTGTTTCTGTTACCTGGGAAGCGTGTAACAATGGTTGGGAGCCGTACAGAGCGAGGACAGAGGACGAAAAGTGAGGAAGGAAGGGAGTCGGAGTGAATGAATGAGCCAGTTCAGGAGAAGGGGCAAAATATAAATTTGCAGAAAGAATAAGGCAAGAACAAGGAAAGAATGAGACAGATAGAGGAGAAGGAGATATAGAGGGAGGGAAGGAGAGCAAGAGAGAAAAAATAATCGTGGGTCGCCATAATTTCCATCACGCTGTTCGGTGGATCTGCCCTTTTGTTGTTGGCTGTGTGCGATTTCCGGTCTCGAAGAGGGTGTGCCGACTCTCTCTCTCTCTCTCTCTCTCTCTCTCTCTCTCTCTCTCTCTCTCTCTCTCTCTCTCTCTCTCTCTCTCTCTCTCGTGTGGACGGCGGAAGACCGACCCGGAGGGGAGAGCAGGGTGGAGGGCCGGGGCTAGAGCGGACGGGAGGGGACGGGTGGGCGGCAGTCGTAGTTTTGGCACGGCCAGATGGGGGCTAGGATCGATCGCAAAGCTGGATGATGATGATCAAGTTATTCCATGACCAGCTCAGGGAGATGTATAGATGCTCATCAGGCAACATTATTTCTAGCAAGATGTTTAGCGATGCATCATTGGCTGTCTGTAACGCTGAATATTGGGCACTTTGATACCAGGTAACAACAAAACAGACATAACAGAAAGGTAACAGACTTAACGCTGTCATAAATGCATAATTCATATTAAGGTACACAAACTTGAAATAAATATATCCTCAATTGCATCGCGAATATGGTTTCTTAACACATAAGAAAGCGCTGTTGGTAGGATGAAATAAGAATAAGATACGCTAGCTGTTTTTCGCCTTTTGACGAGGACTATGACGTGACAAGTGCTTAGGTACATACATATCTGATATCATGACGGATAAGGCACTGCATAGGCCAATTCATTTCAAACGGCCCATATAACTTTAATAACGATTGTATCGCAAACACGTCGGCTATGTTCCGGCTAGCGTGCTTTTATGTATACTCCAACAAAATATTGGAAGGGAAATTAATGCTACGTCTCGATTAAATGCACGAAGATATGCATTATACAATCTCTGCTCGAATTACTTCGAAATAACCCGTCGTAAAAGGTCTATGAGGGAGGGGGTCACCCACCTCTGAGCAGCAGAAGTGTCGCCAGGACGGAGACAGTCGCCCAGACTCCACCGGCGCCCATGGCGGCAGGCGGGCCGACCGCCGGCTGGCAGTGGGAGGAACATGGGCCGGCCACTGAGCAGGGGATCCAGGGAGAGTTGGCAGAGTCCAGTCGGCACGACAGAGACATCTAGCGACGGCGGTCCGAACTGCGGCAGCTAGCAGTTGAAGTTCAGAGACCTTTAGAATGCACATCTTTGCCTATCTATGTAGTTCGTAATATGGTTCGTGTCTCTTCCTTTTTTGTTAGGAGTTAACAAGAATGTGCCATGATAGCGAATGAATATTAGTTATTCAAGAAGAAAAGTTTGTACCTAGCTTTCTAGTTTCTTGACTCGTCAAACGTGCATAACATCAATCGGGGTGACGTGGAACGTTTAGAGCTGAAAGACCATTTGGTACTCTGGTGAAGGCCAGGATGTTAGATGCCAAAACCCCAACATGAGTGGGCAGGGACACATCTGGGTGTGTTTTTGCGGACTGGTTTCGAAGTTTGTCCTTCGCTGGGCGCGGGCGGCACTTGTCTAAATGTCACAGACGCGATATTCGTGGACGATGTGTTCAATCTCTGACCAAGTGTGGTGTGGTTCAACCGACACCATTTGTTCGGCTGATGAACTGATAGCAAGCACTTGATGCCCGCTGCTGGGAACACACTTGTAAAAGCGCGCTGGCTGTTTCCTCCCGGTAGTCCACGAGCGACCTCATGATGGTCTCCAGAGAGTATACAGGCTAGTTAGAAATCGCGAGCGAATTTTGAAGGATAATCCATCTTCAACATCCAGCTGTAAGATATTTTATTAAAAATGAACGGTATACCATACACAAAATGCCGTTAATATACGTTTTCAGATAAGCTGAATAAAATAACATCAGTATCTTACTTTTAGCGTAAATCGGTCAATTAACATCAAAGACCAATGTGGTCTGAAAATAATGTTTATTTATATTGTGTTTGAATTTGCTTTGATAACTAACTCAGAAAACAATTACAAAGAAATTCGAACCATCGAACAGCTAAGCCTTTTCCAATTGCTGGGGGGAGCGGCTGCTCAGATGCAGACGCCCTTGGATTATATGGCAATTGGAAAATCAAATTATCAGGGTAGTTGGGCTCTGAGGAATTCTCTCTCATGTGTAATATCTCCAACACATAATATTTAGAGAATTCCGGGTTAAATTGCATAACAATATATGCTAGAATCCATCAATGATTTTTTAACTTTCATATCAAAAAGATAAAATGCCAACATATCAAGGAGCATCTGTCCTCCGTGTAGCCGAAGTGGACGAGGCGTCTGTCGCGTACTTCGATTACGGCGATTTCACGGCCGGAGAAATTTGCGTCGGCAGAAAATTATTTTTATTAGGATAAGTAGGTACAACAAACGACAAACTATGTGGCGTTTTGGCATAGACGCAACAAGTAATCGCGTATTCAATAAAAACACAAAAAGCTTAGTTCTTTAAACTGATCTATTCATCCCTAGAAATGTCACGAAAACAGCTTTAGGTCGCTGGCAGGTGTCCGTTTCACCGCTGAGACTATCGGACGCCTCCCCGAATCGTGTCCTGGCGGCGCCCCTGCTGCTGCCGGTGCCGACGGGCCGGTGACGTTCCCGGGCGCCGGGCGAGTCACAACTCTACCTCAAACGGCACCCGACGGACCGGCTCCGCTACCTCCGGTATGTGTGGGTGACTGAACTTCTGCGACTGCAGTAAAACTGATACGGTGATCGCAGTCCTGGCGAGACCCACTGTTGCTTTGACTCTTAATCGGAAAACTGTGCAAACTACCCGATTTTTAAGTAAAACATTAACATGTTCAGCCATTTTAAGCTGTAGAAAACTATTCATTCAGGCGTCATGAATCTGATGATGCTTTAAAGCGAAAGCTTATTGTCATTTTTGGCCTATTTTGCAATAAAAGTTTTGTACTTCTGCCATGTTATTGATCATTTTTGTATGTTTATAAAAACCTGCCTATTCAATTAGGATGGAGCAAAGTTCTGTGGTCATGACTTGCTCAGAATGAGCGTAAAAACGCTCCAATTAACGATTTAATCATAAAGGTGTCAAGTTATTCTTTCCGGCAGTTGCACTAGCCATCTCGACACACCACGCACCATGCCGCCGAATCTGACTGAGGCGAAGCGGGCCATCTCCTCGCTGTCTCTGGGCGGAGGAGGTGCGGAGCTGGTGAGGAGGGGAGCCGGGGACGGGGAGCTGGCCAGGCCCGACCAGCCGTCTCGCTGCACCTGGAGGCCGGGGGCGGACGCTATCACCAGCCCGCACCGGCGCCGCTGCCCGTGAGTGAGGGAGAGTGCAAACGTGCACAGAGGCTACAGATGTCATATGAAATGTAACACGTGATTTGATTTAAATGGGTTTACTTACACCCAATTTCCTAATACGTGAAGCATGAAGCCATCATTTTCCTTAGCTATCTCCGGGCGGCATGGCTAAATGAACATTCTCTCCTTTTACTACCAGTATTTTCATGTTTCTGAACTTCTGTTAATTATCGAATAATGTACCAACGCTGGTAATTATTATAAATACATCCATAGGTACCCCAGCGGCCGCGATGACCGCAAATCTATGAACAACATCCTCAAAATGATTGGAAGCACGCCACTGGTGAAGCTCAACAAGATTCCGCAATCGCTTGGATTGAAATGTGAAATGTGTAAGCATTGCGTAATCCGAATGTCAGATGTTTTTTTTACTATTTTGATATTCAATTCCAGGACGTGTCTTGTACAATAAAAAACTGTGCCTCGAGTATACATATATTAGAGTTCAGTGGCCTCGAGCTTACTTGCTTTATTGTAGTGATACCGAGTGATACATAATGGTGATGGTCATAATTATGCGACACTATAAAGACACTCGAAAATCAAAACAGAATGAAGCATACCGGAATAATTTTGCATGACTTATCGTTCTGCTTCAAATATTGCTTCTTAGTAAAATGTCACGGCAGATTCCTTCTACTAAATTTTGTGGTGCATTTTCAGACGTCAAGTGTGAGTACTTCAACCCGGGTGGCAGCATCAAGGACCGCGTGGCCATGCGGATGGTGGAGGAGGCTGAGAGAGACGGCAGACTGAAGCCGGGAGCGACGCTGATCGAGCCCACCTCCGGAAACACCGGTAAGGTTAAAATATTCAACTACCCCCTCAGCAAGTCGCAAGACAACTAAAAATGACGGAAAGCCATAGAAGCAAAAAATATAGAAGCATTTAACCCTATTAGTGGCAGGCTCCTGGTATACCCCTATTAGTGGCAGGGGGGGGCTGTTTACGACCCCCCCTTGATATCTCGAGATCTAACGGGCCGATTTTCAAAATTCAAACGGCATTCGATTTCGCTCAACGTGATCTACATTTCTAAAAAATAAAAATTAAAATATGTCAACAGGGGGGGTAGAGGGGGGTAAAAACGGGCAAATTGCAGATACATTTTAGACTGTTTATCACGGCCAGGTTTCTTAACCAATCCTAACGCAACTTTTGCCGATCGATAGAGAATGAACCAGGAATTCACATGGATCCTAAAAATATGCATTTTCAAAAATCATAGGCGGATACAGATCATTGAGATTGGGGGTACACAAAAAGTATAGTAAATAAGGTTTTTGTTGGTACTGTTTCTAAAAAGGGTGGTAATGGTCTTGTTATGTTACAATTTTCTTATGAGAGAACGACTACAATTGTATTGGTCATGCATAGGCGGTGTCAGGGCACCTATGTTGGGAGGTAAAACATAACCCCCCTTTTTGGACGCCTGGATCCGCCTATTATAGCAAAAACGTGTCAAAAGAGGATGCACAATAACTGTATATGTTATCACATGTATACCTTTCATTCACTGTTCGTAAAACTGGTGCAGCATCGTGATCTTCGCCCAAATGACTCGCTTCACGAATAGGACCCCCAATTCCCAGTGCTCTGGAGCCGCCCCTGGTAAAGTTATGAACTTGAAATTTTCAGGGAATAAGCCCAATTTAGTTTTAGGAAAAGTCAGAAAATTTCAGCATCGTAGCTTCAGTGGTTTCGGAGATATTCCCGAAAAACCTGAGGGGTGGATAAAAACAACCCCCCCCCCCTGCCACTAATAGGGTTAAGAATGTCAAACTTACGGATCAGTAAAAATATTCGAAACATATAAAATCATCTGAAAAGTAATCACGATAACTGCCTTTCAGGCATCGGCCTGGCCCTGGTGGCGGCTGTCAAGGGCTACCGCACCATCATCGTGATGCCGGAGAAGATGTCCAACGAGAAGGTGGCCGTGCTGCGCGCCCTGGGAGCGGAGATTGTCCGCACGCCGACCTCTGCCTCCTGGGACTCGCCAGAGAGTCACATCTCCGTGGCACAGCAGCTTCAGGTCAGCGAACGAGATCGCTTCTCGAAACCCTAACCGTGAGAGCTACGCAGACTGTATCTAAAATATCGAGCAGGCTTTGAGAACAGTGAGTCATGTAGGTTTATAAGTTTGGGGCGAGTACCTCTCTTTTACCAAGTGTTGTGCTTTTACAGAAGGAGATACCTGGCGCTGTCATTCTCGACCAGTACCGGAACGCTGGGAACCCGCTGGCTCACTACGACACGACGGCGGCGGAGATCCTGGAACAGTGCGGGGGACAAGTCGACATGGCCGTCGGAGGTGATGGGACAATCCGAGAGTGGGGAAAGCTTGTGGTGTTATTGTCCTAACCTGAAGACAACTTACTTCATGGTGTACCGAAAATGCAGCGTTTGTCGTGGTTAGTCTTTGTTGATGGAAATCAGTGGCATGGAAAAATGGGTCTTGTCTTATATCTTCAGCAGTGAAGATGTATTCTCTAATGCCAATGTCGCTGCGGCAGGTACCGGCACTGGCGGAACCATCACCGGCCTGGGGCGCCGACTGAAGGAGAGTAACCCCAACTGTGTGATCGTGGGCGTGGACCCGCACAGTTCGGTGATGGGCTACGGGGACGGAGCCGAGAACTGCGGCCCGTCCGGAGCCGTGGAGGGGATCGGCTCAGAGTTTCAGCCCACAGTGCTCGGTAAATGTCGCGTACTAACGCTGTATTTTCATCCTCTCAGCCCATACTCGACAGGGATCGGCCGAGCTCTCAGGTCTAAGAAGTGTTCATTCCACACTTGCAAGAATATTCTGGATGTTTCATGGGTCATATCGGACTTAATTATGATTAGTTTGTCCCCAATGCAAATCAAGATGTTGATGCTTAGTAACAGATTCAGTCAAAACAAAATCACGAAACATTCTCTCCACCGTCCCGCCACCTTACGCGCAGACTACGGCGTCATTGACAAGTGGGTGAAGATGAGTGACAAGCCGGCCTTCCTGATGGCGCGTCGCCTGATCCGGGAGGAGGGGTTGCTGATCGGCGGCAGCAGTGGAGCCGCCGTCCACGCCGCGTGCCAGGTAACTCTCTGTCCGCTGGGTCTTCTGAATGTGCCCTATATAACGATCGCTGACGCTGATCCTCTTGTGTACCCCTGAGGTATATTCTCGATTATTACAGATAACATCCGTGTCCCGCAACGCGTCCTGTTGTAGGTAAATGCTACAGATTCCGTGTTTTGCTGTTCTGTTTGTCCATATTGTTCGCTTCAGGCGGCCTGTGACCTGCCCGAGGGTTCTCGAGTGGTCGTCATTCTCCCGGACAGCGTCCGAAACTACATGACCAGGTTCCTGGATGACGACTGGATGGCCACCCGTGGCTTCTGCGACTCCCTGGTGCCCAAACATGACACCTGGTAAATCACATCGCGTTTTAGAAACCAGACAGGACCCATAATCATCCAACGCAAGCGTTATGCATGGTCTGTCCGGAGGGACTGCGCTTCCAATGCTTTTATAATTTCCAATACAAATGTATGATCGGTAAATCAAAAGGACAGATAGAAAGAGATGAGAGTCTTGATGAGTTTTTCTTTGTTTCTCATTGGTGAATGCTCCTCTACGTCACTAAGCAAAATGAAATCGTTACAGACAGCAAGTGCCTCTTTCTCATGTGACGCTGCTCGACCTCCGTAGGTGGGACCAGCTCCTTGTGTCTGTACTGAAGGTGACGGCTCCCATGACGGTGCTGCCGGAGGTCACTGTCCAGGACGCCGTCGACATCATGAAGAGGGAGAAATTCGACCAGCTGCCCGTCATCAATGACGCAGGGTGAGGGTCGTACAACTGAGGGCATCTAGCGAAGTCACTGTGAATGAGGGCTTCTAAATGGGAATGAACTACATACAAACTCAACATGAATTTAAGCTCAGCCTTCAGTTACTAGAGTTGCACATCCGTCGGTTGTGACGAAAATGAGATCGGACGTAAATTTTCCCGGCATTTGTTTCAGAGACATTTCCGGCGTGGTTAGTCTAGAAGTCATGCTGTCGAAGCTGATGGACGGCCAAGTCCAGGCCTTCACACCAGTGGCAGGGGTGAGTGCATAGGTGACAATAAAGCTACGCATAAGGAAACAGGAACCTAAGGTACCGTGACATCTTCCTTCAAATGTATCAAGGTGCCTCTTCAAAAGGAAAAAAAGCGTTTCAATGCTTAGGATGTACAGGGTGATTCATAGCCGTGTGACCGAAAATAAATGAAAACTCCAGGAAATGCTTTCATGTTACATGCGATTGCGAAGCACCATATGAAAGAGCCAAATCTGAAGTTTTGATCCATGTATTGTATCAGTCATATACACTTTTCCTTTGAAGCTCACACTCATTTTAGACAAGATGCTCAAAATGGCCACCTCGGCGACGGATGACTCCAGCACCAGAGCCCTAAAGTTGGCGATGGCGCGGGCGCAACACATGTCTAAGGAAATGGAGCCAAAGAAGCTTGCAATGGCGTCCTTCAGTCGCATAATATCCTGGGGACTCTCCTAAAAGATCTCGGACTTTGCATAGCTCCGAGGAAGAATTGCATGCGACGTTGAGATCCGGCGAGTGTGGCGCCCACGGGACCTCAGAGCTCTTTGAAATCAACTTTCCGGGGATCGATTACCAATTTTTTGTTCTGCCGTATTTATCATTAAACCGTGCCCTCTGTTTTGAATTTATTAACAATTCTATTAATTGTTATCTTCTTTGGAGCTTCCCTGGGGTGCAGGCCCTCAGACGTGCAGAACTATCTTGGTGTCCGCTTAACGGACTGCGTTAAATTATACAAATTACACATTTCTACATTTTGCTGCACTGTGTACATCTTGAGCGATATACAGAGACCAGACCAAGACCGAACAAAACTTCATAAAATTTGCTACTAGCACGTGAAGTTTCACGCGAAAATATGCAATCCTCTTCTCAAGAGAGATCAACTAAACAGGTCACACGGCTATGAATCACCCTGTATTTGGTATTCTTCTTTCAGCTTAACTTTATTCATGGACAATATTCGTGCATGTATAACTTCGTCTGCAGTGTGCCATCTGATGTCCGTCATCTGTATTTGCTGCTTAGGCGACATCTGACACGTTCACACAACCTTTCTAGGTGCTGCATGGCGAGTTTAGCAAGGTTTATATGAATGACAGCCTTGGCCGGCTGGCGCAGCTTCTGAAGAAACAACGATCCGCAGTTGTCCTTCAGACCCAGAATATGTGTAAGCATTACATATAAAATGGCCATCAGTTGCACTAAACAAGCAAAACTACAAGGAAGCATTTTAATTATTTACAGCTGCATTAGACATCGTTCATGTATACTGTATGGCAAGCTAATTACAACAGATCATACTTGGACCTAGTTTTCGTGTCACCAAACTTATGCTAAAAGTTGGAGTCATTACATTTATGATGCTTATAAGTTGTAACTGTCATGATCCTAATTTGGAGCCATTTCGCATGATCGTCATTTATGTTTACCAAGTGATAAATGTGCATAAGGTTTCGAGTGTCATGTCCATTTAAACCTTCATTTTATTTGCTCGTTTACCTTTACTTGCTAACCTTTATTTTAATCTATTTGATTTTATTGCTATGATGCAGCTGTTTGGAGTGATTTAGCATTAAACGCAACTGAATATTTCAGTTTTGGGCAACGGCCAGACGGCGACCAAAGATATCATAGTCGGGATAGCAACGCAGGAAGAACTGCTCTCCTACATCACGAAGAATGAGAGACAACACCACAAATCTGACGAGGAGGACGAGCAATACCAGTCTTCGAAGATGCTGGCGATCATGGAGACTGATCCGACCTACCACAGGCAGAAGACGGATAAATGGTACAAACGGAAGGCCTCGATCGTCTCAAACTTCTCTCAGATGTTCGTCAAGTCGTCCGCGACTCCGAGCGAAGTGCCTCTGGTTGAGTAAACCGCTGGGCTGGACGGAGCGGAGTTCGCCTCTGGCCTCTCGGCAGATAGTGGGGAGAGGGTTGGTCTGATCAGGGTGAAAATGGGTACCGTAGGAGCGGTTCGGAGGACTCGCAAAGAAGTAAAGGCAGTCGAAACATGCTTATATCTTATAGTGCTATATAACTTATATACAAATAGTTGTTCCCTGTTTCATTGAGTTATGTTACTTGATCTTACATTCATAATTTAATTGGACTTTACGTTTTAATATGATTTTTGTCGATCAGTTCGGTCCCGGGTACACTGTAATAAGGCACTTTTAATCGTCTGTTATAGCTAATATGGCCTCCCCTGTAGGACACAGAGGAAGGCTCATTACGTAATGGCATAGGCGATCACAGGCTCCTAAAATGAGGCCTCGCGAAGATGAAGAGACTTGTTCAGGGAAGCATAATGAATCATTTGATGCGTGCGTTATAGTATTAGTTAATCAACTTTTCTTATTTGTACGTTTGAGTTGTTTGATTGACATTACGAACGAAATGTCATCACAGATGTGATCTTGAGTGAAAAGGGGGAATCAGAAAGGTGTATTTGTTTTATGTTTTTGTGCATATTTTAGGCATATTAGGTGTGGCATGAGTGGTATTCGCAGATACCCTATATTGTAAGTGCAGGCAGACACAAGTATATCTTTTTTCATATGAGACATTGCTTCTAAGACTGGCAAAAATTACCGAACTTGTGTCATCAATGTTACATAAAATGTCTAGCAACAAACACATCAAACATTTTAGCAGCGTATTGACATGTTTATTGTTTATATCTGAGCCTCTGAGATTTTGCGTACGTCTGAGTAAAGATCCGATACCATGCTAAACGACAGCTTTAGAACAGGAGTAGTTTTGATGGTTTAAACACCATTCTTTTGTAAAGGGTATCATCTGATGTTTTTAGGTCGAGTGAGACTTTCATCTTGAATCTTGATCTAAATCAAAAGATTGTGCTAGAATCCGAATGTTTTATTTAGGATAGTTTAGCATCGCATCCAAACTGTCAAATTCACGTTTGAAAGTAAGGATAAGAACTACGGGTCGTCTCTTTCAGGTTTGGTTGTATAATCTCAGTTTTCTGCTGGATGTGTATTTATTTTTGTCGATTTCAGGTTTAAGTAGGGGCCCGGCTGGGTGCACACTAGCCAGTGTTACATTCTGGGTAATCAGCAGTTAGCAAGGAAACGCAGTTCGTTTTCGTTGGTTGCGGTCATGATGGTGACAAAAAAATAAATGAAACAAACTAATCTGTTAGTATTGAAAATGTTGTTGAGATATCGATAAAGAACAATTTGGTCTCCAATCGTAAAAGTAACTTTATAGGATGCCTTTTGCCTGACAATGTCATGAGAACGATAGTTATTTTTATTTGTTCAAACTTGGTCTCAAGCAGGAGCCAGAAACTGTCGCCGTTCCTTTTCCTTGCTTGTCTGTGCCTGCTGGTTTTGTTGGTTTAGGCCGTTGGTCTAATGAGACCATTGCAGAGTCGGAAGGACGATAGAACTTATGATGAGGCCGCCCAGACAAATTTGTCTGGACGGCCATCCCGGTGCGCCGCCGGGGCTGAACCCGTCTAGGTGGACAGGCCAACCAGTACCGCAAGCGATCAACCAGACGAGAGTATCGTCTTGAGGAGCCACTCACGTCGAATGATGGCAATCACCAAACGTACAGCCCGAATCAGTATTTTTGGAGTGAGCGAGGAATTGCGCGGGCCTTTGGATGCAGCAGGTGGTACATACATCGTATCGTGTCCTTTTAGCGGAGATCGAGAATTTCTACCTTTTACAATATCAAATCCTAATAATTTCACATTCATAGCCTCTTCGTATGTCTTCACATGATAACCACTAGCCAGGCTTAACCCGCGTCCAGCTGGGTCTCTCAGCCAACTTCGCCATGGTGTGTGTGTGTGGGGGGGGGGGGGGGTATTTGGCCATACCAGCATATCTGGGAAAGTGGGAGATCTAAAACTGACGCGGTAAAAAGCAATAAACAGCTCGCTATAAGATATTTCAGAATTATATAGGTCATCGTTCATCAGGTCATCCCTAAAGGACACTGGAGTTTACCAAAAGTAAGACTATCGCGAATTCCATAAGCAATTCCAAGTTTTGCGGCGCTGCGCGTCTCGGTTTTCTTTACACACGCAAAATAAAACTATAGGTATAGCAGGTGTGACCAAAAACGCCACTCCCCCACATCGGGCGAAGGTGAAAGGGATAATTGAAACCGAGGTAAATAAAACACAATTGAGAAAATGGTGAAGGGCTTTTTAATCGGTACGTTATATTTTCCCTTGATATCCATTCTATTCCATTTTTGTCGCCCATGAGGTTATAATAACGTGCCGTTCATCGTGTCCAAAGGAAACGCTCCATAAACTGATGGGGCATTGCGGCACAGCATCGCACAGGCCACAGGCGGATGATTAGGGTGACATCTATTGTTCGGGAGCAGAAGCAGCTGACGGAGCATTGCGGCATAGCATCACACAGGCGGATGATTAGGGCGACATCTATTGTTCGGGAACAGAAACTGTCGGGAGGCGAGTAGTGAGCTAAGCACAAAGCCGACATTTTACTGCTCCGGTTAATTTTTGGCATATATCAATGGCAATACTCGTTGCGATTTATGTACTTAATTTATGTCTATTATTTAAAAATAGTAGGTACAGATTGAATGTTCTGCGCTCATAAAACTATATAATAAAAATTAGAAACGTATTACCTTTATATCTTGAATACAAATACGGCACAAATAAGACGATCTCTTACAGCACACTCTATTGCTTCTGTTCTAATATTGCGTAGTAAAGCAGTTTTCAGGGGGTGTTGCTAGGCAATCAGCTGCTTAAAAAAGCGAACACCGTGATATCCTTCACTAAACGCAAACTAAACGTTAGCAAGCGTATAGCGCTAAGGACGCTATCGAACACAATATCCACATGCAGTACCAATGTGCTGTGGCCTGTCACCTGTGTTGTGTTTGGCGCGTGCAAGGGCGCGTGTTTGGTTTTCGGGTCGTTTTACATCTATGTGCTAGTTGCTCGTCGTGAGCGGGGTCTCTGAAGAGTATTCAGGTGAGTTACATACTTATTTGTATGTCTGGACTATTCAAGTGTGTACCTATATTAGCCGCAGATGTGTTTTGTAAACAAAATAACCACGATAAAAATGTTACACCAGTTTGCACTCGGCAACATTTTGGGATGGTCTCGTAAAAAAGTTGGCTTGACTTGAAAATGACTTTGGCCTAAAGAAAAATGATTGACCATTAGCATACAGTAAAATACATACCAAACTTGGCCAGTGATAAATTCTCAACGCCTCATTCTTTACTGTTACTGATAATTGATTTTCACACTCGTCCTTCGACGTCATTCAAAAATCCAGTAACGGGCTCAGCCTTGATAATGTATTTACACTGGCCTTGGTTAGTATTAAAGGGACTATCCCACCTTTAACATGGGGTTTGAGTTGAGATAGCCAAGTTTGCGGCGAGGTTCAGAAACCACTATCTATCTAGGTTGCATCCCCCGCAGCCTCTTGGTGTTGAAGAAATTTGTTCCCTTCATTTGGAAATGGGCCTTGTACAAGGCCCTATCTTCAACATGGAGCGACCGTTAGTGTGACATCACCTCGTTTAGTCATTCTGATTTAAATGGGTTTGTTCGTTGAAAAATCGCTTAAAACTTGGTCTGAACTTTGTTGTGGTGCCTACAGAGTAAAAAGAATCAGCTTTATGACAGGAATGTGGCCTGGGGAAGGAGGTAATTTTGGGCTGTGATGTCACATATTTGAAAGTTTGTGTTTGGAATATGGGAAGCCTAAGATGTTTAATGAAAAATAAATGCCAGAACTGTGTTCCTGGTCATCCAATCTATAAAGTCTGGCACAATTTAACTGGTTTTAACAACATTTTAGAAGGTGGGATAGTCCCTTTAAATATGATAAAGCAAGATAAATATATAATTTTGCTTTATGAAAGCCAAAAATATAGGTTAATTAACTGTCTCTCTTAAAAACCTAGTTAGTCACTTAGGAAACTGTTACACAGTTTTTATAGCTAATTATTTCAATTTGTGCCCTGACAAAACATTACATGCTTATCATTATCCATGGTTAATAATATCTTGTAGGCAATCCCAGCATGAGTTTTTGCTTTATATACTTTGCATTTTCACATTTAAATTTCATATTTATGCAACTTATTTAAGGCCTGCAAATGATGCAGCAGATTGACCACCCAACCTTGCCCACACCTGGTTCACTGGTGATGAAATCTTAATGAAAGTTAAGATAATGTGTCTTACAGTTTCAAACATAAAGGCATTTTCTTGAAGGTTTAGGTATAGCCAGTAGCCACACATACCGTAAAATGGGGTGTTAAGGGACAGTGGGGTGATAAGGGACAGTTGCGTGGGAAAAACTTTGTGTCATGTTAAATTCCTAATTTGAGATGGTTAGATAAAAACTTAAGTGTGGTAGTTGACACTGTTTTGTTCTTGACTATAGGACAAAATGGCATGGTTTTTCATGCAAGTGATTTGGCATAGGCGGCGGAACGATTTGAGACAAGGGGGGGGGGCACCAGCTCAAGGAGCCAAACCTGGGGTACCCCTAAATCCTGTTTTCTCCTCGGATTTAGGCCACTTATTTTTCGTCACAGCCCTCACATGATGATTTTTTTTATTTTTTTTTACTAAACGAAAATGGCAGTTCACCCCCGTATGTGTGGTTAACTTTAACCCTCGCCCTCACAGGGGGGGGGGGGGGGGTTGATGCAACCCCTCCTAAGGTTTTTTGCGAATAGCTCGCGTAAAAAGCTGCCGATCGCAACGAAACTTTCAGTACCCTCGCATTGATCAATTTTACACCTACCCTGAAAATTTCATGACCCTGACCCTAATGACCTTTGACTTGTGACCTCTTTTCCGAGACCATGTTTGGCCGGAATCGCGATTCGGCGTATGTCGGCTCGCATTAGCCGCGCGTTTGCAAGCTTTTCGTGGTTTCAAACGTTCAAACTTGTGATTTGATGTTGTTCCCATACATTAGGGTGGGTGTCAAGGTTACCTGAAGGTCAGGTTAGGTCATTGACCTTTGGTGACCTCGGGTGACCTCGGTTCACTTTTTCGAGTTTTACATGTTTCTAGGCTAGTTTTTGGAGCTTAATTCGAATTTAGCAACCATTTGAACATTTATGAAGTAGTTGTGTTGCCTTCGCAATATGTTACGAAGCTGTCAGAGGCGGTTGACACGTATTACGAATACCCGTCACAACCCCTACCGGTTGACCTGACCTGACCTGACCCGACCTGGTCTAAATGCTTAAAGACATCATCTCTGATCAAAACTAACACGATATTCGTGATCAGCACCCCGGAAAACCACATAGCAGCCACATCTTACGACTTTCTAACAGGTCCCGATTTTCCCGGTTTTCGGGTCATTGATCTGACCTGGAAGGTCACCCGATGACCTCGGACCTTAAAATTGGGTACCATCGGCTTCCTCTCTTGACGAACAACACGCCCGTTTTTTCCGCGAAGCTCTAGCTCGATCAGGGGCCAAACGCGAGGGGGGTCGTACCAACCCCCCTTGTGCCGTCGAAGGACGCAAAATGGCCTGTGCCGGCGAGGGTTAAGCTGATCCTCAAGTACCTATGTGTTTGTCTCTTCCTTATTGTCGTTTGATAAATTCCATTTATCCTACATGTATCGAATTCCCAAGAAGCCATCGCAGTACTAATCAGTGGCGAATCCTAGGGGGAGGTCACATGGGTCATGACTTAGGGCCTGGGGTCACCACATGCCTGCTAGGAGCACCACAGGCCTGACAGCCGACAGGGCACCACAGGCCCGCCATGGGTACCACAGGCCTAGCAGGGGCACCACGGGCCTGTCAGTGGCACCACAGGCCTGTCAGGAGCACCATCGGCCTAGCAAAAGCACTACAGGTCTTCCAGGGGCACCACAGACCTGCCAGGGGCACCAGAGGCCTGCCAGGGGCACCAGAGGCCTGCCAGGGGCACCAGAGGCCTGCCAGGGGCACCAGAGGCCTGCTAGGGGCACTATCGGCTTCGCAGGGGAACCACCGGCCTCGCAAGGGCACCATGGGCCTGTCAAGGGCACCACAAGCCTGTCGTTGGCACTTAAGGATTGTCAGGGGCACCACAAACCTGTCAAGGGCACCTGCGTTCTAACAGGGGCACCACAGGCTCGCCAGGGGCACCACAGACCTGCCAAGGCCCAGGGACACCACAGGCCTAGCAAGGACACCACAGGCCTGTCAGGGGCACCACGGGCCTGTCAGGGCCCATGGGCACCTAAGTCATGTCAGGGCCCACCGTAGGCTTGTCAGGGGGCAGGGTAGGTAGGTACCACAGTCTTTCCAGGGGCACCAGCGGCCTAGCAGGGGCACCAGTCATCACATGACTAACCAAAAAAAAAAAAAATGAAAATAGGGCACCACCAAAATTAAGTGGCCGAAATCGGTTGAGGTTTTAATTTTGGGTATAGGTAGGGGCACCACTTCGATTCATGACCCTCCCTTGGAGTTTTCCCGAATCCGCGCCTGGTACTAATACATCAAATTTAAGGGGGGCACCTTGCTATTGGTGCCCCCCTTGCAGAATTCAAGGGGGGCACGGTGCCCCGTTGCCCCCCCCCCCCCCCCCCGTTCCGCCGCCTATGTGATTTGGTTCAAAAATGGTTTTGAAAATCATGTTACATTTTCACAAAATTGAGACATCTCCAAAACTCTGTGTGTACCACATAAACTAGTAGGAGTACAGGTAAAATGAATGCATAGGTGCATTGTCACATGTATTGCACATGTTTCCTGAAAAATTTATACAAATCCACCCATTCATTCATCATCCTCTTCCTCTTTTATGGACACATGCATATTTTGAGGTGGATGTGGGGTGCTAAAGGACAGGGAAGAAAAAATAAAAAAATAATATCTAAATATAATTTCATAAAGTTTTCTTTCAGTAGGCATGGATAACACCAAAGTCCACATAAAATGCTGGCAAATTCATGCTTTCATCTCTAACACATCTTAAGTTATAAAACAAAACACCTCAAAACTCCCTTAACACTCTCTTTTACAATGATGGGTCAATGAAGACTGATGTAGGTAAATGTGATGTCATCATAAAAAGGCCAAAACAAAGAGGGCAACATAATGACAAGTGACTAGCTTCAAAATGGGTTTTTGTTAATGACAGAAGGGTACTTTTTGGTTCTGTTTACCTTATAATTAGCACATTTTCCAGAAGCGTAATTTGCATTATATGTAATTGGCTAAAAAGGCCATTAGTGGTTAATGAACCTGACTTGTTTTGTGACAGAATATGCAAAACATTTCAATAAATAAATTGTGTGCCCTTCCACACCCCAATTGTGGGCATTTGATGACTATTTCTTGGAATAATATAGGTGTCCCTTAACACCCCACATTGGGGTGCTAAGGGACAGTGATGAAAAATAATAAAAAATAATATGCATGCGCATATTTTTTTAACTTAAATGTAGCAGGCATGTAAAGCACCCAATTCCACATAAAATGCTGACAAGTTGATGCTTCTATCCCCAACCCTTCTTGAGTTATATAACAAAACACCTCAAAACTGTCCCTTAACACCCCGTTTTATGGTACTGAAATACAGTATGAAATTTCATGTTCCAGTGAAAAAAAAATGGTCAAAAAGGGAACCTATGGTAAAGTTGGATATAGTTAGGCAATGTTTGGTCCTGTTAGGTTATGTTGTTCTCAGGACCATGCTCTTTATTTTCGATTTCAAAAAAAAAATTGCCTAGCCCTCTTGTCAGTTGCCAGCTGGCTGAACAGTGAATCTAGAAACGCAGTGGCTAATCGCCCCATCAACAGACGCAGGGCAGCCCTCGGAGGGGTGTCTGGGAGGGCGCGGGCCGCGGGACCGCCGGGCCGTCGACTGGAGTGGCACGAACGGCAGTCGTCTCAACAACATAAGCTCCCCGACCCCAGCCACAAACTCACTGCCATCAAGCTATGAGGTGCACTTCCTATCTACTAGTTGACATGGAGGACTGCCTGATGGGAAGCTAGATAACTATAAGAGCCCTACTAATGATTTTCAGAAACTGATGCATGTATATTTCTACCACAAGTCCTCTATTCTGCTTCTTTTGTTGATTTATTTGCTAACTCTTACATTAGTATGGTAAGGAATATGCATCTGCTGCCACATTTATTAGTTTTTATATTATCCATAGTGTGAACACTATCCTAGGTTAGGTCCTTGTTGAACCTTTCCCAATTCAATGCAAAGCATATCAGTCAGTAGTCTTTGCATGCAACCGTTTTCCTTCCCATCCGAGCCAAGGTTGTGAAGACCTTGCAAGTGGGTTGAACAGGGGAGTGAAGATGTTGTGCCCTTTACCAAAGCCAACCAAAAACTGTAGGTGACAAAACTGATGCCGCCAGGGGTCAACCAGCCACAGATCTTGCACAAACCTATTATATGAACCTAGTCGAAAACATGCTAACTTTCTTTTTTAGCTATCTGTTGTTTTGTGATGGATACATTGATAAGGTCATGCATTGTATGTTCCAGAAATCATTTCAAAGCCCACCCATGTGCTTTAGATAAGATTTTAATGAGAAATTGTGCTGTTGCCAGGGGCTGAGTCAGGAGTCTGCACCATAGCCATGGATGATGATATGGAGTGGACACCTCCCACTGAGGCAGAAATGAAGGTTATTCAGGCCAAACGCGAGAGGGCTGACAAGATATCCAACCTCATGGGATCATACTTGCTGAAAGGATACAAGATGCTCAATGAGACATGCCCAAAATGCACCGTGAGTAGAACGACTCTGCGATTGTCTTGCAATGTCATTCACAGAGGTCAGTGGGGTGTACAGTGTACAGTGGCAAAGATCTCTCAAAAGCTCCTCAGGCTGGGAAGACAGCCCTAATTCCCATGTTTGCCCTAGTAGCACAATGTTGATTCAACGTAGAATCAACACTGACGTAAATGTCGTATCAACGTAGTTCTGTTAGTCAAAATCGACCTGATCTCGATGAAAAAAAAAATCAAATACAACGCAGAATCAACGTGAAATCAATGTTGGACCGATGCCGAAAGTCGTTTGATCCTCAATGTTGACAATCAACTTGGATTCAACCACAGATACTACTGTTATCTGTGATTCAACCAATTTTAATGTTGAATCGATGTTTATGCTACTAGGGTGCTGAGCTATTTCTTATAAAGTCGAGGGCAGTTTATTATTTGAAGGGGTTAAGTTATTAAATGCCTAGTGAATGTCGATTATAGAATGTCCAGGTCGATTGTGCTCTGCATCAACTTCAGCGCTGAATTCACAGACGATCTACCTTCGCGACAAGCAGGACGAGCTCTATTGTGTGGCCTGTGTGGAGGTGGATACCGACACAGAGAAAGATAACCCGGGTGAGTAGGGCAACCGGAGGTGACGGGGTTCCGAGCTGCTTGTATTCGGTAGGTCCAGAAGTGCTCCTCTGGCCCGACCGACGCCCTTCAGCAACAATCAATATGGTATAGAACATCCAACAATTCTAGTCTGTTACAGTGACGGTAGTTTGGAGGTTGGTATGTCCATGTGACGTGCTGTTCTGCTACGTTACGCGTCACTCCGTAACCCGCTGACCCGCTCCCGGCAGCGTCCAGCGCGGAGGCGGCCCGTCGACAGGTGGCCGAGTCGCAGTTCGCCTCTCCGGGAGCAGTCCGACGGCGCACGGCCGCGTCCCCGACCGCCGCTGGGGAGTACTGCGCGGCACCCGCACCTCCGCCAGTGTCGGCACCCCCTTCCGCGCCGCCCTCCGCGCCTCCGTCCGCACCAGCTGCCGTCTCATCGCCGGCCGCCGCGGCCGGCGCCAGCTCCGCGCCCCCTGCCGACGCAGAGGATGAGAGGGCGCTGTCGGCGGCGGCGGCGGCGGTGCGGGCCAAACTGTCCTGGGCGGCCGGCCAGCTGGAGTCCGCCTCCTCTGTGGAGAGCTCCCTCCAACTGGTGGGGCTCATCAGAGCCTGTGCCGACGCGCTGCAGGCTCTGCGGAGTCCGGCGGCGGCCCAGCAGTCGCCGGGGGTCTGACCTTCGGAACTCAAGACTCGGGGCTGGGAGAAACGGAGCGTGTGATGGAAGTCGTGTAACAGACGTAGCGTTGTCCTCGTTACGCCTGTCGACGATGGTGCCTCACGTTTGACTCATTGTCATAACTGACCGCTGGTGGTTGCCATGGCTCGGATTGAGCGCAGGTGAACACATAACGAAGTGATATTTTTGCAAGCTTGCTGTCGTTCATTTGAACTGCGTGTGTCTTACAGTTGTTTTCTGTTTTCTAACCAAATATATGTGATGCGCGTCATTTCACTTTTGTTTATGATTACCAGCATGTTTGCAATTGGGCAAGATTCACATAGTATAGCATATATTGCACAAAGAAATAAGCTTCATAATAGCGCCGTGAATGATTGCTGAGTTCTGGAAGGGCTGGCTGTAACCCCAGCAATACAAGCCTTATATACGCGCCGCACTTGCAAATCTTACGATTAACGGCTAACGTGGCACTACCAGGCTGATAACGGTAGTTCACACGCCACTCAGTCATGCCTCCGTCCCCCGCTGTCACGATTCTGAGACCCCTGGCCCCAGAAGTCGGATGCTGCGCGCACGATTCCATCGGCGCTGCCCTCTTCAATTACGCCTCCCCCCCCCCCAGGCAAAAGAGGTGCTCTTTCGTCGTTCACTGTGCGCTGGCGCCGGGTCCTTCTGTGTCCATCTTGTGCTTCTGCTCGTACTCCATGATGTAGGAAAGGAGGTCCAACTGGGTGACCAGACCAACAATGACTTCCTTGGTGTCCGTGTGCTCCTTATCCTTGACTGAAACAGCGGTCAGGTTAGCGATAAGCGAAGCTCTGTACGGTCAGGGATATCTTCTTTAAATGTGTATGATTCCGTATTTAAAAAAGAAAAGAACTTGTGCTGCTACTGCTTGCAGACGATAAACCAAAGGAGTTTAATCTCAAATGTCCATCAGTATAACAAGTCTGAAGCATCTAACAAAAGCTAGTGATGTGACATGAAATTGAATAATAATTTATTCGCTACTGCAGCCACCATATACCACTTACAAACTTTCTGCTCCTGTACGACGAGTGCAAAGTGGTCCTTCTCCAGATACTGAGACAGCGTGCCCAGAGAGTGGTCCAGATTAACCTTGTTAAACTGTCCGTAGAGCACCTGTGAAAGTAATGCGACAGTGAGGCACAGTCATCGTGAGAAAATGCGCCGATGCCACGTTAAAACTAGCTTGATAGGTACAGGCGAGGGAAGAATAGCGTTTCTTGTGCAATCCAAGACATTTGACGGGCTTAGCTGTAAATAACTCGAGAAAAATGTTATTCTTGGTAAAGGTAATCCCCAGCCATGCCCACCGTTTCTAAATCTAAGGAATTTAGCACCGTAAGGTGTTGTGAAAGGAGACTGTTGACCAGGTTACAAACAAAGGGGACCGGGGTACGTTCGTTCCTATTTTCATGTCATCGTGATCCTTGTTAAATTCAACAAGTGTTAACGCATAACCTTTTGTACGGCTCGGCGGTTGGGTGTTACCTCTCCGACTGGTGTGGTCGGCTCGACCCTGTGGTGCGCCAGTTTCGCCACCAGCATGCCCAGTGACACCATGCCCAGCACTTTTCTGCAACACACGATAGCGCAAACGTCACTAAAAGCTCCAGTCTTCTAAAGCATGAGAGTCTGAAAGATTTGATTCTCATCACCTTTGAAGTCCATTTTCTCACTCGCTGCATATTCCAAGTTATTCTTTATTCGTATTATGACGTTAAACGACTAAATGGGACACGTTTCTCCCAGTACTTCGATGCCACCGACAAGACGAATACCGCACCCTACCATTCAAACAAGATCCAAGAGGATGCCTCTGTCGGGATGTCACCGTCAGTTTTACGACCCTCACCCTGCGTCGTTGATGACGGGCAGCTGGTCGAATCTCTCCCTCTTCATGATATCGACGGCGTCCTGTACAGTGACCTCCGGCAGCACCGTCATGGGTGTGGTCACCTTCAGTGCTGAGACGCGTAGCTGGCCCCACCTGTATGTCGAAGAAGAAATTTTCAGACGTGACGTCGGGGCTTCTGTGTATGTGGTGTTCTAAGTCACTTTGTTGGACTGCAGTGTAACGGCGCGGTAAGCACATCACTGGCGAAAAATGCCTACCAGGTGCCGTGTTTTGCTTCGCCGACGTCGAGGAACTGGTGGTCTTTCATCCACTCGTCGTCGAGGAACTTGGTCATGTAGTTCCTGACGCTGTCCGGAAGGACGACCACCACACGAGAGCCCTCCGGCAAATCACGGGCCGCCTAAAATCAGAGAAAAAGCGATTTTTTCGATTTGCGAGTCAAGAGCCTCTTCCATCGCGCCTACATGGTTGGCTGACTTTCACTTTTGCTACCAAAAATGTAGCTCACTTGGTTCGCAAAGATATTCGGCTGCTTCATGACCGTCTTTGAACAAGGGAATCCAGCAAGAGGGCGGCGAATCCCAATTTCCACAGCAGGTACCGCTTACCTCGCAGGCCGCCCAGACCGCGGTCCCGCTGCTGCCGCCGCACAGCAGCCCCTCCTCCCGGATAAGGCGGCGCGCCATCAGGAATGATGGCTTGTCTCTGGTCTTGACCCATTTGTCCACGATCTTACGGTCTGCGGGCAATGGAAACAACTAACAAGTCATAAGATGAAGGTATCAATCAGCAAGAAAGGTGACGGTGCCTATTGCGGGAACAGTCGCAGTTGGTTGCAATTTCGTAATTTTCATGCCTAATAGTTATTGCCTGAATTTCTTTTTTTTTATTCAGGCCTCCCTCCAACGGGCACTTATGGCCCATTTACAGGAGGGCTCCTCCTCCTCCTGGCCCTTGTACCCCCACCCCCCAGGCTACGGCTGAAGTGGGAGCCTACCCCACACCTGGTGACACAGCCGGGGACGACGTCCGCGGAACGGGCGGAACCGGGAATCGAACCCGAATCCGGCACCGCCCGCACCGCGGGTCGACGCCTTAACCGACTGCGCCACCAGGGCCGCAGTTGTTTTTTCCCAAATTGTTCAATAATCAAACAAAACAAATTTCCCAAATTGTTCAATAATCATCCCTGCAGATCTCCTCGATGAGTCACGTCTTGCAGACGAATGACAGCTGGCTGACCAGAGTCATCCTTCAGTCGCTTCTCACCAAGTACGGTCGGGTAGAAGTCGTAGCCGATCCCCTCGACCTCGAAGAACACGCCCTCGACATCCTCCTCCTTGTCATGTCCGAGCACGGAACCGTGCGGGTCCACACCAACGATCACACACTTCGGATTGACCTCCTTGAATCGGCGCCCCAGGCCGGTGATGGTGCCGCCGGTGCCAGTACCTGCGGCAGAGATGTGACTTGCACAGTGCTTCTGGAGGCAACGCTGAAAGGCGACGCTACCTTACATTTCTTACTCAAAATTGGACTGCCCACTGCCTAGTGTCATATCGGACTACTCGTGTTCGTCCTGTGCTGCTGTGTTGCGTTTACCACTTCCAGGGTAGCCCGGCGAACGGCAAGCGACTTCCTACGTTTTAAACATTGTTATGAATCTCGCCATTCCCCAACCGTTCTGTGACACAGTTACACAACCTCAAGCTTCCCCACCATCGGATTGTCCGCTCACCTCCGACGGCCATGTCCACCTGTCCTCCGCACTGTTCCAGGATCTCCGCCGCCGTCGTGTCGTAGTGCGCCAGCGGGTTATCCTTGTTTCGGTACTGATCCAGAATTACAGCGCCGGGAATCTCTTTCTGTAAAATGTCAGAATGGGACCAGTAAGTTTGCTGACAGTGGCTTTATCGTTATGTCATCAGTGTCAAACGTTTTTACCTTTTGCTTGAGTATTTAATCGAAACTCCGCGTTGAAGTGGGTGTATGCTAGCAGGAAAGCGAATATGACGTTGATGAAGTCGTTTGTTATCATTTAAAGGGACCCTCCCACCTTCAAAAAAGTTAATGAATTGGCATGAAAGTGATGTCGCTCGGTTCAGAAAGAGCAAAAACGAATATCTACCAAATTTCATCGAAAAATATTCACCGGTTTTCAAGATATTAGACTTTTACTTTTGTTTACTTTTTGGGATCTCCGCTGTTCCTAGCGACTTTATTTGAAAGTGCGGCATTTGTTGCGCGCAAAGCAGCGTATACCACCGCGTGCTACAAAACGTTTTAGTCAAACATTTAACGGACGTTCGAAAGCCTGATGACGTCATCAGATTCCCGTAATGGTTAAGAGATAGGGACCACGCTGGTCCCACCCTGCAAGTAAAGGGAAGAAATTTCTTGAACACCATAAAGCTGCGGGGGTTGCGACCAAGATAAATGGTGGTTTCTGAGCCTGGCCGCAAACTTGGCTATCTCAACTCAAAACTAATGTTAAGGTGGGAGGGTCCCTTTAAGCTGTTGCTTTGCCGTACGCGGCTACGCCGCCAGAGTGTGAGTGAAAATGAGGTTTTAAGGCGTCCCTGTCCATTGGACATTCGGCCGCCTGTAAAGAATATGTTTGCTAGAAAAATATCGAATTGCTTGAATTTTGATATTGCAAGTGCTCATTTACTTCAATTAAGTGTGTGAGTTCTAAAATTTTGACCTTTAAAGTGCTCGGTAACGCGTTGTGGGTTTCTTGGGAGGTGAGTGGGATCCTGGGACTTACTTTACCTACTGTTAGAACTTAGAATTATTTTTACGTTATAGTTACTTTAAAGGGTTGTTAACCCGCGCCGGGCCGGGGGGGGGGGTGTTTGAACACCCCCCCTTGCGGTTTTTCGCAGATATCTCAAAAACGGCGGCGCGGAGCGCCGCCGTTTTTGGCACACCTGTTTGTGCATCTTTTCCGCACATGTTGTGAAAATTTCAGACCCAGGTCACCTTAGGTCAGGTCACCAGGTCACGCCAAGTGACCTCACCTCAGAAAAAATAAGAATGCTCGTCATAGCTACACCGACTGAACGATTGCCTTGAAACCTTCAGCGATTGATTAGAGCAACACTATCTATAAAATGTATATCTCGGAATTTTGATATCGGTGACCTAAGGTCAGGTCAATTTTGCGGCCTCTCCATTATAAGTCAATGGGAGAAAATTGAAAAGCGCCTGTTTTGCACGAACGCTATTCTAGACACTCTCAAACATCGAGATGTAGGTAAAATAGGCACACTGAACCAGAAAATGGCAACTGTGACCCCTCGTTATGTCCCCGAGGTCATCTCAGGTCACGAACAGAATCTAACAGTTTTTCGATGATAACTTCTGATAGAGGCGTGCTAGAGCGCTGAAAACGCCTTAGATGTGTTCGGCTCGACGTTGCGGATCGACTGATATGCAACATGACCTTTTCCGGTCAGGTCATGACCTTGACCTGAGGTCAAATTTTCAAGTTGACCTTTCAAGGTCAAATTATAGTTCATTCGACGCGTCTCGACGAGAGAAACACGATGCTGGCAAAATTAATGTCATAGCTCTTTTGAGTCCAAAGTTATTGCCGAAAAAACGTTTTTCGTAAAAACGGCTATTTTTGGAGTTTTTGCCCTCTGGAGGCTAAACCGTTGACCTGAGGTCAAATCTGAGACCATTACTCAGAAAGGTCTGTAAAAGGGCTATCGAATGCGCTTTTTTGCGGCGCTGTAGCTCTATCGGTTCCCGAGATAGCCGTTGGCAGTTTCCAAAATGTTGAAATAGTCAACATTTTACCTTTGGTGACCTCTGGTGACCTGACCTTTGACCTGACCCAAAAAATGACCGAAGTGCTTTCGTCCTTATTTTTGACGTTCTTTCGATTGCCGCTTACCGCGTGTCGCTACGTGGCCCAGGAGCCGAGTTAGAAGGGGGGGTGTTCAAACACCCCCCCCCCGCGGCCCGGCGCGGAATTTCAGAGCACCGGCCCGGCGCGGGTTAAGATACCATTTTGTCCTCCATCAAGACCATAAATTCGATTTGGGATTAATTTTGCCATGGTGCCGGCACATGGCCTACTCTTCACGAACTACACCATGGGTTCTTTATCGTGCGGGTTAGGAGGCAATCCCCACACCCCCTCTCACGCCGGGTGTCGCGTTCACCCTACAATGCCGGGTGGTGCATGGGCCTAAATAATTATTGTCTGAAGGACAAGACTGCATGGCCATTTAACAACTTTGAAGAGGTGAAGACCAGTTGGCCTCTCTTAATTTTGAATCTCTCCTGTCTGCGCGCGACTGGCACCAAGCTTGGACCAGCGCACGGCTGAGTGGTGTGGTGAATGTCGGCCGGCGTAACTGGCACCAAGCTTGGACTAGCGCCCGGCTGAGTGGTGTAGTGAGTATCAGCCGGCGTATCTAGCACCAAGCTTGGACCAGCGCACGGTTGAGTGGTGTACTGGGTGTCAGCCGGCGTAACTGGCACCAAGCTTGGACCAGCGCACAGCGGAGCCAGGAGAATTCTCGAGTGTGATTACCGCTAAGTCTACTGTTGAGATGTTGGGCACGCCGCCAGGTTCTTGTTCCTCAATTTGCGAAAGTAAGGCTATAATGCAATCAGAAGGCCGTAACGCATGACGTCAACGACTCCGCCTTGGACAACGTCAATGTGACCGAACCTTGAGCCGCTGCGCCACGGAGATGTGGCTCTCTGGCGAGTCCCAGTGGGCGGACGTCGGCGTGCGGACAATCTCCGCTCCCAGGGCGCGCAGCACGGCCACCTTCTCGTTGGACATCTTCTCCGGCATCACGATGATGGTGCGGTAGCCCTTGACGGCCGCCACCAGAGCTATGCCGATGCCTGTTAAAACGGTCGTCAGTCGCAGGTGCTTTATGCGGGAAGAGCGGGTGATCACTGCAGTACACAACTTTAAGTCTAAAAGATCGCTAACTAATTTTCATATTTTCATGTTTTTAAGGCCTCTACGTAAAGATCGTCAAGCACGTTCCGCCTATTCGGGTTTCTCTTATGCTAATATGTATGAAGGGTGTGCCACTGGTCAGGATGACAGGATTCCAACAGAGTTGTAATAAACAATTTCTTGACCTGTAAAGGAGCAATTAGCAAATTCTTCTGATCGGCCCGCATTTATCTGACGGACATTGCAAGATAAGACATTGAACGGCACCTTCTACTTTTAGCTCTTACCTGTGTTTCCGGAGGTGGGCTCGATCAGGGTGCCTCCCGGCTTGAGCCTGCCGTCCTTCTCGGCCTCTTCCACCATGCGCAAGGCGATGCGGTCCTTGACGCTGCCGCCGGCGTTGAAATACTCGCACTTCACGTCTGAAAATCACAAGTGGTGCATTTGTTCAGATGAAAAGCTGGCTTTTATTGCTGTCGACCTTACCTTGACTTATTATTTTTGCTATTAACAGAGGCGTCCTCTATTATTATTTGTTGCCCATTTATTGCTCGCTGTGACATTGTATGTTGAAGTCACCTCACAAAATGGGCAAAGTGATGTTAGGTTTACACCGGTGAACTGGTGTGCAATGTGCATGAATCATGCTTTTTATGTTTATGAAAAAGATTTTGCACAATCTACTTTGAAAATGTTTGTTGAACATTGAAATCGCGGTCGATTCGAAACCAAGGTCGTTTGTCTCAATAGACGAAGACGGAAGCTAAAACGAAGCTATGTCCTGGCAACGTCACCGTGCTGGCAACATCCTCTGATTGGTATAACGTCCGTGATATCCGGATCTCTGTACTCACACATTTCGCACTTGAGTCCCAGTGACTGGGGGATCTTGTTGAGCCTGACCAGCGGAGTGCGTCCGATCTCGTGCAGAATGTCGGGTGAAAGGTTGAGTCGCTCCCGGCTGTGGGAGCGATCGCGGGCACTTGTTACAAACTTACACCGAGCTCAGGACTGCGCCTTCTGATAAAGCAGCATCAGAGCTTAATGACGATGAGCATTGTTCTTAGTTTGGGCCGGACGGGGATTTTTTATTATAGTCCGTTTTTCTTATCTTTAGACTTCACTCCAAGATGTTTCGCAAGATATGCACGAGACAAAGCATGGCTTAGAAAAAATCAAGCCCTTCGGAAACAGAAAATATTGCCTTGAAGCCTGGAGAGTGGCGCTCTTGGGTGCGGCAAGTGCAGATTTGTATAGTTCGTTTTTTTTTAAGTTTGACCCTCACTGTAAACGTCTTTTTGAACATAGCACGAGAATTGCTAGCTGAATTACTGAGAAAACTGGTTGGCGCACACTGATTTAACCAGATTTCACAGACGAGATCAATTCCATCAAATTTATTTACTATTTCACAGACTCGTAAATCGTATCTGCCAATACCTACAGCCTCACAGGGATAGACGACTTCTCAGGACTTATGTCTGAACTAATAAATAAATTGCACGGCGCTTAACAGTTAACATAACGTTAAATCGTCGATGTTCAAAACTTATTTTTGAAAATATTATTCATATCTACAATACAATGTGCGCTTACCAGTTTCCTCAGTAATTCAGCTAGCAATTCTCGTGCTGTGTTCAAAGAGACGTTTACAGTGAGGGGCAAACTTAAGAAAAACGGACTATAGTCTTACAAATGTGTATTACATAAATAGGTAGGTACTTATACCTACCTGCTACAAAAATTAAGTTGGATAAAGTTTGGTATGCTAACCGAACTATCGATCCGATGAATTAAAGGGTACCTATAAAAGCGAATATCACTTGGAAATGAACTATTCTGCAAATGGACACAAGTCATCATCAGTGACTTTAGTTCAAGACCTATAGGGCTTGGTTCCAGCCGAAGTTTTTTGAAACCGCAGGTGCGTGCGACTGCGAGTGCGGACCCAATGCAAGGAAATTCTTGAAGGAGCTCGGCGTGTGGCTCGTAACAAGTTCTGGCGACTGTCGTGAAGCACTTGGTTTGTGGTTCGCTATCGCAGACATTCGAGTGAACGCGTTTTCGATAGTATTGACTGTGACGTTGTAATCCTCACGAAGTATCATGTGGACGGGTTAGACTGCGTGACGAGAGGCGGATATGAATTATGCCTGTGGAGGTAGGCAACCCGCAGGACATGCGTGTTCAGCGGCGCAGGCTACCAACACGAGTTGGCTATATGAGCGTGTGTTTAGCGATGAATGCAGCATTGATCGAAATTAACAAATATACATACTATTTCAATGTGATGACATGTTTTGCTCGTATTACCCGCTAGTGTCTACAAATCTACCACCAGTAACTCGTAATACAAATTACAAAAGACAGGAAACACAGGAGTCGTACTCGTATATTGGGTATGTTTGGTTCACCGAAGCCATCGTAGGTCCCATGCGCCCTCAATCACTTTCACTGTCACTGTCGTCACTGCTCGAATCCTGAAGTGACACGATCACTGGCTCGATGTCCTCCATCATACCATCTGCTCGCCAGTACACCTCTTCCAGTTCTCGCACGTGGCGGCAGCAGTTTCGCCACAAGTCCGGTGGCGCGGCGTCTCGGCTATCCAGCAGCAGCCTTTCCACGTCATTCAGATGCCCAGTGTTGTTGAACTGGCGGACGTGCGTCTTCATGTTTGCCCAAACCATTTCAATCGGATTGAGGTCGCAATGATATGGGGGCAACCTCAGTACTTCATGACCGGCCTCCTGTGCCACCTTGTCCAACACATACTCGCGTGTCTGTTTCAGAGGGCGAACCAGCTCAAGAAGCTCGACCTTCCGCAAGTCCGGATCAGGATTGACATCATGTACCCGCAGCCATTCTTGGATCGCTTCCTTCCTCCAGCTAGCTGTAGGTGCCTTGTTAGCACATCTTGAATGATACGAGGCGTTATCCATAATGATCACGCTATTCGCTGGCAGGTTCGGCAGAAGTTGGAGTCGAAACCAGTCCTCGAAACAGCTCGCGTTCATAGACGTGTGATAGTCGGCAGACTTGCCGTCCGTCCTCATACACATGAATGCTCCTGGGGTGAAGCCGCTGTCCGAGCCAGCATCGACTATGATTAGGCGCTTGCCCTTCCCTGTCACTGGCTTATGGCCGGCCACGTCGTCACTGTCCAACCACGCGACCGTTCGCATATCAAACTGGTTATACCAGGTCTCGTCCAAGTACACTATAGTGCGCTCTGGGTCGGAGCTTCTAATCTTCCGAATGCGTCTCAGGAACGCGTTCCGGGCTGCCACCACCTGAGGTTTTTCAACCAGCAGCTTTCGGTTGTTCACTTGTCGGAACTTGAATCCTATTTGGAACAGCTGCTTTCGTATGGTTGAGCGCGAGATAGTCTGCTCGAACTTGTCCTGAACTGCCGCTCTAATGGTGTCCAAAGTGACCTTTTTCCCTTCCAGGTACATGGCATGCACCATTCTTCTGAACGCGCACTGGTCAAACTCGTCGAAGTACTCGCGTGGCCCCCTGTTAGGGCGCTGGCGGGCTGGAGACTGGCATCCATGTGTCTCTATTCCACTCTTGAATGCATTAACAGAGGCAATCGACACTCCAGTAGCAGAGCTGGTCTCCTTCGCTACGTTAATGCTAGCCGCTGCACTCTCATCACCTTGCTTGAGGTATTCATCTTTCTTTCGAATAAAATATTGGTAAACATTATAAACCACTTGTCTCGCTTGTGCACCGATCGGTTTTCCTTGCCGAAGTTTTGAGAGCATTGCATATTATTGTATACGAATGGATATAAATTTCAAAAGATATATAAAAGTCTCAGATTTCCTTGATACACAGCAGACATATGGTGTGTTCGCTTTTAGAGCCAGTGGCAATGAGCGTGACGCTTGATTTTTATTATCAAATTGTGTGACGTCACGTGCTAAGTTATCTGCACATCTTGGAGTGAAGTCTAAAGATAAGAAAAACGGACTATAGCCATGGATGAGATAATAATGGATTGGTGTCTTCGCAGTTTTTGGCGACATTGAGCTCAGGCCTGCCATCTAGCGGGAGAATTATCGTAAGTTAGGAGCAAGCCGAGTGAACGCCGCTGATTAGCATTGTGACACACGGGAGTGTGGTGTAGTAGCAGGCTTGTTGTGCAATTTTTCAAAAGGTTATGTCTTTGTATGTCAGTAAAAGCGAAGAAATTAATAGATTTATGTGCAGGGTCAGTAATAAGATAAGCAGTTCCATGTTATTTCCTCATTAAATCGTGAAACAGGGAGTTATTGGAGACTTCGCCAGCACGTGTCGTTTTCGCTATTTTTCACATGAGTCTTTACTTGGCCTAAATCAAACAAATTGTCCGATCAAAGAACAAAGCGAGCGTAAGTAATTATCTATAAGTCTAATGAAAAACTTAAACGGAATTGCTAACGTCATTGCCGTTCAATATGCCATTCAAGACGCTATATGAAAAGGACCCAACCAGTGCTGCGTAGTCGATGAAATTTCAGTGACTTTGGCTCCAACTCCGATTCCGGTATCCAAATATCGACTCCGACTCCTCCGGGCAGAACTGTCGATTCACACAGACTCCGACTCTGACTCCGACTCTGCAGCCCTGGTGAGTCTGTGGAGTCGATGACTTTTCGGTGACGTTCGACTCATCTCCGACTACAGCTTTTAAAAATTAACCGACTCCGAGTCGGAACAGAACCGCTGGCTCTGACTACAACTTCGCAGCCCTGGCCCAAGATAGCCGCCTAAAACAACTTTGATGTGTGATCTTCTTCGTGCATTGTTAATGTTATTTTAAACAAGGGGTGGAAAAGGGAGACGAAGCCTTCACAAACAAGGATCTCCTGTTGCGAATCAATCAGCTGCACACCACGCATCTCATTTCATCGTTTTCCTAACGACTCTGCACCAATGTAAGCACTGATCAATGCAGTGCGAGCATCGATGTGACATTTGTGTACCAAGTTTGAGTGTTATCCACCCAGCTGTTCTTGAGATATGGAAGCGGCACCCCCCCCCCCCCCCCCACGTGCGCACGTGCAGTAGCCCCCATAGTGACACATGGAAATGCATTGGCCACTGGATGCCTAACTACATCCAGTGGCCAAATTGTATTGACGAAGGCCAAACTTGTATTGACGAAGTTTTACTGTAATTGGCCCAGCCATTGCGGAGTTACTTTATGTGGAACAATTTCGACACCCCTAAGTTGGCACGTGGCACGTGCCGTAACAGTAACTAAGATGAAGAAAATAGGGCGAAATTCGGAGAAGAAGGAATAAGCCTACCAAATATGTAAGTGACATATTGTCAAACTGCTCTACCATTGTGAGTAAATGACAATATAAAAGGTCATACAAGCCGATGGGACTGGGCGCTTCAATACACACCGTCTTACGCATTTTATTTTCGTTATTACCTAAAGGCTGCTTGACGTTTTTGGCTTACAAGCATTTAAGACATTTTTTGTCGTCTCAGGTCCAGTAAGATTACCTCCAACTCGTGGGAATATGCACTTCAAGCCAACTAACACACCACACCCACGTGTGTCATAATGCTGAGAGATGGCGTTCACTCGGCTTGCTCCTAACTTACGATAATTCTCTCGCTAGATGGCAGGCCTGATCCCAATGTCGCGGATCCCAATGTTAATTTCCACGAGACACCAATCCAGTGTTATATCATCCATGCTATAGCTATGCTATGTATGTTATTTGTTATTTGTTTTATTAATATGCATTATTAACCCGCGCCCCGCTGGGCTATTAAGCCATACGCGCCCTGCTGGGGGGGGGGGGGGAACAGATTCTGCCCCCCGTCTAACTTCCGAACCGATGGTCGTAGAAAGACGGGGAAAACGGCAATCGAAAGCTCTCAACAAGGCGGATCTTAACCCTCGCACGACCAGGCCATTTCTCATAACACGAACGACCAGGGGGGGGTTGTTACCACCCCCCCCCCCTGGCGTTTCGAAACGGAAGGTCGTAGAGCTTAGCGGAAAAAAACCAACGGATTGCTCTCAACGAGATCTCGCGATTGGTGGTATATTTTTTGGTCCTAGGTCAACATTTGACCTACTTATGACCGGTCAAAGGTCAAATTTTCCGAAAAAAATCAAACTTTTTCAACTTTCCGCGGCGATTGCGGCAAAACGGTGGGAGATATCGACTTGAAACCTTCACTATCGTGTTCCTTGATCAATTCTCTATCGTTTGGTATGTATTTCGTTTCCCTAGCTCTAAAAATGGCGCGTTGGGAGCGCCGGAAGTCGGCAAGGTCACAGTCGGCGGCAGAAATTCGAAAAATCAAAATTTAAATTTTTGAAATCTGATTGTATTTTTGGATTTGGGAGGTCCATTTGCTCCCTATAGAAGCTAATATTGCTGCATATTCCCATTGAGGTGACAAGAATTAGCAAAATAGTGGTTCGGGCGCTTTTCAAAAATAGTACCGGACGCTGTTCCTCTTGTGACGTCATAGCTCCATGACCTGACCTGACCCGGTCAATTTTCTTGCACCACACGATAGCCAATGCTTGCCCCAACATGCATGGGAAGTTTCATCATGATCCATCAAACAATGTGGGTATCACCGGCAGAAAACCTAGGGATTCGGCGCACACGTTTGGTAACTGTCGGCCGGAGGCTGTACCTCTTATGACGTCATAACTCCGTGACCTGACATGACCCGATCAATTTTGTTTTCGGCAAAAGATGCGCAAAGGTTGCCCCAGAGGGTATTGAAAATTTCAGCCCGCTACGACAAGCCGTTTAGCGTGCACTTCGAAAAAACCTCAGGGGGGGGGGGGTTGATGCAACCCCCCCCCCCCCTAGGCGTTCTAGGGTTAACAAACCCAAATTTTTTGCTTAAGTAGGTCAGAGGTCAGGTCAAGGTCAGGTCAAGGGTACAAAATGCAAGGTTCTACAGTATCGGCCTTGCACCGTAGTTGCCGAAGAATGGACTGAGACTGATTGCTCAAAAAGTGTTATTAGACTACCAAGACAATATTCGTTGCACACAATGTCATTCAAAGGTCAAGGTCAAGGTCAGGTCAGGTCAGGTCACCAAAAACAAAATATAGAAAAGGGCATGTGCGACAGATGTTTTATGGGTCATTTTACTCATATAATTCAATAGGTACAATCAATAAGTGATATGGACCACCTCTGGATGAATTTCAGGTCGAGATCAGATCAAGGTCAGGTCAAGTGAGGTCAAATTTTGAAGTTGGTTGTTAAGGCCTAAAAAGGTATCTATCTGATGCAGTTTTTCACGGCAAATCGAATGGTGCTACTTTTGTTTCCGTACGAGGTCTGGAACTTCCAAAAAAAAAATCATTTTTTTTTCAAAATTTGTGTGTCGTGACGTCATAAAATTTTGAATAACTCCCACATTTTTGAACTGATTCTTCTAAAAATTGGTATGTAGGTGCACATAGACCACTTCTCTGACATATATTCCGGTTTTTTCGATAAACTCAAAATTTTGGATTTTATAATTATTTTCCCAAAAAAGTCAGTTTTTTTGAAGAAAAAAATTGGACCAAAATCAAAAATTTTCAAAAAACCGAGATAGCCATTTGATAGACAAAGTAAAATCACGTATAACCTATTTTTTGTTACGTCTTGATTCCTTTAACCCGCGAGTTGCTGGGGGGGGGGGGGCGTTAAACGCCCCCACTTTTTTCACCGGGCCATAGCATAAAAACGGCGCGTCGCAGGCGCGCCAAATTTTACCTGTAGGGTGATTGAAGTTTATTGTGACAAAGTTTCAAAAAATTCGGTCAGAAAATTTTTGAGATATCGAGATTTTAGTGGCGTCATGATTTCTGACTTTTCAACCAAAAACGGCATATGTTCAAAAAATATAAAATCACAGAATAGACATACAGACATGCCGTAAACGTCATTAGACTGCCAATACCATGATCAATCAAATGGCTATCTTCGATTATTGATTATCGTTCCGCATTTTCCATAATCTTGAACTGAATCTTGGCAATTTCTCGTGACTACTTCACGACCATGATACATGCATTTCTTAAATTGATTTTTTTTGGCCAAACACGTACACATATGATAAAATGAATGTCACCATCGTGTTCTACGCCCCAAATTACCTATAAAACATGTGTCACAGGCTGCGAATATCAGTTTTGATTTTCGGGGATATGTGCCTACCCGGTTGACCTGACCTTGACCCTGACCTATGCTTGACTGACCCCTACATGGAGCTGACACTCTTGTAGGCCTTATATGATGGATTGTGCACCGTTTTGACAGAGTTAATGACGAGAGGCGCCCATTGCGAAGTCCTGAAGTCCATGCTACTGAAAGCCCGATTTCAGGTGTTTGACCTGACCTTGACCCGACCTGTGACCTCAAAATTCAACTTTTAAGTACTCATCTGAAGCGTCTCGTCGCGTTCTTTCGTTTGCCGCCTCGTGCGTTTCGCTGCGCCTATTGGTTCTCGAGTTATCGGCTGGGGGCGTTTAACGCCCCCCCCCCCCCAGCAAACGGTGGGTGGCGAAATACCCCAGCAACTGCCGGGTTAAAAATGAAGATGTTAGCGGCGTTTGAAATTTTGCCGTTTTTGAGGCGAAAATGGCGAACATGACGTCACTAAAACGTCAATTTCTCAAAAATTTTCCGACGGATTTCGCTCCAATTTTCAGGGAACGTGTCAAATTGATGTATGATAAGGTACTGAAAGTTTGACGTCGCTGGCGTAACGTGTTTAGAAGTTATTGGCGAAAAACGGGAGGAGGGCAGATTCTGCCCCCCCCCCCCCCCAGCGGGGCGCGGTTTAAAATACTTAATCCTCTCTTCAAGAGATGGCGAATATATTCGAAATTATTATTTCCCTCGTACCTAATTCCACCCGTACCCATTTCACCCGGCTAGCGGTAAGGTAGGTACCCGATTCATTCGTGGCCAGCTCTGAAAAATCTGCCTGGTCCGTATTCCGGATAAATGTACGTTTGGTATAAATGTATGTGCGTTAAGATACCCAGTTGCATCATCGCTTCAGATGTAAACCAGTATAACGCCTTTTGGGGCGACTAACGGAGCGAGTGAGAGGGTGGGCCTTGCACGTGCGAAATTGTGAGGGGTACCTCCAACTGACTTGTGCACGGCACCCTACTAACCGGTTTCTACCGACGTGCCAAATTTGGGCACAATCGGCCTAGCCGTTCTCGAGATCTGGAAGCGGCACCCTGCACGTGCGCACGTGCAAAATGGGTCCCAACTGGCTTGTGCACGGCACCCTACTAACCGGTCCCTAACTGTGTACCAAATTTGAGCGCAATCGGTCGAGCCGTTCTCGAGATCTGGAAACGACCCCTGCACGTGCGCACGTGCAGCAGCACCCCAACTCTGGCACATGGATATGCAGTGCCTAGTGGGTGCCTACCTACATGCCAACTTCCAGCGCAATCGGCCAAGTAGTTACCGAGATATTGCAACAATTACAAAACGGACACCTCTTCGTTTTGCACGTGGCACGTGCATAAGGGGTCACCCACATGCATCAGGAATAGTCCAATACTTGGTAGAAGGAATGAAACTACCCTACAAAAATTACCGCGTGTAAATCGGTCAAGTGGTTGCTGAGATATAAGCCTCGCAAAAGCGTGACCACGGCCGGCCGGCCGGCCGCTCATACTCAGAAATTTCCGTTAATCTAAGGAAAGACTACGCTCGCTTCGCTCGCTGCGTAATCATAGTCTGTTTCAATTAGCTACTTGCATAAACACCGCTGCCAGAGACTGTCGACACCATTGCGCCATCGCTGGCGATGAGCGGTGACATGGTGGTGCATGGTGATATACAAAGGTCCAAATGTTTGTCAATGTTTGTAGCATTTCGTCAGATCGCGAGAGTTTGAGACGGCGTTTCCGCACCATTTTCAGTGAACCGCTCACTTTCAGGGATACATACTTTCATATAAAGGATTTTGCCAGTCATGATGTTTTTGCATACCTAATGCCAGGTATGCGTGACGATTGGGAATGGGTAAACACGCTTGGCGTTCCGCAATTACTTGGCATTGCTGGCTCAGGCATTTAAAAATGGCCCGTTGATACGGACGCATTCTTCTGGCGGCAGGCACTTGACTACAAGTGAAGCTGTCACGGAGGTGCTTATTTTAGAGGAATTGGTGTCCTTCTTTCAATGAACGATGAGCGATAAATATGTATTATGCCGTGATAGTTGCACTCCTGCTATCAACAATGGATGGACAAGCAAAAAAGCATTGAACTATCTATCGGCATCATTTCCTATAGCCATTCTTATAGATATTTTCATAGACCTTTTATAGACATTTTATAGACCTTTTGTATATCTGAAGAGGGGTCGATACAACTCCCCCGTCCTGATATGTTACGATTGGGCCACCCGGCTGCCACGGAGCAGTCGATATCCATAATTTTAAAAAGGCAACCTTTCGTGATAACTTTGCTACATATTGCGTTTTCCGAATCATTGGCCAAGCCGATGAACGGCCGGAATGCTGACACCTTTGCGTCGGTACCGGTATGTGGAATGGACGTCAAAAAGGTGCGCCCATGATGTGGTGCGTTTGCCGTTGAAGATCTTCTTGATAAATACGGACACGGCCAGAGGTTTGTGCGCTTCAAAATTTACTGAGTTATAATTTGCAGCATGATAGATTGCACTATGTCAACAAAATTGAAAATGCGTTGCTTATGTAGATTGTAGTTGGCGTAGGTATAAGCGTTACTTCGTACCCAATATTGCATAAATTACACAGCATCTTAGACGAACAGCGGCTGTAGATAAAATAAAAGCAACAACATTAAAATGTGTTGCTTGTTATGAAGGCGACGTTACACCATATACCCAATAATAACAGATAACTTACACAGCATCTCAGCCGAACAGCGGCTGTAGTGGAAACTCGGGTGATTACTCACGGACACTGGCGGTGGTGCGGGTTGGTGGCCGGGTCGGCGCCCAGCTGCCAGGTGCACTTGGAGGGCAGGTCGGGTCGAATAAACTCGTCCTCGGTCAGTGGCCGGGAGGACGAGCGGGTCTCCTCAGTCGGCGCGGGCGGTGCCATGGCAACTCCCGGAGAGATTTTCACTCAGGCTACACTGTAGAAAATTGTGGACAATATTTAAACACCGTCTATATTTTTTTTTTAATTAAGTAGCTAAAATGCAATACATATGATGCAAAGTCTGTCTTATGTTACCGGCTAATGCCTATCTACTTAAAAAAATCACTTATTGCTTTAGAGCCGACAATCCACATCAAACACACCTGAAACCAACTATATTAATCAGCTGTAGTGCCTCTACCCACCTCACCTTCCTCGGATGTAGCCCCGGGCTATCCGACCTCACCTGACAACCCTCGGTGACCTCTGGACTGCAGCGTCCGATTCCGTCAGGCACGTGGCGACCGCTGTGCTCCGCCGGTAGTGACTAGTGAGCCGAGCCGCCGGCCGCCGGAGCTATTTATGCTGGTGATGAGCGCCCTCGGGTGGCCCCGGGCCCAGGTTATGTGGCTCCTGATCAGCCCGGTTGGTGCCGCAATCCGACGGATAGAGCTGCAACCTTTCGGCATTTGGCATCGGATAAGTGAATCATAACGTTTTAGCTACCTATGCTATGTTTCTGATCAGCCCGTCTACCTATTATAACTTCAGAATGTCCCTGATACCTATTTTTCTTCGACGGGCTGTGACAAGACAACTGACCCACCCCGGGGCTCATAACGGCTCCAGTACCTAACCTATTCAGTGATCTGTGATTATTTTCCCATCCCTGCATCCCGCGTCCCGCCGTGGGAAGGGGGCATATTCTGCCCCCTTGTCGAGTTCCGAACCGATGGTCGCAGCAAGACGAAGGAAACGGCTCTCATCAAAAGATCTCAACAAGGCTTGATCTGGAGCAAAACAAAAATTATCGAAGTAGGTCAGAGGCCAGGTCAAGGTCAGGTCAAGGGTAAAGGTGTAAGCATCTATGTACATTATCGGCCGTGGAGCGCAGTTCACGAAGAATGGACTGATATTTATTGTCCGAAATACGTTCTTAGGCTACCAAGACAAGATGCATTGCATACAATGGAATGTAAAGGTCAAGGTCAAGGCTAGTCGGGTCACCAAGGACGACCAATATAATAGGATATGTGTGACACCTGTTTTATGGGTCAGTTTATTCATATAACTCAAAGGGCATACTCAATTAGTGATATGGACTATATTTGGAATGAAGTTCAGGTCGACATCTGGTTGAGGCCATGTCAAGTTCACCCACAATTTTTGATTTTATTGCTATTTTCCCTCTCCGCAAATCAGTTTAAAAGAAAATTAGGTTAAAATCCAAAATTTTCAAAAACCGAGATAGCCACTTGAAAGACAAAGCAAAATCCCGTTCATGCTTTTTGTTACGTCTTGATTCCTTAGAAACTGAAGATACCTACCTATTGAGGCGTTTGCAGTTTTGTAATTTGGAAGCGAAAAGGGCGTGATATGACCTTACTTAAACGTCATATTCTCAGCAACAACAAAAACGACGGATTTCGCTCAAATTGCCCATTTTTGGACAATTTGGTGAGGGTCATGAATTTTTCAGGGTATGTGTAAAATTGATTAACTCGAGGGTACCCAAGGTCTCGTCCCGATCGGCTGCTTTTTGCGCGAGTTATTCGCAAAAAAAAAACGGGGGGAGGGTCCGTTCGACCCCCTATAAGTGCGAGGGTTAACCCTCTGCCTTTTCTCTCCTTACCAAATTCCGCCTCAATGGAAGCTGATTATAAGGAAATCCACGGTGACTATAAATAGGAAATCTAGCCATCCGCTGTCGGCAGTGCAGCGTTTCCTAACCGACGGCCGGTTGCCGTGTTTTCCATGGCAGTGCGGCCGGCTGTTCACTAGCCGACGGCGGCCACGCGCCAGTGCCAGCGAGCTGCTGCCCCAGGAATGTTTGGTTGAGCAATACTGTACTCCGTCTCCCGCCCAGCTGCCGTGCCGGGTGGCGGAGGAGGGGATGCGAGGGGCGGTACCCGTGACCATGTCGTCATTGTAATAAACACTGCGTGATTTGGTGCCGAATGGTGAGCAGAGTGGTGATGACATGGTGCGCAAATCATATGCATGGGTACATCACTACGCACCCATGATATGATTTATCAATGGGTGCAGAGCTGGAGCCAAGTGGTGTTCATGTGACGATTGACGGAGTTTAAATTGAGCTCAGTTCAAATAAACTATCGGTTGACAATACTACTAAGTTGAGAGTAGACGTTTGGATTGTTGTGGGTTAAGCACACTGTCGGTAGTTGGACGTCTCGAAGGTAAAAAAAAAATACCAAGTTCAACGTGCCATCGGCAATGGACATGGATGAGAAATATTGCATCCCTCGCCCATGTTTGGGTTCATTAAATGCAAGCATATCTCGGCCAGCAAGGATTGGTTTGGGGCCTGTCCAAGTGGTCACAGCGATGTTGAAAACTTTTTACTCGAGCCGCCAAGGACATCGGCATCATTATTCCAACAAGGCCGTCGGTTGTGCCATCTGAGCTATACATTGCGCCGTTGTAACGCTTCACTGCTTAATCGTATCAATAAGAGCAGTTAATTATCAATCAGTCTAACGATGAGTTCAAAGGCGTCCGACATTATTGCAATACTGCTGAGATATAAAGCCCTATTTGAAGAGAGCCCGCTACAGCTTTATTTTATGGTCCATTGCAGAAAAAAAGGTGACTTAAACAGCAAATGAGTCTTTAACCCGGCAGGCGGTGGGCCTACCAGCCACCTTCCGCGCGGTGGGGGGGGGCATTTTTTTGCCCCCCCCCCCCGTATCTCCGAAACTACTGGACGGATCCGCAAAATTCAAACGGCGTTCGATAGCCCTGTCAAATTTGTTGAAGGAAACCAAATTTCATTGACCTCGGGGTCACCGATGACGTCACAGGTCAGGTCAAAGATAAAATGTTTCACCGTTCACGGGCTTCTAGGGAAAGCGCTATAACACCGAGTAAAACGCATTTTGTCGAAAATAAGCGATAAGGCGTCACGTTGTCTAGTAATATGTTGTTATTAGAGGTCACTGGTCATACCAGGTCAGGTCACAGGTCAGGTCACCATAGGTCACCAAGGGTCACCACATGAGCCCAACTTTACTAAGGTTATGCGATGCATGTTTTATGGCCAGTTTTTCATTTCCAGCTCAATGGTGTTGCCTGTTGGTTATAAGACCATCAGGTACGGTTTAGGTCATTTTCTGGTGGAGGTCAGGTCAAGGTCAGGTCAAATAAGGTCAAATTTCAAATTTGATATTTTTGCATAAAATGGGTATCGATTCGATGCAGCTCGTCACGGGGAGTCTAATGGTGGTCTTTGTTTTGCGATACGAGGTCTAGAATTGCTAAAAATTGAGTTTGAAAATTTGACGTCATCAATTTTGAACAGTTTTTTTCGCTATAACTTGGCCAAAAAAAGAGATATCGATCTCAAATTTAGTATGTGGATAGAAGGCGATAGCGACTATCACATATATTCCGGTTTTTTCGAAATTCAAAAAAAAAAGGATTTTTTGGCTATTATATTCAAAAAATCTATTTTTTTATTTTTGGGGGTCAAAATCCAAAAAAAATCGAAAAACCGAAATAGCAGTTTTGAAGCCCTTTTGATTCCACACCTTTTATATCTGAAACATTTTTCTGTATCTCTAAAGCTGTAGGCCTGACAGCTCTTCCCGCGAAACCTTTTTTTGGGTCGAAAATGGCAAAAATGACGTCACTCTGACGTCATTAGCGGCCAACCTATCATAGCCTTTGGAAAAAAATTTGGTCACCATGTGCGCTAGCTGCTCCCGGGAGGGTACTGAAAGTTTGGTGACGATCGGCGCAGCGGTTCTCGAGATATATTGAAAAAAACTATAGGGGGCAAAAAAATGCCCCCCCCCCCCCCACCGCCTGGAAGCTTAAAGTACAGGAGCCTGATTCGATCTACAGAGCAGACAGAATCCAAGATGCCTTACTGCTAATCCGCGTAACATTCGTGAAAGTCTTTTACTTCCTTTAGGCAAATCAAATAATTGATGCGGTCTTTGTTTTTTTTTGTCATTTTTTCACGCATTTTTACATTTTTATACCAAGATACATCCAATCAAAACCGGTTTCTATTCGGGCAAGTGTATTCACATATTTAATACCTCTCGCATGGAATGCGTGAAGACATCCATAAGCATTAGGCATACAGAACAATCCACAATCCAGTCTGCATAGGCACTTCGACATGACAAGCATAACATAGCTCGGCAACTTGGTTTGACATTATGATCAATATCAGCGGCTCCAGTCAGCAGAATTATTCTCCTTTCGTACAAGCAAATACAGTCACTGCCTAACTTGGCACATGGCGACCCTGCGCCTTGTCATATATACCTGAATGAGATTGGTCCCCAGTCCCGATTATGTAGAGATACATCATCTGACGTGACCCCAAACGCCCCACAATTATGCATAAATAAGGCACTAGCGCGAACCTCCGCTGATTAGTATAAAAGTTACAGGACATGTGAACGACACGACTAAAAAGTTAAATTCGTTCGAAAAGTCAACAGTTCAATCACGCCTGGTTAGTTTGGAGCATAATCGGCATTCATCTTTACGCATCCACACGCTTATTGTGCACCTTACATAATATCACAAATCAAAACATCTCGCGTTAAAAGGCTAGAAAAAGGCAGAAACGTTAGGAAAAGCTGTCATGCAGTAAACGGACGCGGAAGATCAGCGGAAGACTTGGTAAAAGTGCGCTAATAATCCGCATATGTTATCCGATTTACGCACGAGCAAATGACGTCCTTGTGGAACCAGCCAACAAACTGAATTATCACTGTCGAACGCAATCGGAAGCAGCAGCCGCACTCCGACATTGGTCACTATGTCAAATGACGCCCAGGTTGGGAGCTTATGCTATGTGATTGCACAGTTGGCCGGGCCGAGAAGCGTATCCGCACGCATTAGACGGTTTTATCAGACACACATACCGCTTCTCATCTCACACACACACACACATACTTAGACAAGGACGGACACATATCGGCCCATTTACCTGGCCGGAGGACGGAATTGAACCGCGTTCCTGGACGGAATCGTTACATACTCTCCCTGTCTGGAAGGACGGACCACGTCCCGGACGGAACGGCGAGCCTCGCAGGCTGTTCTGCGCGCACCTCTAGGCGGCGGCCGTCTCCACGATCCGTGACATGTGGTCGTCGCCGACGTCGTACTCGACGATGTGCGTGACGACGGTGGTCTCTCGGCGCACGTGGCGGCAGGGCAGCACGTCGGAGAGCTCGAGCTGTTCCTCCTCCTCGGCGCCGGTCTCCTCCTGAGCGGCCTCCTCGGCGGCGGCTGGCGCGCCCACCCGCGGGTCGATCGCCACCGCCCGCCGCACGCCGCTCGCCTTGGCGGCCGCAGCAGCAGCGGCAGCGGCGGCGGCTGCGGCCGCCACGGCCGGGTCTGCGGCCGAGTGCTGGGCGCTGACGGGCAGCGCCGTCTGGCCGCCGAGCTGACCGCCCAGCGCCGCCATCTCGCGGTCCAGCAGGCTGCGCAGCTGGCCCAGCGCCATCTGGCCATCCAGTCGGATGGTGGCCTTCCGACGGCGCGCCGAGAGGCCGCCGTCACTCGTCTCCAACTGTACGGTCACCTGAGTGACGGTCAGATTCTGCTGGCCGAGCTGACCCAGCTGACCGAGCTGCTGGCCCAGGTGCTGGCCCAGCTGCTGGCCGAGCTGGTGTCGCTCCTGGTGCGGCAGCCGCAGCTGCTGGGACTCCGCCTCCTGCTGCGGCTCGGGCGTCCGCCGCCGGTCGTGCGCGTACTCGAGGATCACCGAGACCATGGCCAGGGTCACAGCGTTGGTCGGGAAGGCGCGGATCGACGCCGAGCTGACGCCGCGCATGAAGCCGCGCCAGCCCTCGCGCTTCAGCGTGCTGCGGACGCAGTCGATGTAGCCGTCGTAGTGCTGGATGCCGGCCATGCCGTCCGTCTGGATGCGCGTCTTCACCACGTCGATGGGATAGGTGAAGACCCAGGAGGCGACCCCGGCCGCGCCTCCGGCCATCAGCATGTGCGTGAGGCTCTTCCTCTGATCCCCGACAAGGCCGGTGGTGAGCAGCTCGTAGGTGCCGAAGTAGAGGCCGAACGCGGGCACCTCGCGCACCACGGTGACCCAGTACCCGCGCATCAGGCCGCGGGCACCGGAACGCGCCCACAGCTGGCGGCAGCAGTCCCAGGGCGAGCTGAAGTGGCGGGAGCCCATGCCGGAGACGCTGCTCTGCACCTGGAGCTGGCTCTTCACCAGCTCCATGGGGCTGACGACCACGGCCTGGCAGCCGCCGGCGATCATGCCAGCGGTGAACTGCGACCTCAGGCAGTCGGGGTCGGACATGAGCCGGCGCACGTTGCCCTGGATGCCGAACGTGAGCGCGTTGACGGCGGCCACGCCGTACATTGGCGATGTGAGGCCGCGGTACAGGCCGCGCATCTGCCGGGACACAGACGGAGAGAGGTTGGAGATGGTCGACGCGACACGGTGCCGAGCCGAACTGAGTGAGATATTTTGCTAGATTTTGAGTGTTTCCACAAATTGGCATACACATCGGGTTTATATGTTTTGCTTGAGATACAGTTAAACTCTTGAGGTAAAAGGATGAGGCAATTCGAGCATTCACCTTCCAAGATCATATTTAAAACATTGCACACATGGCAGTACCTACATAGGTATTCGAGAATAAATGACTTATACGTTCAGCGTTAAAACTATCAGGAGATGAAGCTTTCGCACATTTGGCTAATTCTCCGCACACAGTTTCAGTACTTACCCCTTCCTTGACTAGAATGCTCTGGAGACAGTGGAACGTCCCGCGGTATGTAGGATTTACCGAACATTGTGTTTGTATCCGGACCTGCAAACAAACACACAGTCCCAATTGGTCGGCATGAGTCGAATAACAGTAATCAAAATATCCTAACGTCAGCAGCGTGGTTTTATTGCATTTTAGCTCTATTCACTGTTTTGTGGGCCACTGTTCTGGCTCTATTCGTTACAAGTAGGGCACTTGTGGACTGTTGTTACCTACGCTCAAATTGAAATGCGCCCAAGACACATGCTAAACGCTTAATGATTTCCGGGTAATGTTTTGGGATAAATAGGTGCAGATATGGATGTTGCAAGGTCTCGGATACTCAGGGGATGAGTCTAGAAAGGGTAACCCTGAGCAAACCAGCTACATATCCCGAGGTAGCGGGCCCCTCTGTTTTCGTGATACGCCCTCCGGAGGGACAAGACCTTGCTGGTTATAGCGCGGCGCCGGTGGTCGCGGCGCCGGCCCTCCAGCTAGGTCGGCCGGCGAGGGGCACCCGGTGGGCCCTGGGACGACGGAGGGGCGCCGGCGAGCGCTGCGTAGATCAGATGGCCGCCACTGCGAGGGCAGAATTCGGCGCGGGGCGGCCTCTCGACGCGTCGCGCGCTGACTGGTGACTGTAGATGGCTGGATAGGTCCGGTGGCGCGCGCTTATCGTCCTGATCGGCTGAGGCCGCGCCGGTGTCGTCCGAAGTCGGCGGAGAGTGCCGCGCGCTCACGCAGAAGACGCGCGCCAGTTGGACGAATTCGACGCACCACTGACAATTAAGACGTAAAAACTAAAAACGCTTTTTGAATATTTGGAGCCGGTGTGAGCCCCAGGAATCTGAGTCGGGACAATTTGCGCAGAACGACTGGTCAGTCGCCATTGGACGTCCTTCTAAAGGCGCGCAAAACAAAATCGGTGTTGCCGTTTGTTAAATGGCGTAGTGGACTAGTGGGTTCATTCGTCCATATCTGGCTATCCCGGATAACGTACTGCATGTATGGTGCGTGAGCTGTCCATTGCACTTTAGGGTTGAGTTGAGATTGCCGAGTTCTTCGAGTTTCATTGAGTTCGTTTACTCACGACTGGGCGGACTCGTCGCCCATATACCTTGCGCTTGCCCACACCTCGGTCAGTGAGGCGCTTGTCTGTGGGACCCCATTGTGCTTGCCGACCTAAGGCTGCCCGAACCAAAGCGGTGGTCGCACGGGTGGCCCAGTCGCCTCGCCTCCGGTTTGAGCCGGCTCCTCCGAGGTGCCTCCTCCCCGGCAGCCTTGTTTGGTGGTCACGCCACCGAGAACAATGAGCCCAGTCGAGCATACGCTTAGCTAAAGGCGTGCTAGGCCGCCCGCCTCGATTCGGGATACATATCAGAAAGGGTGGCCGCTCTTGTAGTGTCTGGCGGCGCTTCTTGGGATGTTGTTCACGACTAGAGTGTTCTGCTCTACCACCTCGGCCAGCGAGGCGGCTGGGTTCTACTAGATAGGACTATGGAGAGTTCTTTGGTCAATGCGATACAATGCCCGGTGGTCTTCCAAAACATGTGCGAGAATACTGATTGTTTCGCCGGGATAATCTTGATGAGAAGGAGAAGCACTGTGCGTAAAGAGTGCCTTCTACGGGGCCTTTCTGCGTCGCAATCGGAAGAGAGCGGCAGCAGGTCAACGCCTTTCAGACGTGCCGGTCACTGAATAGTGCATGCGCTTTTGCTCGATAAAAGATCGAGTGCGTACGCGCGTACTAGCGTCCAGAAACCTGTCACGCTTGTAACAAATGTAAATACCTAAAGTGAAATGTAACACGCTTAGGTTGCATAAGAAGACCGATCACTCTCGCACGACCAGCGTAATGTGACTGACACTAGTCGAAGCACTGACAGGAACCTTGGACGGGGGGCAACGCTCCAGCCGATGTGTCCTGACTCGGAACCGTCCTTCATGCACCGGTATCATCCTCGTGACACCAGCCCCTCCTGTTCGGTCCTATGTACCGCTGCACGGGCCTGGTCCCTTCCTCCCGTCTACCAGGGCTCCATCGCGCCATATTTGAGTGAAGACCTACACGCAGTAGTGCCCGCTGTAGCGCTCCAAGTCGAGGGCTTCCATTGGAGAGTGACCCGGAGACCGCTTATAGGGGTGAGGTTTTGATACCTCCATTGCAGTGCACAACCCCTCCCCGGTAGTATGACAGCTTCTACTACTGTAAGGTGTCTAGTCTAGCTTGGGTTGGTACTGGGTATCTCCATTGGAAGAAAGGAACTGAACTGAAGGGCTTTATACTGAAGTGACTGGTGACAGAGTATCGACTCACCTTTACTGTGTCTAGGGGATGTCCGACAACGACTCCAGCCACACCTGAAACAAACAATAAAGATCGCATTAGAATCATCGAAAGACGTACCTAAAGGACTGGAGTTTGCACACGTAACGCATAAGCAGATTAATCAATAAGATGACAAACTGTGACCGAAAGAAGTGACCGAAAGAAGAAGTGCGACAGCGCACGATAGCAATAAAAGCTTAACTTTCCTCAGTTCAGCGCTCAGAGTTCAACATTCGTTCGTTTCACCATCCAGAAAGTCAATACGGTTGATGCGGCCTCACATACCAACAACTTGCAACGTCGGCTCGACGCTTTGCATCAGTCAGCCATCAACCATGCACATGCAGCAACGCCAATATATGTCGACGGATAGCAGCAACTCATTTGAATTGTATCCGACCGGTGCCTGAAGTGTTCGTGCAGTCCACCCTTGGATGCAGTCAGCCATGTATAGTTATGTAATCGTCTCACTCGGCCAGCCCCCTCCGAGAAGTGCCGCTGCCGCTTCACCTTGTGGTTGACCTGACTAACGTGACGTCTGCGCGGCGCGCGCAGCTTCTCGTCGTTTATGAGTTGGGTATTGAATGACATTTCGTTGGCTCCCATAGGTACTTCGGATCATATCATGCCTAGAATCTTTGTTGGTTGTGTGCAATGTTAGTTTACGATTTTATAGAATAAGTGCAGAATATCCCTTCGATGATCGTTAAAAACACCTTTGATGATACATAAACCAACCAAAGGTTTTAACAAAAGTTACGTAAAATAACAAATGACTATCAAAATGATGTTATCGATATGAACCGGTGTGTTCCACTCGTTCCACAGTCCAAAACGATGGGTGGCTGCTTTGCCCAACTTGTTCCTGCACCATGGCACCTATGGCACCAATCATGACACCAATCGGTACGCTGGGCTGGTGCTCCACGTTTCGTAGTGAATATAACTCACGGACGAGCCTCCTCATTAGCATAAGGCGGCATCTGATAGGGTCTGCCGGCGGCGCCACTGCGACTGCCAATGGAAGGTTCCAGGCGGCGGGCGGGACCGCAGGCAGGCTAGGCCTCTCAGCGAGTGGAGGCCGGGTCTGTCCGGGCCACCCGACCGAATCTTCCAGTGCACAGAGCTCTAGCAGACATCGCGCGAGCGCTCAATGGACGATTGTTGGCTTGGTTCATGAAACGTACCCAGGCGGCTGATGCATTTTAGAGGAACTGGACAACTGGATAAAGTAGCAACCACTAAGCCCACTAAGCAAATGTTTGTTCTGAAACGGAGTGCCCTGCACCTCATGTCAAGTTTCCAACGCAACGGCTCCCCTAAGCTTAACCGTCTATACGATCATTACCGGGTCAGTCACCTGGCGCCCTCCGTGAGTTTCGCCATGACCTGATTACTCCTGAATTTAAGCCGATGACCTCAAGAAGATTTTCGGCACTCCAATGTGACTACTGACAGACGACTCATTCCATGGTGTCATGGAGCATCAACGCTACTCGGCCAACACGCATCGTGATTCGCCGCTCGTCAATTTTATCCTTCCTAGTTCCTACTCAGTGGACCCTAATGTCTCTAAGAACAAGAAAGAAAACAAGAGAAAAGGGGTCGAGAGATAGAGGGAGATGACAACCTTAAACAAAAACAAAAGAGACAGGGGTAATGAGAGAGAGAGAGAGAGAGAGAGAGAGAGAGAGAGAGAGAGAGAGAGAGAGAGAGAGAGAGAGAGAGAGAGAGAGAGAGAGAGAGAGAGAGAGAGAGAGAGAGAGAGAAAGAGAGAAAGAAGATACCGGGAGAGAATTAGATAGAGGAGCTACCAGGAGAGACTGAGAAAGAAATAAGGGAAAGGGAGAGCAGAATACGGGGAGAGAGAGAGAGAGAGAGAGAGAGAGAGAGAGAGAGAGAGAGAGAGAGAGAGAGAGAGAGAGAGAGAGAGAGGCGGCGCGTCGTTGGCGATGGAAACTTCCAGTGGCCGGTGGCCGTCGGCTCCCGATCAGATATACTGTCCAATCGTTGGGCCATCAAAACCAGTCGCGGCCGGTGTCCGGGGCGCGGTGTGGCGCCGGACTCTCTGGACTGGTGTGTAGGGTCGGCAGCCCGGGTGGCCAGCCTGTCCAGCCCTCCACCTTTGTCGCTTGGCCATGAAACGGTCCCAAATTTTGAATGTCCTGAGAGATGTCTGTTGCAGAGCCGCGGGTCCTTCACATTTTGGTCACTCCCTAAATATAAATGCGATCTAAACGATAAACCGTTCTTAGAACCAAGACTGCATTTTAGCATGTATCGAATAATAGGTTCTATTACAGTCACCTTTTTGGACAGCTACTTCAGAAGAAGCCTCGACTCTTTAGAGAACAGGGTCGAGGCGTTGCACTGTATTTGGACGTTTTCAACATGAATTTTTGACCCGAACTGGGCTGCAGTCGGTCCCGAAAAGAAATTGCCTCCACATCAGTGGTAGCAGGCGGAGATATCCGCGGAGGCGGCAGTGGTGGCGAGGGTAGCATCGAAGGCGGAGGCGGCCGGAGGCGCAGACGGCCGACGGTTGCTGTTCCGATGCTATCATCTCGGGGCTCGTCCCATGGACGCCCCATAACTGAATGTTTTAGGGGACGCCTGCGGCGGGGACCGGTCTGGACCCGTCCGAGAAGGCCGCCGCGTCTGGGGCCCGAGCTGGCTCGCTCCGAGATGGCCCTCATGTCGACAGAGGCGTCCCTGACTGCTGCGCATTATCCTCCGACACCTGCGCCACAAGCAAACGATGACCAGAGCCCAGAAACCCTGTCCCAGCGTCCAGTGTCCTCTATCGAGGGCGCAGAGGAAGGAATGTCCCCGAACAGCGCTGGCTGGTCACGGCTCAGCTCTGTGGAACTTTGCCAGCTGCGACGGCAGCCTGCACCACATGATGCCGTCCATCTTGGATGAGTGGTGACCTAGATTGGAGGATTGCTACTCAAGAGGCAGGCCTCGTCGAGGTTAGCCAGACCATTGTCTGCCTTTCAGTTCCGGGTTGTTGTGTCACTGAAGGTCTGCAATTGTTGGCAGTGAACCGGTCAACAATTATCGCTCAACTTGACTAATTGTTGTTGCCGTTTCCTCCAATTTTCCTCTGGCCATTTTCCAATTTCCATCCTCTTCTCATTCACCCCTCATCTATTCCCACCCCATCTCCGCCACTGCAGCCAAGTCTCGGGGCCGACCGTCTGCCGCAGCCCCTCGCAGCCAGCCCCAGGGCTGTGCTGAAAGCTCGGGAAGCCCGCTACCTCGATCGTCCGGTCGACAGTAGCCGGAGGCTGCCACTGGGGCCGAGCTGCCTACCAACCGGCCTCAGCACTCAACTGGCGACGAGGGCCATGAACAGTCTGCATACTAATTGACTTCTGTATGTGGGAATATATCAGCCGGCGGATGGGTACGTTCGAGATTGCAGCGATAGATAGTGCAGACTCAGCGTCTGAGATGGCCCGGTAGGTCCGGTTCTGTTTATGTTTATCGTTATTGTTTGCTGTTAATGTTCGCTTACTTCATCTCATATTTATCCCTTTGATTCTACAGCTCGTTGTTGTTGCTTTGTAGCGTGAACGAAAGCAATTTTACCGTGTCGATTGGTATACATGAATAACACTATACGGAATGCTATGAATAATGAACACCTTATGAAGTTATGCAACGCCAAATAGATGTCAACAGCTATTCGGTCACTACATTCGTTCCAGTCGCTGCAGTGCTTACCTCCCACGCAGCCGGCGAGGAAATCCGTCGCCATCCTGTTCTTTTTCTTCTCTGAGGTCTGGAAAGAAACCTCCGACTTCGACCTGCCGAACACAGACAAACGCTCCGTCAATCCAGGGTCTATAGCTCCACCAAAACCACCCCGCCGACTTCGGAACTGGCACTCAAAATCACTCTGCGAATGTGGCAAAACGACGAGACACAAGGGAAGCTTAGATAACAGCATGAGGCTACATTGAGGACGTACCGTTTGGAATCTAACCTAGGTCACCAGTCAGAGCAAGAGGCTTGGTCACCGGTGTCCGGTCACCGGCTGCGGTCCCAGGTCACCGGCCAGGGTCACGAGTCGGAGGGGGCCAGCAGCCAAACGGCGGTGTCACCACTGCGGTTTTGGGACCGCCTAGTGATCGTCCTTTGCGATCCAGCTGGCCCACACGACACGGCGTCTCCGCGACCACTGTCCGGTCCGTCTCCCCGGCCGGTGCCGTTGTCTCCATCTGATCAGTCCCCTTGTCTCCGAGAGGGCGGCCCTGCCGCAGGGGGTTCGCGGAACTGGCCGGTCGGGGGTGAACTGGGTAAGAAGGGTGGTGCATTTGTATAAAATGCTAGTTTTCGCCTATTATATTCATCAAAACTAGACATGTTTACGCATATGGAGGACAAGAGACAACTGTGTGATACCAGCTTTGTTCTAACGCCCTTTCTATTATAATCAGACTGCTATACCTAATTCAAAATGAGTGTTGCACCCATACTCGTATTACGAACGTTTGGAGGCCCATGGGACAGCTCAGCGCCCAGGGATCAGACTCCCGAGTGTTTCCCCAAAATCTACATGCACCTTCCTGGCGACCCTGTCTACCGGTGTGCCGGGCGACTCCCGTCCGATTCCGCGAACTGACAGTCTCGCCTCACGTGTTTCAGGTGCTGGTCACGTTTTTGTCCCGCCCCCAGACAACTGCTCCTTATCGGCGCCGGTCCCGATGTGTCGCTGGTGCCAGGGACAGTAAAAAGGCCCCACTGAGCCAGTCGCTGCTGCCGCCTACTCATGATGCCGATGGCTGCCTTCTTTGGAGACGTGAGGTGAGTGAGAAACGAGCAACTGTTGCTGCCCGGACGGTCCAGCCGATAGGGTTACATTTTCAACTCTACCGTTTCCCCGTTGTTTCTATAGCAAAATATACACTACCTACTTGCCTTCTTTGCCTACATAACTAAATATTATATTGAAATCACCCACCCACCTCACCATGATGCTTACAAGGCAATAATTGTTTGTGAATAGGTACAAGGACATAGACCCAACGTCTGTAAGTAGGCACCCAATAAAGTCCAACGAAAGAAAGGCTCAGCCGTTTCCTCGGAGCATTGAAGTCTTCGCTGTTGGTGCTACTCCTATACTGCTGCGTTGCAGTCGCTGGGCTTTCTGTGCGCTGTGGCGGCTTCAGAGGAAGATCTTAATCAGTCATATCATATAGGCACCTCGGTTATAGGGTATTACGTTGAAAGCATTGGTTAAGACAAGGGTTACCGATTTCATTTTCATATTTTGGTCCAGTCCAGGTATCTTTCAAGTTTCAACTTCTAATAGTATAAGCTTGTTCAAAGTTAAATTGTTCGGTGATCAATGTAACTGAGATGTCGAATCACATAGAAATATTTTGTAGACATATTAATTTTCTTACGCTACCATTCCTGGCTGTTCATCCAATCTTGAAATGCCGGGCATGTCATTCTGGTGGAGGTGACGGTTGGAGCTCCAAAAAGGCCTTTAACCCCACACCGAGGTCCGCAGTCCTCGGCACCAGTATGCCATCCTCGACATTTCGAGCATTTGCCTCATTTATTGTGGACCAAAAACATCAGGTGTGCGTCCTGAAAACGGATTTAGGAGTCATTTGGTCCACCTGAGGACATGTGCTGAACATCATGTACCTATATAAAATTCAACTTAGGTTTGTAATAATGTTTGTGATAATGCAATGTTCACTCTGACTGCTTCAAGATGACATTTTTCATGCTGATTTCATTTTTCCTATAATGAATTTATTGAAACAAATAAGAGCACGACTTAGCTAAAACATTTGTGATTTTAGGTGTCGAAAACCACTAAAACACTCAGTTTCCTCACTTTGAAACTCCCCAATGCCCCGCGAAATCTGGTGGATTTCAACTTTGAATGCCTATTGCCTATACATGGCCTTAACTGAATGAACATCTTTATTAAAATACATACCGATGCCAGATAAAATGTTTCCCGATGGGATAGAAACAAGGTCTTGATTCAAGCCCATGGTAGGGAACAATTATTGTGCGCTAAAGGTCCCATGAATATTTGAGGATTTCTAGCATTCAACGTTTCATATCGTGCTTTAGTGTTTTTCCACAATGGTTATGAAATGCCGTGTTCCAGGATGCGTAGGGCAGTCAAAGTGCAGCTTTCACAGATTTCCTAAGGATCCTGCCTTGACCACCAAGTGGATTGAAGCACTGGGAAAGCCTCCAGATTGGCTCCCTACGGATAACAACAGAGTGTGCTCCTCCCATTTCGACCCTGCCGTGATAAAGTTGAAATGTGCCGTACCAAGAAAAGAAACGCTGGTCATTGAGAAGGATAGTGTGTTGGATGACCACACCTACGCCCTACCAAACGCAAAAGTGCTGAAAAGACGCAAAGGATTGCGCTAATTAACACATTCATTCCGAGAAATGTTTTCATTTAGATACCTTCTACTCAGTTCTATTGCTGCTTGCCAGCTACGTTCTTTCGCGCTCCACCACTCGTCCACCATTTGATCGGTTGAAAACAAAAGGCGCCGGAAGCGGGGTCGTTCGCTTTACGTATGCGTTTCACGTTTCGCGCTTATCTTGCATCCTTGAGAGATTTGTGTCGCCGACTTCGCCGTCAAATACACAGGGTCGTGCAATTGTTTACAGGCGAGCTGCCTTGACAGCCTATCTTCCGACGACGAGATGCGGGATACCTACGTCTGATCCATTATTGAACACCGGTCACCTGACGACCACGCACAACGCGCGTGCTTAGAAAGTTACAGTGGGTACTCGTAGTATGACCAGTGACTTTCTGAGAGACTGCCGAGTGTTTGTGCGTAAGCAGTGTGGTCAGCTTGATAGGTCGGTAAAACCGGCGCATGCTATTGGGCGGTGTTTGAATGAAGGCCGTTTGCTTCTTGTGCACTGTGTAACTATAGGCATTTTTATCATGTTTGAGTTTATTATTTTGAAGGAAGTAGGAACTTGCATGTGTTTGTATTATACATTATCTGCTATTTTCATTCTGCGAATGATAAGGGGGCTTATCCCTGTGTCTATGTTATCCTCCCCTGCCATTTATCCACGTTTTGCTTGCCATAATCAGATGAGGATGCAATGATTTGACTGCAGTGCATTTTAAATGCAAGCATTTTAGATAAGTTCCTTAACTTATTTAAAATGTCGGTTTAAAAGCCGGTCCCGTAGCTCAGTTGGTTAGAGCGTTGGACTCCGCGTGGTGAGAGCACGCGTTCCCGGTTATGACAGTCCGGGTTCGAAGCGCGACGGGCGCTCGACATTTATGGGCCTCCTGACAGGTATGGTTGCGGTTGGTGGCAGGCCGTAGCCAGGCGAAGTCAGTGAGGGGACCGGCCGTGCGCGGCTTTGTGCGCACGTTAAACTTTGGACTCTAAATCCTGCCATAGAATCGGAATTGCGCGATCGGAGGGTAGAGGGCAGGGTCATCGCAACAAACTTCGCTTAGCGGTGGCTCTGTCCTTGTGAATCCTTCCCATCAAAAGGTTCGGACTAAATTTATAAAAAAAACTTAAGTTTATGAACCTTTCGAGCGACTGTTTATAAATGATAATTCTTAGCTATCTATACGCAAATATGGTTGAGGTAAGAGGTTGTAATGCAATCTTCACGTTGGCCATAAACTATGCTGTTTTGAACTCCAGACTCCAGTTGTCACTCGCTACGGATCAAAGAGATACTTGTTTGTATCCGCCTTTTGGTCGTTTTTTTTTCTTGGTAACTTTAGTCCTTGCTTTAGTCTGACAAACCTTAGAAAGAACGGATTTAAAGCGCAACCGCTGCTGATGCACGCGCCTTTATATTGCCTCCTATATATCCAAGCACATTTCTCTCACAGCTTTTCACATACATGTTCTCCGAACGTTACATTGTCAGTTATCAAAACACGTGCAAAATGATTCAGGCGCTTGAACTCCGATCTTTCTTATATTTTTTTTCAGACACTCGTATTCTGTGCAGTGTGCACCATTGGCATTTAGTACCTTTTGATTTTTCCGATACCCTTTGACGATGTGCCCAGTGCCATTTTTCATATTTAAGTTATGTGCCATTCACAGGAAAAGATAATATAAAAGTGTGTTTTGCTCCGATTTGTTACAAAGGATGCCTATAAATGAATGATTTCACGAAGCTGAGATTTGAGCGGGCGTTCTAGTTACTTACCTACTTATGATCTTCATTGCATATATTTTGTAATGCGTGCAGAACATGTATTTTGTACATACGTTTGTGCATATGGGTATGCTTTGAACGAAGAGTTAGTCAGATTAACAATGTGGTTAGAGTGACCCTCGCAACTAAACTGGAGAATTCTTACAAAGTACATCAAGTGTTAGCTACACAAAATCAAGTAGGTCGGAAGTCACCCAGGTCGATTGTTAGATTGAACCGACACCGGCCTCAGAATGGCGTAACCATTGGGTAGCTCTATGACCTGATTCGGTAACCCGCCCGAATTCGGCTGTGACGACGTTGCACACTACACATTACACAACCCCCTACTATCTAGGGTATTCCCCTTACCGTAAATGTGCGCGCGAGTGCCCGTTCGGTGGGCCAGGAGGGCGGCTAGGTTCCCCGTCGTGGCGACCGGCGTCCGACAGGTAGACAAAACGACCCTGGCCAGCGACCCGCGCTGACCGTCACTCTCCACTGCCGCCTCCGAGCCGCCGCCGGTGACCCCACCGTCACCGTCGAGCATGTCTCATTAATTCATAACCAGCGGCGCAACCGGCAGCGCAGCGCACGTGCCATTGGTGGGGGTGTGTCCGGCGGCAGCCAATCAGCGCACGCGCCGCCCGCCGACGACGTGACGTCACGGGGCCGTACTGCGCAGGCGCGGACGACGACAGCGATCGTCGGCGCCGTCGCGATACCGATCGCAGACGGATCGTTACGCCCGAGGGCGTTTGTGTGTGTCTGTGTGCGTCCGACGGCGCGCCGCCCGGCTGCCGCAGTCGGCAGAGTGACCCGCTCCTACGAACTCCTCCGTGGAATCTGTGACTGTGTGTGACTGAAAACAGTGGACTCTACTCTGCAGCGGAGCGAGGGGCGCCGAGGTAGGTGCCGACCCACTGACGCCAGGCCCGTACAGCTGTGCGTCAGCTCTGGACACACGCCAAGTCAGGTGGTGGCTGTCTATATCGGGGTCGGGCTGGGACGGGAGCGGTATGACAAGGTCGGGGGACGGCAGGGTGGCGACTGGCGAGTGCCGCACCTCGCGGGTGTGAGTTGAGGGGAGACAGAAGGTTCTGACTGACGGAGAGATGATGATGTCATAATCCCGCCGGCCGTCGTCATTGCCAGGGCTGAGCGGATTGGCTGTGGATGGTATGTGAGCGGCCGCTGGTTATTCGTGACGTCATACACCGTGCTAGGGCCAGGACCGGATGGAGTCCTGTCACATGTGATGACAGAATGATAAATTTTACTCAAAATATTTAAACTCATTTTCAAATTTTGTGGATCGCTGATGTCACTCTCGATTGTCGTTTTCCTAAATACGTAAGATGAAAATGAAATTCGAATCAAGCGCCTGACAGAAATAATCACTAAACTACTTTTCTTATCTCTGCCTTTACAAATTAGCGATCACAATTAGAAATTTAATCGCTGCAGGACTTGTCAGGATCACCGACCAAGGCCTGGGATGTCAACTAAATGCTGCCTCGGTTGACGGTCACCGAAACGACTGTATGTGTGCCGCTGAATGTGTGAGATGCCGGCTCGGTCAATGGGTTCACAATGCCACAGGATGTGTGAGGCTCAGCTGCCGGGTATCAGACTCGGTCACAAGACACTGGGGCACTGCTCAGCATTCAGAGCTTCAACTTACAAAAGCATATAGGCGGCGGAACGGGGAGGGCACCGGGGCACTGTGCCCCGCCCCACTTTGATTTTGGCATTTTAACATTAGCCCTATGGGCGTTGCATGGAAAGAATGGGACCAAAAGTCGACAGTGCCCCCCCCCCCTTAATTGAAGGTGTTCCGCCGCTACTGTACAACAGGGCAGAGCCGACCACTGATCAGTGACTAATCACCTTCATAGCAGGTAGTTTTCAGTGGATATGTCCGCGGGCTCCCCACTAAACACTAATGTTTTCCATGGAATGCAAATGTCAATGTGCCTGGAGGACAATCTGGCCATGCAGTGGCGAGATTATTCTTGGGCTTGTTTTATAATTGGCGTTCTCAACATGTGTGCGATTCAACTCTGCCGCGCCCCTGCCCCGCGCCTGGCTTGGTGTAATGCGGCACAGTATCACACTGTTTGAGCATTGCGGTACAGCATACCTTCCAGGCATTTTCCTGCGGCGCTACGTGGAAACCGCTTTCCCGTCCCTATTGCTGCTAAGAGTCACAAACTCGCTCCAATACAGCAATGGCATCCGCTAAATCGTTGTGCTATTTTAGGCCACCTTCAGAATCACTCCAAACTTCTGTCTTGGGCTAAGAATATGCCGAGACGTGCTGAAGTGGCAGATATTTCGGAGGTTATTCGGCCGGAGGATGAACGTTTTTGTAGAGGTCTTGAGATTGTTTTTGTGCAAAAATGAACCCTTCTTATGATAATAAAAGTTGCCTAATGAACGTAACATAATTTTGCACGTTGGATATTGTTAATTGTTATTTAATTCAATGTTTATTAAATACACTACTTTTCACACTATTTACTTATTTACAGGGGCTCCGCCACGGTCTCAGGATTGTGTGGTCCCACCCCAAAATGCACACACCCTTATACGTTAAAGTGACCATCCCACCTTAACATTAGTTTTGAGTTGAGATAGCCAAAATGGGGTCCATGGCTTGCACTTACCGGTTTGAGCACTCACAAGATCGAGAAATGCCTCAAATCGAAAATATCTAATTTGAAAGTTGCAGCACTTTGATTCAGAGGGACTAATGCATTAGAATGCCCCCTCTGAATGAGTGACGTCAGTGCAGATCCAACGATTTTAAATCTTTTACCAAAACGTTTGGTAGCACGCGGTGGTATATGCTGCTTTGCGCGCAACAAGTGTCGCACTTTCAAATTAAGTCGCTAGCAACAGCAGAGATCCCAAAAAGTAAATAAAAGTAAAAGTCTTGAATCTTGAAAACCGGTGAATATTTATCGATGAAATTTGGTAGATATTAGCCGTTTTCACGACTGTCATCTGGTACACATTTGGTGCACATCTGGTACAGATCAGGTGCAGATTTGGTCAAATCAGGTTCAGTGTGTCTCTTAGCAGCTATCAGCTAGAGTTGCACTAATTGCTTATATGCCTGCTGTGTCATATTATCAGAGAGCATCATCGAATAAAACACTGAAATAATTTCATAAAATGAAGATATTTGCTGTAAAAGAAATTAGGTGCAGATTTGGTCAAATCAGGTGCATTCGCCGGATAGCCCGTCGTGAAAACGGCTATTCCTTTTCGCTCTTTCTGAACCGAGCGACATCACTTTCATGTCAATTCATTAACTTTTTTTGAAGGTGGGAGGGTCCCTTTAAGTTGAATTAGGTACAAAAGTGAAATTATGGGGATGGAGCCCCGTCAAAGTTACGTATCTCTTTTCTAAATAATTTCGTCGGCCAGGTCAGTAATGTATGTATATTCTTTGACACGAATCTCATTATTCCAACGCCTCTGCTGAAATGCATCTTCAGCTTATGTAACTGGCTCTGGACGACTTCGTTTGGCGGCATAACAAGGTTGTCTCTGATACGACATGCATGCTTGTCATGCTTCGAGAAACTGGATGATGCAACTCGCCAAGTGTCCGGTTGAGGTCAGCCTTAGCTATCTATATTACTATTTGAGGAGGGTGCGTCTGTCCGTTACCGAGGTCCCGACTTGGTCGTGCTTTGCGTGGACTACAGGCCAGACCGTTGCACCTAGCCCGGTGAAATTTGCACAACTTACAGATCAAGGATGCGCGACGTGCCTTTGAGGGGTCTCAGCTCGATCGGATTGATAGGGATCGCGTGGCGCGTGCTCAAAAAGTGCAAATTCGCGTCATAGACTTTACATGTATAAATCGGCGTGCGAAATCGGGCGAAAACGGTTAATTTTGGCCGACACGGGTCCAGTTCCCGTGCAATATCTTGGTGACCAGGGGTCCGACCGGCACGGGGAAAACAGCATCGTGTACAGAATTGAACGGGCTATTGAATGGTGTGCAATGCAGAGGATAGCACGCGCCACGTGCACCGGAGAGGGCACTTTTATTTGAAAAGTTGCGGTTTTTGAGGGATTTTGGAATTAATTTTATTTTTAGGTGACCGTTAAATGGAGCGAGTTGAAACAACGCCTGTTGACAAGAGAAACGTACCGCCTCTCATGGGAAAATTGTGAATAGCTAATTGATCGACGACAAGGTGGTATAAATCGCTGGAGAAAATGGTTTTTGTCGATGATGTGCCACTTAATTAATCACACGGGTTTTGCTCAATGATCTGATATCTCTGTCAATTAAAAATGGCACCGTTGGAAAGAGCATTCAATTCTGTCCAACGCTCAGCCTTCATTTTTGCATGATGATCAACAGTATTCTTAAAAATGTAAATGTTCCAAACCATTACATTGTCATTTTTACCGGAATTCATCGATGGCCCTCAAAAGACTTCAAGTCAGTTTTATAGTCAAAATTGATGTGAAAATGATCAATAACATGCCAAAAATTGTATTGGTTCTTTAGTTTACCAAAGAGAAACAAAAGAGACAAGCTTTCGACAACACTGTCATCATCAGGTCTGAGTTTTTTGAAATTCCTTTACACACTTCACAACATACAAAAACATATTCGCACGCTACAATGATGGAAAACATTCCTCCGTTTGTATGTAGGTGGATGTCGACATCGACGACAGATCACAAAATGCTTATTTCAATATGCTTACAACGTCACATGTCACAAGTTCTATATAATCAAGCGATGATAATTCCTATCATGTTCTATATAATCAAGCGCTTATACAAACAGATACACACCATGCAAGTAACAAAAAATGAATACTACTTTCTGGTTCGTAACCTACCAAAAGTCACAACAACCTAAACGATTGGCCAGGACTGTGTGAAGGTATTTAAGTTTGGGTTGATATCACGGATTTTCATAGATTCATCAATTTTATTGTCAGCCACGTCACGGTTTCTGCTCAAAATATCTATATGAAAGTTGTTGTTCATTTCCTTGTGACTAAGTGTCGGGTGTCTATCTAAGGCATGCTCACCAAGTCCGGTACCTAGTCTTCTTAGTCTGGCGTCAGAAAGGTGCTCGTTAAATCTCTCACGAACCGGTCGCGACGTTTCTCCGATGTAAATATAAGGTTTGTCCTGACATGTTTTACAAGTGATTTTATATACGACATTTTTTATGTGGCATTTCCCCTGAAGACCGTTCGGACACGTGTGGCACCGGGTTTTGCCGCGGCAAAGCGGAGGCTGAAGGGCAGATCTGACCAGTTTGCTTTTCACCGTGGGTCCACTCTGCCAAGCCACCCTAAGGTTAAGCTTAGATGCCCTGATAATGCCATTGACTCGATGACACACTGTTTCATTGACGTAAGGGAGCCTCATATAAGTCATCTGCCCTGATTGAGCGTTTTTTCTATCATGTTGTGCCTTTCGTTTTTTGTTGTTTTTAAAAGTTCGGTCAATGATGTGCTCAGGATATCCGTTTTCCAGGAAGAGGTGCTTGATTTTGTCCAGGCTGCGTTGCACAGCAGATGGGGAAGAGGATACCTGGACCGCTCGTTTCGTTTGGGAAGTGAGGACACCTAGCTTAGTTTTCATGGGATGAGCCGATTCATAATTTAAAATGATAGGGGCCAGGGGCGGATCCAGAAAATCTCCAAGGGAGGGGCCATTAGAAACCAGGAGGCCCCCCACCTGTTGGAGGCCCCATCTTCCCACTTGTTGGGCCCCCCCCCCCAAAAAAAACTGCGTCTATTGAGCTTATCTAGCTGTTCAGTGGATGCGAGTGGAGGCCCTCTGTGGAGATTAAGAGGTCCTGTGTTGGCGAAGAGGATATCTGTGCAAGCTTGGAGTCCCTCTGTGCAGGATAGGAGACCTTCTGTGTGAGTTAGGAGACCCTCTGTGTTGGCTAGGAGGCCCTTTGTTCGGATGCGAGTGGAGGCCTCTGTGTAGGCTAAGAGATTTTGTGTTTGTTAGGACATCTGTGCAGGCTTGGAGGCCCTCTGTGCAGGTTAGGAGGCCCTGTAAAAGTGGTCATCTCTGTGAGTATAAGAGACCTCCAAGTTATGAAAAGCTTTACCAATCTTCTAACAAAGAAGTCTTCTCAGCTAGTCTTCTAAGAAATAACTAAGTGGGTAGGTTAAAAAAACTCATCGGATTTCGGCCACTTTATTTTCAGGAGGCCCCCTTTTCAGCTTTTTAACTTTTTATTTTATTTTTGAAAAAAATCGGCCAAGGGGGGGGGGCCATGGCCCCCATGGCCCCCCCCCCTTGTATCCGCGCCTGATAGGGGCAGTCATGGGTTTGATGAACAGCTCTGTTGTGTAAGTGCCGTTGGGATGAACCGTAACCATAGTGTCAAGGAATGAGATGTTGCCTGTGTGGTACGTGTGCTCTAAGGTGAACTTGATTTTTGGATGAAAGCTGTTGATATTCTCATAAAACTCAAGTAAAGTTTCGATGCCATGTACCCATACTCCGAAGTAATCGTCAATATATCTTAGTAAGATGCTCGGCCTAACAAGTACTTTCTTTACAAAGCTAGATTCTAGGTTGTGCATGAAAACTATAGCCAGCGGTGGCGCAAGCCTGTTCCCCATTGCTATGCCCTCCGTTTGTTTGTAAAAATCAGTCCCAAAACGAATGAAGTTGTTTGTCAGCACATGTGTAAGAAGTTTCTCTATTTCGTCTAGTGAAAGGCCATACGTGTTGATTTTGGAAATGTTTTCTTTGATTAAGCCGATCGTTGCGCTAATCGCCTCTTGTATGGGGATACTCCCATACAGGTTCACCACGTCAAGGGAAAACACAATGGCTCCCTTAGGCAAGATACCTGGAAAGGAATGATTGAGTTTACCAAGATAGTGCTGTGTGTTTTCAATATACGTTGGTACGAACTGAAGGAGCTGTGTTAGGATTTGCTGTAGGAACCAAGACAGTTTGTCTAAGGGGTTCCCGCAAGCTGATACAATGGGTCTGAGAGGGTTTCCTGGCTTGTGGGTTTTCGGTAAGCCATAAAACTCAGCCGTTCTCGTCCATTTGGGTACTAATTGGTCGATGGTCCTGTCAGGTAATTTCCCACGCAGCACTTTCGCGGTGAGGTCTCGGGTCCTTTTCTCTAAGTCTGGGGTGGGATTCGTGGCCACTTTTTGGTAGCTACTTAGCAAATCCGACGCTTTGGAGACGTAATCTGATTTGGACATGACAACTAAGCTTTTACACTTGTCAGACTGTTTTACTATGAGATCATCGTTGCTAACAATATCCTTTATGACGGGAGCATATTTCTTTGCATCAGTGTTCTGTGTGTTTTTCTGTGACCGAAATGCTGATAATATTCTGAACTTAAGCTTCCTGAAAAGTTCGATAGATGAGCTTTTCACAGACGGGGGTTGACAGGCGTATGAGTCTGGGAATCGAGGCTTAGAGAGAGGAGGATTAAAAACGATTAAAAACGATCAAGTCAGTTTTCGAATCATTCTAAAGTAGAACGCATGATAATACGACACGGGCACCTCGATGCGATGTATCTTTTTTGTTTTATTACAAAATGCTTGGCCGTCAAAAAGAAATCGAACGAAATGGATACCAACTAAATCGACACAGACCAACCCAATACCCACTGGTCAAAAATAACCCTTCTTTGCGTTGCGGAGCACGCGGGTAACCCTAGTGGTGTTCTATTGTCCTGTCCATGACGTAGGCCTTCGCTGATATTGGCCATTCCCAGAGTGCGCGACGCCCAGGAGACAGTGGCGTCACAGCGAGACCGGCTCTAATTTTCATACCTACAGGTAGTTATCTACTGGGGCCGATCTGCCCACGCCCTTTTATAATTATTATATGTAAACGGAGATTGTATGAAGGCAGAACATCTGTTTAAGGTCTGCCAGCTGTCAACCTGCCGGCTGCTACGTTTTGACGATGTACAGTTTCTGCCGGATATCAGCGCTCAATGCCACCAGCTCCATACGGCTGCCAGAAGTCACACGCTGCCACCGCCCCCTGCACTCTGCCAGTGATAGCAATATGTTTACATTGCCGGGCCCATGCCCGGGATCACGGGCAGAGTCTAAACCCATCCGCCGCGGTGGCGCGGACCCTGCAGTATGACCCCATGGCGGATCCAGAAAGGCGGTCTTGGGCGCCGCAATGGGGTATGCCCCCCAAAAAAGTTTATCTAAGTTCCAAAACTTTTCGGATTTTGATTCCATTGCACTGCTGTGGCGTTGAAAGTAAACTTTTCCCAAAGCTACCCCGGCCCCGGTCCCGGCGACGGGGCAGGGGCCGCCCGGCCTTTCCGTGATAAATTGTGACAGTCGTGCCACATGATCCGCCGAAACGGGAGCGCTCGTCTCCCATACTGGCACTGCACAGTGTGCATACACTCAGTGCACCGTCTGAGCGAGTGCCGGCCGCCAGGCGCGGGCCGCGGCTGCAGTGCCAGTGACGGTGAGCCTGTTCAGACCGGCTGTGGGTTCCATCTGCCGCGGTGAGTGGGCCATTCTGCCGTCTCTGGTGACGGGATGGCTTCTGCAATAGCAGTTCAGGTGCACTTGTGGTCGGTTAGGGGTGGATGGGACGATCCGAAGTGGCTATATCGATATGGCAGATGGTCTATAGCATACACGATGGTTGCGGGCTGGCTTCCTCAGAACAACCAGCGTTCGCCTGTGCTTGTACCGGAAAAAGTGTTGTCATTTCACATGACGGTCAAATAACGTTTTTGCCCCATGCTACCACGTTTTAATTCACGTATCTTCTATGTATGTTTGGGAATATGTATGCTTGCCACACTGGCAATGGTATTCTGTTTTTTTTTTTTCACCCAGACTGAACCAGCTCCGCCGCGTGCCGCCATCCTCGCGGCCGCCACCATGGACCCGTACGGGCGCTACATGCGCATCGAGGACGACAGCGACTCGTCGTTCTCCTGCGGCCCGACGCCGCCCAACCCCAATAACGATAACGACACGTCGTGCATCCTGCGGCTGAGCCCCGAGAGCCTGCAGCGTGACCTGCTGCCTCGCGCGCCGCCGCCCGCCACCACTGGGGGGCTGCGTAACCTGGTGTACGACCAGGCGTACGAGCCGCCGCAGCCGGCGCCACACTCACTGGGAGACGCCATCGAATCAGGTAGGGGAGAGAGAAAGAGAGAGAGGGAGAGAGAGAAAGAGGGAGAGAGAGAAAGAGGGAGAGGGAGGGAGGGAGGGAGGGAGGGGGAGGGGAGAGAGAGAGAGAGAGAGAGAGAGAGAGAGAGAGAGAGAGAGAGAGAGAGAGAGAGAGAGAGAGAGAGAGAGAGAGAGAGAGAGAGAGAGAGAGAGAGAGAGAGAGAGAGAGAGAGAGAGAGACTGGGGTTATTTAGTTTAAATAATAAACACGCCTTGTTATGGATAGGAAACCGGCTCGATGATAACCTAACCACTAATTGGCAGGCCTTGTCCGAATCGGGGAATCCCCGTTCTGTTATCGGGATGCGTTTATCGACGTTCTTTGACGTTCTTTTATGTATTTATTTATTTATTTGTTTTATTTTTTAGCATCGTTTGGTTTGAGCATCAGTCATTTGGCATGTGAGGTGCTGAGATCACCACATAAGAAAGATGGCCTTGGTGTCATGGAGTCTCTCCTGATAACGAGATCTTTGGTCACCACTGACGATTGTTTTCCTCGGGATTATTAAACACTGTCTACTGTTACTGCAACGTCTTTGTTTATAAATGTAATGTTGCTCACTCGGTGAACTCAAAATGTTCAGACGGTCATCGAATGGTAGGTTATTTATCCCGTGTCTACACGAAATGTATTGAATAGAATGTCGTCTCAATCAACCACCCTTTATCACAAGGCTTCCCGTTGTTACATTTTGTCCTCTTCCTCTAAGAAAAAAAATAATCATCTACCATCTCGATCAGCTACTAGCCAGAAGCTCCGTAGAAGAAGCTCTCCATCAATCCTTGTACCTACCGGTGACGCAATATGTATCCACTGTCAGTGGGAGCTCCCCGGTCGGTCCGTCAAACTGTCACCCCGTCTCGGCTGATGGTTCGACGTGCCAAGTGCCGCCGAGGGTGGACACTGGACACAGTAGGCAGTCCACGGCCGTTAGCGCGGCTGTGTGCATCTGGTGTCCTGTGTAGTGATACGGTGATTGTGATTTTCCCCGTGATCATGTCTGACTTCAGGAATGACCTGTCAGGTCGTCGTTTAGAGTCAGGTCGGCCTCGTTTGTCGTGTGACTCTTAGGAGTCTGTATCTGACCCTTGGACAGTCTCTGTCTTATTTGTGTCTGCCCTCGGCGTATCTGACGGGCAGGTCTGCCCCATGTGTGACCTCGTTCATGTTCTCATGTCTGACTTTATCTGGCTCGGGAATGACCCCGTATGTGACCTAGCGCCTGACCTGCGTGTGACCCGTGTTTGACCCCGCTCGGTCCATGCCGCAGCGCACCTGCCTGAGAATCTAGAGGAAGTTCCCGCACTGGATCTGGATCTGCCGCGGAACGAGCCCCTGGATACCAAGGATGTGACTGGACATATCACCACGGATATCACAGGTCAGATGGTGCGGGGATGGACTGCGAGACAGGGCGGACTTTTGGTCACAGCCTTCGTGTCATGGCAATTAAGTGGATGCACCTGGGTCAAATTCAACTTAATTTAATTTAACGAAGCATATGTATTGGGAAAAGGGAGATAACCATAGATTTATATGTTCGATCTACAAAAAAAAATCACTTCGAAGGAAAAATTATTCTTTTTTGATACGGCAAGTTTTTAAGTTTACCTTTAGACAAGTTGAAGTCTAATGGTCTTATTGTGCTTATAATCATTGTCTAAAGCTACGTTGCAATATGCGCTAAACAAGATTGACATACCTATCTCCTGCGTGTATTCATCCGTGTTCTCGAGATATGTACTTCTGAAAATGGTAAATCTTTTTTGCTCATCACTTACTAGGCGACTGAGTCGCTGGGATGTGCAGGGCTTAGAGACTGCCTAGTTAGATAACTACAACCAATTCGAAGCCAAGAATATGATGTAATCCAGCTCCTGAGTGATGCCATGGACGGTGGTCACCATGCCATGACGTAGAGGAACCGTTTCGCCCTCGGTGTTGCAGCCGCTCCCTGTATGCATGCCAATCGTATATCGGGGCCGTCGGGGGCGCGGCAGACAGGTTTACAGACTGTAAAACAGGCCCGCCACACTCCTGCAGTGCCCGCCGCGGGGGGCGCCGGCGGCCCCACAGGTAAGGACAGTCACCTACCTACTGCGCAGCTCCTCTGGCTCGATCGGACGACTCTGAGTGCGGAACTCAGACCGGTGGAGACTGAGTCCGGAGCTCGGACCCGCTACAGGGCGAGCGGAGCGCCGGCTCCCCGCCGACCGGCCACCGCGCTCTCTGGACACACTATGTATTGCGTGGGTCGTGTCCTGCGGCCTTTTCGACCCTCGTCACCCCCTCTGCCCGCGCAGAGGGTACCGCCAGCAGCCGGTGGCTGGTGAGACACGCCCGCCTCTCCGCGCTGGACAAATCTGGTTTTCTCTGGCTGAGTCTGGTCGGGACTGAGGCCGACCAGCGACCTTCGGATGTCGTGCCCCGGTTCGCGAGAGCAACATTACGTTAACTTACATCATCATGAGAAAAGCGTGGGGAGACGCACTCGGAATATCCGCCAATTTCTGGTTTCCGTTTGTTTGTGTTCAGGGAACAGTTATATGAGTTACCGTTAAAATTACGCCGTTTCCGTAATTCCTGAACGATGAAAAACTATGTAATTAAATAGACCGAAGGCGCCTAACCGGTGATCCAACAAAATGATTGCCTATTTGTATCTAAATAAATCGACAACAGGCGTTAGATGTCAAGCGTGAGCGCGCCGTATCGTGACAATATAATCCCGGCCGTCAATGTGACGCATGTGGAAATCGCTACGCAACTATTCATTCTGTCAGAGGAAGTCGATCGAGTAGCCCGTATTGGGATCGAACTATAACTTGACTGGACGCTGACTCTCGACCGGAAGCCGTGTTATAATTTGGAGCCGCGAAAAAAAGATAAAGTAAAAAGGCCTACGGATGTCTTTGGTCAACATGTCCACTCTCTCTGCATAAATGACACATACATAGGAATGGATAGGTAAGACGTCAGTCCCGTTGCAGCAGACTGGAGTGACACATGTCCAAATGGTGCCACGACCTTTGACCGGTCAGGAGCTGCTCGTGACGTGCTGCGTGATGGCGGTAACGGGCGACATTTCCTGGCCGATTCCTCGCAGACTTCGATGTAACAGTTCACTCTTCAAGAGAAAAACGATGACGCGTTGTTTCGTTGGAAGACGGGAATGAACCATATTAACCCATTAGTTATACTTACTTGAGTTACTACCATTGCTATAACATTATTGGGTCTCATAGCCTATGACAGCCCGAAGTCCGTGTGTTTATAACGGTGCTGCTGTTGTCTTTCGCCAACCCGAAGCGCCGTGATGGGTGATCGGGACGTGCAGCATCACTTCATGTGCTCGGTTGCATCATCCCGTGGTTCTAATGGCCTTGGAGCTCCTGTCTATTTGAACCAGTCACCGCGGCAGTGCTTTGTTATTATGTCCCGCCTTTTATTTTTGTTGTCGCTTGACGCCTCCGTCATGCCCGGTAATGATCGCTCGATAGTGCTTGGTCGTCGTTTGCCTGCTTTCCATGAGTACGTTCTCAACATTAAACGTACATGATGGGAATGCGCGCACCTGTACACAGTTCGTTTAGCTGTTTAGATGTTTATTACGGAGCGAGCGAAGCGAGCGGAGTCTTACGTAGAATAACGGAAATTTCTGAGTATGAGCGGCCGGCCGGCCGGCCGGCCGGCCGTGCGGACGCTTTTGCGAGGCTTATATCTCAGCAACCACTTGACCGATTTACATGCGGTAATTTTTGTAGGGTAGCTTCATTCCTTCTACCAAGTATTGGACTATTCCCGATGCATGTGGGTGACCCCTTATGCACGTGCCACGTGCAAAACGAAGAGGTGTCACTTTTGTAATTGTTGCAATATCTCGGTAACTACTTGGCCGATTGCGCTGAAAGTTGGCATGTAGGTAGGCACCCACTAGGCACTGCATATCCATGTGCCAGAGTTGGGGTGCTGCTGCACGTGCGCACGTGCAGGGGTCGTTTCCAGATCTCGAGAACGGCTGGACCGATGGCGCTCAAATTTGGTACACGGTTAGGGACCAGTTAGTAGGGTGCCGTGCACAAGTCAGTTGGGACCCATTTTGCACGTGCGCACGTGCAGGGTGCCGCTTCCAGATCTCGAGAACGGCTGGGCCGATTGTGCTCAAATTTGGCACATCGCTAGAAACCGGTCAGTAGGGTGCCGTGCACAAGTCAGTTGGAGGTACCCCCTCGAAATTTCGCACGTGCAAGACTCACCCCCTCGCTCGCTCCGTTAGTCGCCCCAAAAGGCGCTATACTGGTCAGTACAGGTTTACGCATTCTATCTACTATCATCTATTCCTCTATCCTGATCCCTAACCGCCTTTGCACAGTGCACATCCGTTCACTGCTGTCGACCAGCGAGTCTCACCCCTCTCCCTGTCTTCACCGGCAGTGGGCGAGGACCGGCCGGCGTCGGCCACCAGCAAGGAGACCTCCTCGGAAGGCAGCGCTGAGGAGGCCCTCCAGCTGCTGGTGACGCCGCAACAGCCGGAGATACCGACCGAGGAGAAACTGCTTCACCTCGGCTCGGCGCAGGTCAGAACCGCCGTCGGACCTGTGGGGAACTGAGATTTATTGAATAATGTCCATCCCAAATTAATTTGAAACTGGGGTGGGCCCTGATGGACGTCTTTTTCGGAGAGCTTGGCCAATCTTACCAGATTGTAGAATGGGAAACAGAAGTGGCTGCAAAACGTTGGAAATCAACCAAAATGTGAACATGGTCTCCATGGCAAACGGCGTCGTCGGAACTATCCCGGTAACTACAAATGTCATCATTTCACTGTATGCTGCTGTTGACACGTTCCCTTTCCATCTCCACCAGACTCTGGACCGAGATGCGGCCCGCAAGCTGAGCTACCAGGAGATGGAGCGGGTGGAGACGTGCTGCTCCTCGTGCAACTGGCCGCTCATCAGGAACGTGTTCGTCGGCGTCAGCGGCGCCATCTGGCTGGCCCTGCTGGCCGTCTGCGTCGGATGGATCGTCTCAATGCCGCGCAAATGCGACCCCTTCAAGAAGTGGTACCAGGGCGAGGCGATGTACGAGCTGTTCCCCGGATCGTTCCAGGACTCGAACGGAGACGGCGTTGGTGACCTCCCGGGGCTGCAGAGCAGGCTGTACTACGTGAAAAACCTGGGGGCCAGCACGATTGTCCTGACGGGGATCTTCCAGACGGGAGACTTCCCGACAGACATCGACAACGTCATCAACCACAAGCTCGTCGACCCGAAGCTGGGGACCTCCGGTGACTTCCTGAACATGGTTGAAGACGCTCACGCCATGGGTCTTCACGTGATTCTCACCATCGATCCCGTACCCTTACTCACGTCTGACGACTCTGACCTTACCAACCCGATACCGTCGAACGGCACTGGCGCTTCTCATCTCCAGGATGCCACCTACCCCGCCCTGCTGGCCACACTGGAACACTGGCTGCTCCAGGGCGTCGACGGGTTCCTGGTGCGCGGCCTGGAGCGTGCCGTGGACCGTGCTGACGTCGAGAGTCTGGTGCAGGAGGTGCGTAACCTGCTGGACCGCTACACGGTCGGCATGGAGGACCGGATCATGGTGGTGCCGCTGGAGCTGCTGCGGGCCATCCAGGAGCACGACCGGCACAACGCCACTAAGGTGCTGCACCGTGTGGATCTGCTGGACTGTCAGCTGCAGATCGAGGGTCGCTCGCCGCAGCAGATCGTCGACCAGATCACTGAGGTGAGAGGAGGTGGGCGAGGGGGGCTGTGGTGACTGGTGAGGGCGAGGGGGGGCAGGGCAGGTGCTGGAGAGAGGGGAGGGGCGTGGGTGCCGGAGAGAGGAAAATGGATCCGGTAGGAAGATAGAGACATGAGAGGTGGTAGGCTGGGGTGTTTTGAAAGTGGGCCGTGGTACGGGGCAGAGCATATAGAGAGGGCAAGCGCTGGGGAATGCAGATGGGGCCAGTGCCCAGTGAAGGAAAATGGCGCAGCTGGATATGCCCTTGCACGGAGATGAGCTCGTGGAAGAGGCCCGAGGAAAATCGGGCATCGGTGAAGGGAGCTAGCAGGGCCTCTTCTGTATTCTACCTTCGCCGTCAGATAGATTTGCGGCGGGTGGGCTGTCGTTTCTCATTGATAATGTATTTATGGATCCATTACGTTACTGCGGAGGTCCAGCGAACATATCGCGCTCATGCCTCTCCAATGTCCCGTTGAGCGACGTAGTTTTGATCTCATTTCAGTTCAGGACCTTGTTTGACCGAGGCTGCCTCTTTCCTACCGTGACCCGCATGTGATGCCAACGACATATCAAATTTATCTCGCAATCCTCAACTGATGAATATGCTTCATCACTCCATCGCGTCGACCCGATCATTCTGTTCTCCTCTCTACGCTCCACGCCTCGGACCTCATCAGTGGTGTGACCCACTCAGTGACCCTTCTCCGTACCGCCCGCAGATCATGTCGTGGGACGCGTCTGCGGACGTGCCTTGGTTCACGTGGCGCCTCTCATCACCGGAGGACACCCGCCTGTCCCGCCGACTGGGCCGCGGTCACTCGGTGGGGGCCACCCTGCTACAGAGCCTGCTGCCCGGCACGGTCACCGTCCTCTACGGAGATGAAGTCTGCCTCATGGAGACAGAGAGCGAGACCAACCAGGTAGGTTAGCGGAAAGTGCGCGGTCCAGGCGGCGCGGTGTGTGGATAAAAGCTACTAACAGAGAGACTACTAACGACAATAGGCTAACTGTAGTGACTAGATGTGTGCAACGATCTTGACTCGTAGTGCACTGAGCCTCTCGTCCCAATTCCGCCGTTGCATACCCCTCCCCCAGTTTTGAGCGACCCTTTCCGCCTACAGACGGTTCCTGGCCTGGGCATCATGCCGTGGTCGGACGACGTCACATCAGCAGACTTCACCCTGAGCTCGCGACTGCCGTGGCGTCCGCTGCCCGAGGGCCACCACCTGTACAACGCCGACAGCCAACAGAACATATCAGTGCAGTCAGTGAGGGCCGCCCTGCAGACCCACAGCACCGCCGTGCCCATCTACGTCAATGGGATCTACGAGGCGGTGGGCGACTTCAACCCGAAACGGTCGTCGAACCTGATGGTGAGGCGATGTAATGGTCTGTTTGTGGGGTGGGGTAGAGCACAGACCTCCGTACACCGAGGTCTATTGGTGGTGGAAAAGGTGCGGGACAGATCGATCCGTTGGCGGTTGGGTATGTTTCGCTGGCGATGGGAATGCGTTATTTATTTATTAACGGGTGCTGACAATGCATTGCGGGCATTCCTTTCGTAAAGAGCGACGTGGATTGACGCAATTAGTCCGTGTTTGCAAATTGCATCCGCGCCACGTTGCTTCATTCAGGTTTCCACCCTTGCAATGACATGCTGAGTAACAGTTCGCACAGTTCCTGGTGACCCTCTTAGGTCCATCAGACCGGTGTCACTATACGAGTACAGGGTGTAACGAAATTATCCGGACACCTTTCGTCGCGCTGTAATTAAGAAGCAAGACAATCTGATATTTTCCCTTTTGAATGATTATGTAGCCACCTTTCATAAGAGCGCAGGTACAAATTTCTGGAGCATTCCAGCCACTGGGTTTTCCAGCACAGTGGGTTTCATGTAGAGCAGCGCCTTACTAACCTGTGCCCACAGCTGGGCGGCGCTGGTGGCGGGTGTCCCCTCATTCATCTCCTGCTGGACAATAGTCCATAAGATATCGATGGAATTGGGATGGGAACTATTTCCAAGCCATAGCCCGTTAGCCCAGAAGAACAATAGGTCCTTTCGGCATCACGTCTCATACTGCTAGGGACTTGAAGGTGGTGCGCCGCCCCGCATGAAGACTGCGCGACTTGAATCAGGCATCAGTACGCGTTCAGAAACCGAGCCCTCCTGTGCCGTCTATTCAGTGGCTCCAACCAATCGCTAGCCATGATGTTGCACCGGTAATACTCGTCACGGATAGTGGTTTTCTGTGGCGTCATGAACAGCTTGAATATTGCACAGCAGCTGAACATGCTCCAGGTCTGAATTTTGGCCGGATGTTTGACGCCGGCGACGGCCGGCATGTTTGAGCTGCTGGCAGCCCACACATGGCCGATTTGACGGTTCAACGGACATCGCAGCTCGAACAGCTTCCCATCTGACCAGGCCAGCTCATTCATGTCTTCCTTCGACCAGTGGACACGCCCTGGACTGAGGCCAAACGTGGTGGACTGGTTGTTTTCCCGTCAATTTCATTGTCGTTTTCACTTTGAAGAGCAGTAAAACCAAGCTAAAGGGCGGGTAACGGTGAATCATGATGTGGGACCTCTTATTATCTGCCTTGGTAAGAATTCGAGTCAGTTTGCGGATTAATTGGTGCCGTTTCCTTGTCGCTATCCTGACAACTCTCCTCACCACTTGGCAAAGGGCGCCCTTCGCGATCGACGCCGGGCTGAGTCTGCCACCAAGTCCAAGCTTATTACGTCTCAGGCAGATGTGCTACTGGCTGCTGCTGATGTCCAGCTGCTGACAGACCAGCTTCTGGCTCATGCCACCATGCCACCAACACGTAGCCTTACTACGAAACGAGAGACTGAACTCCCTTCTCTCCATTGCCTTAAACGAAAACTATCAAATGAACCCGTCGGCGACTCGACTCTTACTCAGAGCAAGAGTCATTTCGCAAGGTCAGGGTCACTGCTGAGTTGAGAGCAGCTATCAGAGGTATGCATTCATCCAACTTTCCAGCTTCTAACATTAAAAAAGAAACTTTGCGAGCAGATATGGCGAAAAAATAGATGTCCGGATAATTTCGTTACACCCTGTACAACGTGCTGACCTGCGTACCCCCCCCCCCTCTCGATCGTCAGGTGCGTTACCTGGACTCTGCCGTGCTCGTGTTGGACCGTTTCTACCCGCGTCAGCCGCGCTGGTGCGTCATCTTCAACACCTCGCCAGAGTCCTTGACGCGCGACCTTAGCCACATCTTTTTCCGAGGCCTGGTGGTGGCCAGCTCGACGGGCGACAAGGAGGGCTTCATCCGGTTCAAACAGCTGCACCTGGAGCCCGGCGAGGGACTCCTGGTCAAGCTGGACCGCTGAGAGAGCGAGAGAGTCACTGAGAGGTCGCCAGAGAGAAGCAGGGAGACTGGAGAGTGAAGATGGAGAGTCGAGAGGGTCAGCAAAGAGCAGAGAGATGACCAAAAGCTAAAGAGCTAGAGGAAACTGGGAGCTGAGTGCGCCTAGGCATCGGTGCGACACCAAGGTGCGAAAAGCAGGCGCCTTCGTTCATCGTTCCGAGCGTATTCTTTTTCTTTTGTATTCTAGAAGAAATGTGTGGTTGGTGCAATACCAAATCGCCAATCTGTGGTGATAAGGGACGTAGTACTTACTTGTACTTTGATGTGAATTTATAACGTCTAGGACTGTTTTGATACTCATAAGGTCATGCTATTTTTAGCCTTGCAGAGCGTCCAAGCGTGCCTATGTTCGGAAGGTGCAATATATTCTAGTCGGGACATTCACCAGCAGCCGCTGTATTCAATCAATGGGCTGTTTAAAATAAAACAATTTTATTGCGCAGAGCGTCAGTGGACATCAAGAAGAGGATTTTCTCCCTCCAAGTAGTTTGAAGAGTGCTTATAGCGTGAATGTGTGAGAAGAGAACAGTTATACCCCTGGTGTTGCGCACTTCGGTTGAAGTAAACCACTGCTGTCGCGACAATACGGTGTGCTGTGATATTTCAGCCAGTATGCGCGTGTGCGTGCGCCTGTATCTGTATATGTCTGAGGCAGTAACTGGTATTCAGTCCAATGGCACGGAGTTTCTCCCGCAGATTTGTTTACCCATCCCGTCTACAAGAGTCGCTAGATACCGCTGTCTGCCACATTTACCCACCGTGCTTTGTTAGAACACGCAGTTTATTGTTAAATACGGACAATACACAGTACATCAATGGATTATGACACCGGCAGTCCATCGGCGACCTCTTGGGACTTGTGCTTCCTCGCAGTCCTGACTATACTTCTTGTGCTCGTCGCTCTCAAGCACTGGATAACCCAGCAGTCACAACTGCGTGTAAGCAGGGATGAACACCACCAGGGCTCACAACAGAATACACCGACTGCAGGCGGCAGCACAGATCTAGCAGCCAGCGTTTGATGGCACGCCATTGTCACTGTGAATACGCAGGTTTGGTATGGGGCGGCGGAAGACGGATCACACTGAACACCAGAGCTCGTGGTTCACGGAGGGGGCAGCACGTGACACTGCGATCGAGCAGTATCTTCACCCGCTGTTACACGAATCAGTAACGTAATACTTCTCGCTGGAATGACTAAAACGAAAACCTGGGACACCGAGTCAGCCCTATTCAGGTCCGATGGGTAGTGTAACACTTGAGGTAACACAGATCATTTGATTCATAACTTGGCCGGGATAACCGGCTCAACAGCCAATGTGAATTATGCCTCGGATATCACCAACAAATTTAAACATCAACAATGGTTACTACGATGGGTTACTAGTTTGACTCGCATCCCCAGTAATATCAGTAGTTGCAGTATGTTACTTTAATTGACAACTGTTATAAGCAACTTAACCCCATCCAACAACTGTTAAATCTCACTACGAAAATTGATCACGTCCAACATAACACATACAGATCTTAAAACAGATAAGTCAGCCGAAAAGTCACCACTGGCGGTTCCATGGGACGCATGACGAATGCAGAACACTGGCTTACATCCTTTCTGCCCCACATTTCACTGGTGATGGCAGGGTCATAGCTCACTCAAATCACCTCTTCCATCTACCGTTCACAACACATCAGCCTACCAACGTGGACACAGTAGTAAACAGGGTTATACAATAGCGGTAGGCCAGGCCTTAGGAGGGGTGTGTGAAGAAGGGGAGGGGGGGGGGGGGGCAGAGACACCGGCACGGCCCGGTTCCAAGCAACACTGATGGCACCACAGCTGGACACCCACAGCTGGGCAATGAAGGCGGAAGTACTCTCGTTTGATGAATGTGGCGTCTTATGCACAGCTGAGAACATCATAAGGCGAGCATCCAAGGAACAGGACGCCGGCCGCCGAAAGAAGAGCGACATACAGCTAGAATATTAATAACAGACTAACGGAAGTTGATGACCGGAAGGCTGAACGCGACTTCGGAAGCTGATATTACTACTGATGTAAGTTAATCTCACACACACATACTGTTATATCGGCTCTGGCAACTGACACATCAGCAGCCAGTGACGCGTTGTTACACTTTCCCAAATAGTTAGATCAAAACTGGGCGCGCATATCATTCGATTCCCTCAACGACAAACGCTTATAAAATTTACGAAACCGTCCACAACACATCTTCTGGCTGTTATTCATAACAGTCCACCGTTCACGGAAAATCACAAAACCATGTCCACGCAACTCTCCGAAGGAACAGGCAATACGGACGGCGTTCACCGAGGCAACAGCTAACTCGACTCCCAAATCACAGTCTCTGCTCGAGTAACTCGAGTCCCATCAATCCTCGTCCGACCAACAACACGGCACTTTCCCCAGCCGTCAGAAGAGGATGTGCTACAACTATATCACGCGCGCAGCTCGCCGTATTCGCGCTCGAATTTCTCGTACTGCGCCAGTGTCTGAGCGTCGACCGAGCGTCGGATTCGTTTCAGAGAGTCCTTGAAGTCGTTGACATTGATATGCCGTAGTTTCTTGGGATCGATGGACTTGACCTGCTCCTGGTCCATTTCTGCCGAGCAGAAGGATGGAACAGAGCGACTGTTACCGGAGGACAGTGTAGTGTTCGACGTTTATACTATACAAGTCAAGGTTCTGTGTGAATTATGTCCACAGATATCTTGCAACAGCGTACATGATGACAAATGATCAGGCCAATAATGTCATGTCCCTCTCGTTACAGTCAATGTGCCGTCGTTCCACCCTCAACCACCTGGCTTCAATTTATAATAGACCAGCTCACGACCATCCGCCTCTGATGGGTAAAACGTGTACTGGCTTCTCTCCCCACCATCGCTCCCCTCACATGGGTAAAGGGAACACTGGCGTCCCTTTCTCCCTGACTCTCCTCTGACGAGTAAGAAGACACGTATCTCTCCCTCTCTCGCACACCCTCTCACCTCGGATGGGCCCCAGCGCGGCGTCGCGGGCCAGCGCGGCGATGTCGCTAGCCGAGTAGCCGTCTGTGAGTTCCGCCAGCGTCTGGAGGTCGCCCTGCCGCAGCGGTTGGCCGTGGCTGGATAGCAGGCGGCCGAGCAGCGCCTTGCGCGCCTCGCGGTCCGGCAGGGGGATGTAGATCCGCTTCGGGAAGCGGCGTAGGATGGCCTGGTCCAGCTCCTGAGGTCTGTGGCAGACAGCGGAGTCGGCGTCAGAAGAGAGGGGACGCGTCAGTCATTTGATAAGCGGTAAGAGGCATTCTACAGACCCGAAGTGTGGCCATACGTTTCGAGAAGAAAGCCAACACGACGGAGAGCCACATAGTGATGATTGATTCACACAGCGACACCAAAACCACCTCTACCATAGACCGCACTTATAAAAGGAGTAAACACAAGCTACCGACTCTCCCAATCTACCTGTTGGTGGCTCCGAGCACCAGAATCTTGTCCTCGGCGTTGGTGCCCAGTCCGTCGAACTGGCAGAGGAACTCGGTCTTGAGGCGGCGGGACGCGTCGTGTTCGCCCTCGCGCCGCTCCGAGAGCAGCGAATCCAGCTCGTCCATGAAGATGATGGACGGCTGGGGACGCGGGAGAGCGAGTCAGCGGCGGCACAGTGAGTCTTAAACCGAAACGGCGAGGAGGGTGTAATACTTATGGGGCACACAGATAGATGCCGTTGCAAGGACAGCTTGTGTGAACTGCCCAGACAGATAACACAGTACTGAACGTTTGTTCGTTCAGAGGCAAGATGATCTCAGCAAGATCTCAACAATTTTAACCTGCATAAAAGTTAGGAACTATGCATATCGATCTCACAAATCAGGAACACAGCAACAAAACGCCAGTTCGATAGCCATAACTACACAGACTGCCGAACACTCATCCTCTCCCAATCCTCCCTTTTCCCTCAATCTCTCCTCTCCCCGCTGCAGATCAGCTAATCCCCGACAGACCCCCCGGTCCCACCTGCAGCTCTCTGGCGACGGCGAACAGCGCCCGCACCAGCTTCTCGCCCTCGCCGTGCCACTTGCTCGTCAGGCTGGAGGCGCTGATGGAGAAGAACGTCACGGACGCCTCGCTGGCCAGCGCGCGCGCCAGCATCGTCTTGCCGTTACCTGGCGGAGGCATAGGGCATAGTTAGGTCTCAGGAGGGTGTGTCCGAAAGGCAGTGTGAGTGTGCGATATGTTGATAGATCAAAGGGACAATTCTGCGAGGAGTATATATATAGTCTCTGAATCAGTTCACGACAGAGATAGTAAGACATAGCCATTGTGTCTGTTCTAACACAGCTCAGTATAGCAAATCACATTCGCGTCTCTATTAGGTTTCAACTTGGATCCCAACTAAATATATCTGAAAAGGCGCCGCCGAAAGCCTGCAGACAGCTGACCTTCCATATCAGTTTCTTTCCCAACTCAAAACCGCACTCTACAGCTCTCCCCTCCGAGCCGGCCTCTCCCCTCACCCAGTCTCACCTGGCGGTCCGAACAGCAGGAGACCGCGCGCCGGCGCTCTGAGTCCCGTAAACAGCTCGGGGCGGACCGAGGGCAGGATCACCAGCTCCTGGAGCGCCCGCTTCGCCGACTGAGCGGAGACAATCACATTGTTGTCAGAATAGCATACCGCATACATAGCCAAACATGACGCATGAGGTCACGGTGCGCCCTGTCACACACTCAGAGAACCTACATGGGCTCCGTCGAGCCCGGACGTCTAAAAAAATATATTCAACCTGTTTCACAGATATTTAGGCCTAAAAACAGAAACATTCAGGATCCTTTTTGGCTCACGAAAGTCCGGCTGGGACTGCGTAGTTCAAAATCGGCAGTAGCACAGTTTGATCCAGAAGATTGCCCGTATGACGGGCGATAGGGTCCCTCCCTTCATCGAATCAGTGTTCTACAGTTATCACGTCAATAGATTCCATCGCCTCCCGGAAAACTCAATTCCACCTCCCACCCACACTGAGCCGGACGTTGAGCATTTACGACCGACCACATCGCTAAAAATAGTCACCCACTGACTCCCACAACCTGAATTTACACGCCCACTTAGTTGAATGACGAAATACGTACTTTAGCATCGACCATTCCCTAGCTCCCCGCAGATTCCCTCAGTCATTCCCACAGACCGCCTTTAGCTATCTCTCCGGCTCGCCGCATTTCCTGCTCTGCATATCGTCCATTGATTCCCCCGCAAATTCCCCCAGTCTTCCCATTCTTCTCCCTCCTCTCCAGAACTCACCGCATTTCCTGCAATATCATCCAGCGTCACCACCGGTCCGGCGTCAATGATCTCATCCAGGATCAGCTGCGCCAGCTTGGGGTCGACTCCCTTCAGCCCGGCGGTGGAGAGCAGCTTGCGCGCGGACCGAGACGGGGTGCCGGAAGACGAGGTGGCCGGGGATGACAGGCCGCCCGCCTGACGGGAGCGGCAGAGACAGAGTCAGCGTGGTGTAGGCAGACTCGGTCACGGGCGGGCAGTGTGACAAAGCGACGCATGGTACACGAAGATGAAAGTAAACACCATTTGCGGTACCCATCTGAGAATAAGAAAGAAAAAAAACAAGCGAAATTGACGCCAACTTACCAAACTCACGTCGAACTCTCTTGAGGTATTGTGCTGAATGGGTATGTGCCGGGCTTCGCGAAGTGCCTACTAACTAATGGCCTATTTGAGCTCGATGGAGGCATTCAATACTCTCATTATCACTAATAATTTTCCTAACGCACATAGCTACCTTGAATACGCCGCTCTGGATATTGAAACGGTTGTGGAATACAAGGGATGCCAGATAACTTCATGCTTTTTAGCTATAAATGACGAGAGTCGCTAGCGGTCGGACGTTTTCTCTCTGCGCTTCGATGGTTGTTCACAAGTCCGTTTCCCGGTCACCAGCATCCTACTGTATTATCGTGATTGGGATCGGGCGCTGTCTACTACTCTAATATTCTGTTCATTATGTCATAGCCGACAGCACAGGATTACACACATGCAAAATAAAATGTTGATTTATTCGACAACCATCATGGTCCATCTAAGCACTCAAATTATCACTAGAGAAACTTCTAACTAAAACAGTGAAGTGTGTACTATAATCTTACGCCACCAAACGCCTTTAACAGCCCTAAACTATTGCGCCCGTTTCCATAACGAAGTTATCTTAACGCGGCGCATAATTAAATGGCGCGTATGCCTAAAAATTCCTGGCACCAGTACATGGCACTGATACAATGACCTAAAACGAGACAGCAGTTGAAAACCGACGCTGATCTGGACTAACACTGAACTTAACTATCAGCATCGCCTACCTCTCAGCTGAGAATTGAGACAGGTGGACACGTCCTAGCAGCGAATACATGAGGTGGTCCCGCGTTACATGTGAGCACGACAATTTAATCGGCAGCGGAGGGCAGCAGCTGTCCGGCTGGCCCGTTTGGAGGAGACAGAAGCTCCAACGCTACTAATATTTAACACTCGCATCCAACACCTAGACACTTCGTCTAGGAACAGATCACGTCCCTGTGTTACCGTCCATAGTCTGTGCAGCCGTTTACCGGAACAGGTGCACCTTTCCAGAGGAGTTGGCGGCCGCGATGGCCCGCTCGTTCGGGTGAAAGGCGACGGTGGAGCACACCGTCAGTAAGTCGGCTCCCATTAACAGGTGGTGCACGTGGCCACTGATGTCGTACACCTCCACGCGGCGCGGCTGCAGCATCGAGCCCACCACGAACAGCTCGTCGCTGTCGGGCAGCCAGGTGGGCTTGAAGGTGGTCAGCCAGCGCCCCGTCTGGTTATTGTGCCGGATCGTCTGACTGGCGTCCAGTGCGCCGCGGTTGACGCCGTCGTAGATACGGATGAAGTCGTCGGCACAGGGCACCACCAGTCGGTCACCCGAGCGGCGGCTGATGATAGCACTGGCGCACGTGCGTGGCAGAGTCACGCGCTGCAGAGCGCTGCGCGGCCCCTTCACACGGCGGAGGTCCCAGAGACTGACCGTGTTGGGCCGCTCCACCACGGCCAGGCAGTGCTCGCGGCTCGGGTGGACGTTCAGGTACCGCAGGCCGCCGCGGTCGCTCAGCCGCAGCGATGTGGAGTCGGGCGTGCGCAGGTCGCGCTGCACCAGCCGGCCGTCGCTGCGCCCCAGCAGCAGGATGTTCTCGTCCCTGTGCGTGTGGTGGTTGAGGTAGAGATCTGGCTGCGAGTCGGGCGGCGCGTACACCTGGTCGAACTGCTGGCGCTCCAGGTCGAGCGCGCGGCACAGACCGTCGTAGCTGCTGGTGAAGCAGCGCGCGCCGTCCACGGGTGAGAAACTCACGCCCACGATGTGCCCGGTGTGTGCGGACAGGTTGTGTACGCCGAGCCCGCCGCGCGACACGTCCCATAAACCCAGCACGCCGCGCTTGTCACCGGCCGCCAGCACGTGCTTCTGACGCAGGGGAGAGAAGGCCATGGAGACGATACGCTGAGGCGTCACCTTGGCTAACGTGTCCAGGGCGAGGTCGGTCAGGGCCGCCGCGTACGAGCCGCAGGGACCGCCCCCGGAGCGCCCCTGCTCGGCCACTCGGCCGGCGATGTCGGCCAGGCTCTCCGAGATCTCGCCCGGCTCGGACAGGCCCGTGTTGGCGCTCTGTACCGTCTCGGTGCCCAGTTTGAGCGGTCGCTCCTCCGGCGTGGGGGGCCGCGGCGGCAGCTCTATGCCCTGCGGGTCGCGGCCGCTGATCCGCAGACTTCTCCGGCTCGGTGTCAGCGGCTTCGCCGGCTTCACAGCCTTCCTGTAGAACCTGGTTGTATTGGTCTTGCTCTCTGTCACGGTCGGTTTTGCTTCCTCTTTCATTGCATCAATCTTCAACATTTTCAGCATCTCCATCCTTTCCTCAATGTTCTTTCTGATGGATGCCTCATAAGCAGAGACATATTCCGGACCAGGGACTGATGCAAAATTGCCTGCCTTCAGAACAGGCTTTTTGTCCAGCTTATCAGTCACCTTCTGTTTCTTTGAAAGTGGCTCTTCAATCTCATTTTCAATCTCACAAAGATCCTTCTTCGGCTTCGCTTGCAGTCTGGTGCTTCGTCGTCGCTCCATCTTGGTTTACCTTCTTGGGTCCAATGTAGCTTCTGAACTCTATGAAGATGGTCAAATTAGAATTAACTGGGGAGCACTAGTGAATACCTTGATATATAGATATCTACCTACCCAATGCTGAGGAATTCCTATATTCACCTGCCGTCAGGAAACCATGGCAATTAAACCACAACAAATAGGATGCAGAGACTAAAATCAATAGTTAGCATTGCTTATATTTACTTATTTAATCCAATTGTACTGACTGATAAAATTGAAGTAATTTAGTCGAAATTGAAGTAATTGAAGTTGGTAAATGTTGGGCTAACTACTCGCAAATCATGAGCACCAATAATAATTTTGCAAAACACCATGCCACTGACCAAACATAGGAAGAGGACATTTCTCCACAGCAACAAAAGAAAAATATTTGGATTTTGGCAGAAATTTGCTCCTTCTAAATTTCAGAAGACAGTAGACAGTAGGTATTTAACTGAAGAATGAGCTGCAAAAGAGAAATTCATACAAGAGGACAAGGCTTTTCGCTGTTCCAATATGTTGCTGATGCAAAACAAGGTATTCATTAGTGCTGCCCCAAGAAGTCACAAAATAACAAAAAATCCAGTCGATAATCCAAAAGCTCAGACCATAAACAATCGACTCAACGTGCGAAAACCAAACTGTTTGGCCAGCAGCGGCAACAACGTGAACGAGCATGTGGCGCCAAATTTATCTGTTCAACTGAGTCCGTTTTCCTGTTCGCGAGAGGTTACGTAATCGCTTTACAGACGGAACGAAACTACTTTCAGCCACAACGCCTTGGCTACACTTGATAATTGTTTGGTGAAAACTACACGTCCATCAATATTCTATTCCACTTTCTTTACTTAACACTATTATTCAATTAAACCTTCAGAAAATCGTCATATGGATGAAAACCATCGACGATAATCTGAACACAACTGTTGTTCACAAAATTTGTCGCATGTGCGCAGCTTACGCCCTAATCTAATGCTACCAAATCCCTCGCACCTTCAAAATCCTTTACCGGGATGTAAGCGCGATATGCAATGCACTAATATGTTGGTAGTTCCGGGACCCGCATCAACGGACCATGATGCTTGTTAAAAATTAAAACGCGTGCTTCTTTCCTATCACCAGTAGGTGAAATGCCGGTGAAGTCATGCCGAGTGCCTCGCAAGTCGCAACCACCTTTGCATCACCGGAAACCCCTTGGGAAACTCATGATTCGATGCCCAACTTACCTACCTCACGTATCATCGCCATGCTCACAAATACACTCACACGCATTCACCCTAATCATGCGTACACTACACACACACATTCACATAGCCGTGCCTACAGAGCCCGATCGGCCTGGCCTGCTCCGATAGGGGACGTACCCGGTTGGGCGTGCTGCGCGTGGCGGCTGTGCCGGGCGCGGCTGGTCTCCGGCGCGCCGGCACGGAGGACGGGGTGGTCCGACTGGTACCGGTGGACGGGGCGGGACGCCGGCCCGGCCCCGAGTACCCGTACACAGGGGAGATCTTCCGCTCGGCCGCTGCAGGACGTCCGAGGTGGGTTATATCGAGCTGACCGGTTATGGGCTTCGATGTCTCCCGGACGACGAAGATTCTACGTCGTCCGGACTCCGGCCAATACCGTTCGATGTCGGCGGGGACTTGGCTGCGGCTACCGAACGCCATTCGCCGGACGATGTAGTATGTTCGTCGTCGGGAAGACATCGAATCCGGCCTAAATTGAAAGAAAATCTTGCAGCCGATGGAGCATGGATGAGTAAAAAAAAAAAAATGCTGAAGTTACCCAAATCACCAGCAAACTTTGATTTCAAATATGGTGATGAAATGAAACAGCTCATCATATTTCAAACTAACAAAGAATCATAGAGTCAGCCCAACATTTTTCAAACAACATAACAACCGGATTTACGCGCAAAACGGACAGACATAAAGACATAGGTACACGCAAAAGCTACTAAATGAAGGCTGTCATAAAAAGTAAACAAAACATTTACTAATGCTTAGTGACATCGCATCACACTCATTCCCCAGTCCCCAGCAGAGCATTCGTTCAGAGAGGTGAAGGCACGACCAATACAATTCGCCATCACCATTTTCCATTCGTGCCATCCCCACCTACATCGCCCACACCTCGGCCGGTCTCTGGTGGAGCCTCCCCCACACCCACCTTCGGTGCCGGTGCTGGGTTTCCGCCGGCCCTCCCTGATCACGGTGACCGCCGGCGGCTGACCGCTGCCGTGACCGGTCACAGGGTCACCGGTCTGACCAGTGGCCCTCGCGGCGGGCCGGCCGGCGGCCTGGCCCGGGGGACGTGCCGTCGGACCGGGCCGCTGACGAGCCGCCGGCGGTACCACCGAGTCGGCCGCACGCTCCTCCAGACAGGCCATGCGCTCTGCAGACGGTGTGGTCACGTGCCTCAGCATGCACCCTGTGGTCGCCCAGTGCCGGGAACAGTGGCGTCCCGGGACGGATATCCCGTCAGGGGACACCACCGGTTCGTTGAGAATGACCGAAACGGGCAACTACGATAGATAGCGGTGCAAAATAGAGTACACATTTCGCAACGGTGTGGGCAGACGGTATCCAGCCAAAAGTGAGACCACGTAGTGGACTTAAGTCTAAAATAAAAAAAAACATAACATTTGAACAAAGTCAGAAATGTGTTCTTCGTTGGATTCCACGCACTGCAAAAAAAGTCCAAAAGATCGGGAAAGGCAAGGCAGAAGATGATGCAGAGCCGAGCCGGAAGCAAAAAGAATTTGGCTGACTAGAATATGACGTGCCAAAGCCTTGCTGCATCAGTCCCTGTGCAGAAAATAATGGCGGTAAAACTATAACCGTGCTACTGCTCATGCAGTTCGCAGAATCGGTAAAAGTAGCTGTAAGAGCATGAGGAAACTAGAGAAAGTTTAAAGCACAAGCTTGATATAAAGGACTTCCACCACTCACCATCAGGGTCTGAGAGGCAACTTTCTGAAATGGAAATGATAATTGTTTTGAGAAAAATATGAAAAAATGAGTCATTAGAGCGTTCTGCCCAGGCTCCACTACGCGATTTTCCTGTGCGATTTTGCGATATTGCGATCGGACTTCTGATTTTTTTGCGATAATGCGTGAGCAATATTGCGTGACATTTCATGCAATAATGCGATTCCCGCAGTGTGGCTTAGCGCATCCGTTTCCACTAGATGAACATTTTCTGTCATCGCCTAGGGCATCGCATTCTCGCAAAATCGCACGGAAAATCGCGTAGTGGAGCCGGGGCTTTAGAATCGCAATGCCCAGGTCGCAATGGCCGGTTGATGAAAATTGAACTGAGGGAGGACGGTATTGTGAAAGCACTGTTAAGTGTCAAAAGGGATTGTAAGCTCACATTAACACGCGCAGTGGAAGGGTTGCGAGTACTACGCCCAGTGGAAGGGGGGGGCGGATGTCGCCCCCCCCCCCTAAGATCTCAGCTCCCACTGGAGCTAGAAAGACGAAATTTGGAGGGTAGGTGGGGGTCATGGGGAACTCTGTTGTGTGTAAATTTCATGACCCTAGGTCAATATCTTCAAGGTCAAATGAGGTCAAATGTGGTCAAATCTGCCATATTAGCGACTTTTTCGCGTTTACACGCCGATAACTCAAAAAGTTACCGGCCGATTTTCTTTTTTCTTTCACTATACGAAAGAACAAACATTTGTGAGTATGTATGGTGAATTTCTAGATAATCCAACAATAAATATGGCAGTTAGAAGCCTGCTAAGGGTAAGATGTCGCCGGCTGAAGCGGGATCGGCCGACGCGGGAAACGCGGCAATCACAATTTTGTGTTTACACACTCATAACTCAAATTGTTATCGGCCGATTTTCAAAATTCTTTGACCATATGCTCGCCTGTACATTTCTCAGTCTTCTCACCGAATTTGACGCGAATCTAATTTAATCAGCGGTAAGGAGCGCGATGTAAAGACAGAACCGTCCCGCCCCGGCACTGTCTACAATTCAGGCGGCGCGTAACGGCTAACGCCGGCCGCCGCGCCGCCGCGGCGGCAGGATGTTTGACTTTACACCGCTATTACTAGAAAAGTTGTGAACCGATTTTCTTATTTCGTGCACGAGAAGATCCGCAATTCAATTCTGGACAGGTAGCCGAAATTTCACATTAATATTATGTTTGCGGCGCGAGTTATTGGCGAAAAACAGGAGGGGTGGGCGAAATCCGCCCCCCCTTCCACTGCGCGTGTTAAGCATTCATGGCACTGAGGACAGGAATAGTCAACAGTTGAGCGGGTATGTTATATATACAATGCGCCAAGCCACCTTCTTGTAAGGTGTAGTGAAACATTTAAACTCGTGCCAATGGAACGTTCATCAGCTCGTAAGTTCCGACGTGTTGCTCTCGCTCCAGCTCACCTAGGAAGCGCAGCCTGTCGGCGGCCACGGCCAGGTTGGTCTGCATCTTGGTCTGCAGCCGCTGCGCGCGGCGCCGGTCCTCGCCGCGGCCCGAGCAGTCCACGGCGATACCGCGCTCCAGCTCGGCGATCCCCTCCCGGTACAGCCGCACCGCCTCCGGCCGGCTACCTGCCGAGCATCGACAGTCGCCAGACGATTAATGGTGCCCAGTTTGACTGATATCTTGTCAGTGTGGGGGAGAGGGAGGGGGTGACACTCAGTGCAGATTTACTGTGGTATCATGTGAAAATGGCCTGCCCGACCGTCATAAATGACAAAGAAATGCTGGGGTAAGGAGAGGAATGAAAATCTAACCTGGTCAGTGAATGAAAAAAGGGGTCAATGGGTGAAACAAATGGAAAATACCCAAAAAACTATTATGTAACCTATATGCTTATTAGGTACTCAGTACTCACCATGTTTGTTCTCTTCATCAAGTCTCAGGGCCTTGGCTATGAGTTCAAATGCCCTCTTGCTATGCTGTTTTTGCTTGGCCAGAAGTGGATCAGTAAAGCCAGCATTACAATCACTGCTAACACTTGCCATTCTGAAGTCTTGCTAGAATGAACATGCACAAAATATCTTCAATAATTTATTTGAATGACTGGCAATGAAAATGAAGAATATTTCCAATCAACTTGAACAAGCTTCTTTTTCAAGCAATCTCAATTCAACTTGAACTCATGCTGCACTTTACATCACTGTAATGTCTTCATGCTTATGTCCAAGAGCTGATTCAGTTTTTCATTCCCACTCACAGGTACCTAAAACAAGAAATAAATAGCTTATTTTGAATAAATAAAAATATCCATTAGCATCAGACTGCAAAGCAGGACAATACCTGATGAGCCACACCAGCTAGGGTGACAAATCTGTGTGAACCCCACACCAAGACTGGAAATCTGAACCAGCCAGCACCAAACAAATCCTAGAATTTCACCACAAAATGTAGATGCTTGCAGCTTTGGTGTGACAACTGCAGCAAAAAGCTGGCCATTCTCTAACCGACCCACCGTCACCCACCATACCCCTATCCCCCATACATCATTTTCTTGGATGATGCGCCTGCACAAGTCAAAATGGAATGCCTACGATACCAGTACAGAGTTCAAGTTGGTGCCCGAGTCAAGACTGAAACGTTCCATGCACCTTCTGCACCATTAACTTGGAAATTTGTGTGACATGACTGACGGCCTTGGAGTGCCTCTACACTGGCAAGGTACCCACAAGCTTCCCACACTTTGCAGTATGGCATTGCACATAGGCGGCGGAACGGGGAGGGCACCGGGGCACCGTGCCCCCCTTTGATTTTGGCATTTTAACATTGACATTAGCCATATGGGCGTTGCATGGAAGGAATGGGACCAAGAGCCGGCAGTGCCCCCTTAATTGAAGGTGTTCCTCTGCTACTGGCATTGCATTACAATAGCCACTTGACTGGTAGGGTAGGTAGGTATTCCAATTCAAATTCAGCCTTTGAGTATAATATCCCACTGCTGAAGAACAGGGGCTGGTTTGCGCAGGATGGAGTGAAATGTCCAATGAAAAAATGGAGACAAATATTGAAATAGGTAAAAACTCGAGAACCCAATCCACGATTACAATTACAAACTTATAACACACAAAGAAAACATAAATATTCCATATATGGAATAATTCGAAGATATGCTGCGCAATAAACGTCTAAGCGCGGTGATTTGAACTCCATCAAATTACTACCAAATTATAAAGAGATTTACCTACGAGGAAAAAGTATACTAAATTCTATAAAATGAAACATGGGAAATTTGTAGAGCGGTATCAGACAAAGTATGCATAAAATACCTAAATGACATATTTCATTGCAGTTCTGCAAGCTGATTTATTAGACGCGTTTACATAGGGTTTGTTACAAGCTTATATCTCCGTCCGTGATTTTGCAAAAGATGCCAATGGTGCTGAGCAATTTACAAAATGATCCCCTCTAAATATTTGAAGACCACTGCATCGAAATTATCGCCAAATTAACGAGCTAGACTCTAGAGCCTCGTCAAATATGCTATGTAAACCGGGTTTTTGACACGAAACAAAAAGTATTTTGATTAGGGACAAAATAGCGAAAATCCTTCACGCATATAAGGTTTTCCTTCATTTGGAAATGAAATCTTGTCTGACGCGGCTGTTACGTTGACGACGCAGTTGCATATCCACTGCGATTGCGTAGAAGGAAAACAGCTGGACGTCAGCAAGGCCCTATATACGACGTCAGTTGCGGTTGTTGTCGTGTTCGTGGTGGTGTTCCGGCCACACGATGTTAGATTTCTTTGTTATATTCACAAAGGGAGGCATCGTGCTTTGGTGTTTTGAAGGCACCAAAGATTTATTCGCTCCCTCTGTAAATGCATTGGTGAAAAGTGTCCTTTTACAGGTAAATTAATATAGAGATAAAGTGACCTAAAATTGGACCACGTCAACGTAGCCGTATTGTTTCATCCAACTAACATAGATAGAGGCAACGAGTGGCTGTTTTGATACATTTTGGCTTAGAAGTGCTTTTTTCAGGTACCTATCTAATGCTGCATGGATCAATGATTCCAAGGTTCAAGGAGGATCAGTATCTGCATTGTTTGGCTCCCTTGCGTGTTGCGAGTTCTGATGCTAACAAAATGTTGTTTTCCTCACATAGCAAACTTAATAATTGTGCTGATAAATGCTTGCTTTTAACTGCATTCCATCTAGACATCCCACTGCTTGGTAGACATCCCACTGCTTGTTGGGGTGTCTAATGTGTTGCCAACCCATCAATGGCAGGTGCTGATGAATAAGGCACTTGATGTAGGGATAAATAGCTTAGGTACATATTCAATGAAGTTAGGTACTTGTCAACAATGAATGCAATGTCAAAATATTAATGCTTTGACAAAGGATCGAGATGGAATATTTGTAGCAATGAATGAATGACATATTTTAGGGTTTGATCTATAGTTTGCTGATGTATGAATGCTAATCAGACATGCATCAAACTGACTTAGCCTATAACCTGCTCTTTCACAGGAGCGCACAGGCATCTCATCATTTACAGATGCAAGCTGGACACTCAAGTACCGGCTGGACAACGAGTTCGACCTGGTGTTTGTTGTCGGCTTCCAGAAGATATTACAGCTTTCCTATGTGGACAAACTACTGGACGATGTACAGCGGGAGTTCCGGGATAAATTTGAAAACCTGCTCACCGAGCACAGCTATTATCAGGTGCAGTAGTAGACGAAGCAGGTCGTGCTTGACTGGCCTTGAAACCATTGTATTTTGGCACCAGGAAACGTGGGCTGGGCCTAGGTATAGCCCAACCGTTGTGTTTCATTCTGCTGGCTGCACATCGAAACAGGTAGTAGGTACTGGTAGTAGTGATTGGCTTGGTGCAATATGAAAGTGTATCAAGTTTACTGTGGTTGATGGATTGTGAGTTTCCTTGTCATGCAAGGTCGCGGTAAAAAACGGACCAGGAGGAAAGTTGTCCAAACCAGTTTCACGGCTACCACATGCGTCTTTAATTGTTTTCATCACTAATGTTTGCTATTTTTATGCATGGGTTTCAATGAAGCACATGAGCATTATTTCAAACCGTAATGATAATAGCACATGGCCCCATCGCAAACCACCGTCATTATTTCCGACTGTCACCACACTGACACCGTCCCCTCTGACACCGTCCCGTCTCCCCATCGGCAGAGGTTCTCCTTCGACTCGCGGTTCGCGCAGCTGCAGACGGTGGCCGAACAATGGGGACAGCAGAAGGCGGAGGCCCCGCGCACCATGCGCTCCTTCGAGCAGTCGCAAAAGTCGCAGAAGACGGTCGCTTCCATGATTGAGAAAAAGGGAGGCGATAACAAGGAAAATAAGAAGCCGGGTACGTGCGACACTCCGACTGAGTCCCTGACACACAGTACCGGGGCCGGGTGCGGGCTGTTTTGGGTTCAGGTTTGTGTGCGTGTGTATGACTGGAGTTGTGCCCAAATCACCGCAAAACATATCAGGAGTGAATCTGAATGAATGGTTGTCGATAGGCATGCGTGATCCGCCGTTGAATTAGTGTGGATAAACATTGGTGGTGGGAATGCACGATTTTGGCCGATTATTGCCTTAGACCCACTGACCTGCCGGTGCTGGATTTTGATGGAGCTGCTCTCGATTGGGACTGATTGGATCTCTGGTGTTGGGCGAGGTGTTGGTGCCTTGGTGGAGGCAGAATGGTGCTATAGCTGACGGCTGAGCTCCCCTGCTAACACGCCACTGGTGACCGTTTCAGGGAAGGATAAGAAGAAGAAGAAGGGAGCCGAAGGTAATGGTGGCGCCCGCTTTCCGGTTCTTTGGGGTTGGAAGGGGTCCGGAGGCTGAGACCGGTGGCCGGTGCACGTTGTGAATGGAACACACGTGGAACAGCACATGTCGTGACGTCGTTATCGATTAATACATATTGATATCCTATTGTCTACCAATAAGATATTGAAACATGATCGATGATAACTGAATTAGTAACTATGATTGATACTACGTAGCGGTAAATTTCTGGTCCGTTAATAAGTTTCAAATGGCGTCAATAGCGTTCACTGTTCGTTCGCATTATGAGTCTTTCCATATATCTGACCTAATTTATTTCCGGCTGGGTCTGGCAGAGCCGGTGGCGAAGCCGGCTCCCGCCCCGGAGCCGGAGCCGGAGCCGGAGCCTGCCCCGGAGCCGGGGATGTCGCAGGAGGACCAGATCATGGCCAACCGGCGCAAGATGATGATGAAGATGTCCGGCGGAGGCGGCAAGAAGAAGGAGCCCAAATCGTGAGTCCGACCCGGCCCGACCAGTGCTGTGGCGATCGGCTGACATCTTGTCGAGAGATGACTATTTGAAGTCGTTAAAAACTGTGCTTTGTGTATCGTAATCCTTGTTTCTATTCTCTGATCGGTCGTTTTTCAATTCCGCTATCGGAAAATTACGTTGTACGTCTATAATGCTGCAATGTTGTGAAGGCAATGCTACTCTCCTCGCGTGGAGCCCCTTCAAGCTAAATAGCAAAATACACCCATGTTTATTTATACCAGCGCACCTTACTGTATCCCGGCTCAAAACGTTACAACTTTCCCTTCTTCTCTCCGCACCAGGCCCAAGTCGCCGGCGGCCGGCGGTGGCGGCAAGAAGGGCAAAAAAGAGGCGCGCATCTGGGCGCTGTCGGGAGGGCAGAAGGATGCTGCCAGCCTCGATTTCTCCGAGGCTGGCGATGGCAAGGAGTCCAAGCGGCCCGAATTCGTACCTGATACTAGTGTAAGTGGGGCGACGTATTCCAGACACAGTCTTGTATCACTGATCGTGCTTCTATTCTGATCACTGTTTTTATTCTATTTTATTTTTGAGACCCGTTGACAATCACCCGGTGTATCTGTCACAGATTGTAGGAGCCATGGCTGGAAATATCCATAACCCCATGGTCCGGCCTGATCTATATGTCACAGATGGTAGGAGCCATGGCTGGAAATATCCAGGACATGGAAGTGGATGAAGAAAGTGAGCCGGAGGAGCAGCAGTCCGCGGCACCGACCAAACAGAAGTCGGGCGGCGTGTTCGGAATGTTCAAGTGAGTAAGGGGCGGGACTGATGAGTGAATAACTATACGGTACACAGTGGCCATGAACTTTGGAGTCCCCGCTTCTTACTACCCCTAATACCGCTGGAGTACCGTCGTCGGCAGCTTGTCTTCTGACAACTCGGTGTCGATCGCTATACAGCCTCATTAGTGGACAAAAACTACAATCATCATCATTTACATAATTCGTTGTGTGTCTCTTTACAATCACTGACGCTGGCTTAGGGGATACCCTGGGTGCGGAGGAATGTCGATGGCTTCGACTATGCCCTTGCTTTGACATTTATGCCAATGCTGCGTCGTAAGTTAACTCACCCTCCCCCTCTCCGGCGACAGGAGTCTGGTGGGCAGCAAGACCATCACCAAGGAGAACGTGACGCCGGTGCTGAACCAGCTGAAGGACCACCTGGTCGGGAAGAACGTGGCGGCCGACATTGCGGCCAAACTGTGCGACTCGATCGCTCTCAAACTCGAGGGAAAGGTGGGCACAGAACGCGAGACACGAGGCTTCGGAAGCTTTCAGATGGCATGAGCGTTTTTTCGTCTTCGTTTATTTGTATTCCGTTTTATGCTGCGACGTCTTCTTCCGTCCTCACGTGTATTCTTTTTTTTTATTGATCATCCGAAAACCAGTATTGTATCTGAACAACCATTTGATTTCATCCTGTTTAGCCCGTCTATGTTATCAAACCCAGTCGCATGACTCGCCACTGCCAGTGCCTATGCCGGACAAGTTACGATTCTCACCACGCTCACTCCCCCTTCCCCCCTCCGCCAGGTTCTGGGCACGTTCGAGGGCGTGGCGCAGACCGTGCGCCAGACCCTGGTCGACTCACTGGTGCAGATCCTCTCGCCGAAGCGACGTATCGACATTCTGCGTGATGTGATGGCAGCCAAACAGTCGGGCAGGCCGTACGTCGTCGCCTTCTGCGGCGTCAACGGCGTCGGCAAGAGCACCAACCTCGCCAAGGTGCGGAGCGAGGTGGTAGAAGGGCGCGAATCGGTCGATTCTAGGTTTGTCTTTGAAGAAAGAAAGACTGTGTTTTAGACGTTTGATGTGAATTTAGTGTTAACATACGCATGACCGGTACCTATAAGTATAGTAAACTAGGCTAACGGGAATTTATTAGATGCGTCAGAATTTGTTACTCTTCCAATGAAATTTCATCGTAGGGGAGAGTGGGGTAATTTGGCCGTTTTTTTTTTTTAGAAAACGATATAACTTAAAATTGACGACACATTTCTGCATTTTCTCAACGCTGGCAGGTGTCGCATTCATTTTACTTTACTGGACAGTGAACTTGAAATGATAGAGTAATTACTTATATTGAAATTGTGACGTATTACAAAGGTCTGCAAGGCGGCCAAATTGCCCCACTAGCAGGGTTATTTGGCCGGGGGTGTAGGGCAATTTGGCCGGTGTTAGTTTGCGGTCGGGATTTTCTGTTATATTGCGAGTCAGCTTCAGATTCAGCAATGACGTGTGTCCTATGACGCATTTGCCGCATTTTGGAGGTTGGCTCAGGGGTCACAGGGGTCAAAATAGCCAAATTAGCGGCTCTAGATGCGATCACAGTTTTTACGAATAACTTTTGAAGTAATCAAGCTAGGCCCAAACTTTGAGTACCATCGTAATTCTCTCGTCAGTCCGCATCGAAAGATATATGTGTTGACCTTGAGAAGTCAAGGTCAAAGGTTGACCTCAGGTCACGTTGTATCAGGTCGCTTAACCTCAAGGTCATGTGATTTCAAGGTAATCATGCATATCACTTGATGCGCCTTGGCGAGCTGAACAGAATGAGACCATTTGTGCGGCTGTACCATTTTTATGTAAGGATTTATTAGCAAAAAACGTTTGGTAACCTTTGATGACGTCACATGCTCTTACAGTTGACCAATCGGAAGTAAGGCATCAAAGTAGTCAAAGTTGGTCATGAATCATGTCATTTATGGTACAATTGACCATGAAAACTCGGCCGTCCCAGCATAGTGACCATGAGCGCACCGGCCAAGTTGCCCCGCTAGTCCCGGCCAAATTACCCCATATTGCCATTCTGAAAATTTATGTCTATAAAGTCATCACGGCTTTACGGAATTAGATAAAATTGCTCTTGGAACCGCTGAACACCCCCAAGAATGGCGCTATAATGTCTGAATTCGTTTTTAGCCCAAATACTACATGTTATACAACTTTGTAAACAGAAGTAAAAGTTACCATTTTCTAATGAAATTAACGTTTTATTAATTTTGAATAAAACTACGAGGGGCAAAGTTTTGACATTTGTCCTCCAGTTATTTCTACTCATGACAAATGAATAGAGACTAGAGTTATTTCACTCACTTTTATAAGACATCGTACAGGTGGGGGCGGCCAATTTACACCACCGGCCAAATTACCCCACTCTCCCCTACTTATTGTGATCGTCAAGTAGCTCATCTGAACACAGCTGATTTCAAACCATTCAATATTTCGCTCATTTCCATTTGATAAAACATCATTGTAAATCAATTGAGCGAAATTATCTGCCTTCAACGCTCCACCAGTCGCCACTATCCTCCTCTCCCCCCAGATCTGTTTCTGGCTGATCGAGAACGGGTTCAGCGTGCTGATCGCCGCGTGCGACACGTTCCGCGCCGGAGCCGTGGAGCAGCTGCGGACCCACACCCGCCACCTGAACGCGCTGCACCCGCCCGAGAAACACGGCGGCAGGCAGATGGTCCAGCTGTACGAGAAGGGATACGGTTAGTGGACGGAGGGGAGGGGGTGTGGTTAGTGAGGGTGAGGAAAGGACCAGGGAAGGGTGGGGAGGAGGTAATGGTAAGTGATAGTGGGGAGGGTAAGGACAAAAGTCATTGATGGAAGGAGAGGTATGTGCTGAGCGATGAATGGAAGAAGGGGTGTGTTTTGGTCGGTACCGTGTAGGGAAAGGGGTTTGGTCAGTTATGAGTCGGGCACGTGATAGTCCTTACGAAGACCAATTAGTCTGGCAGGCCAGTCAATAGTCACTGGTGCCGACGTTTTCTGCCGTTTGAAGCAACAGTGGCGCCGCACACCTCCAAATTATTTTCTGACGTCAGGGAAGCATGTATTTCCCAGATACAGACCACTTCCTCTGCTCGTTTTCGCCCACCTCTGACCAGCGCTTTGACCACCTCTCCGCCTCCCCCTCTTCAGGCAAGGACCCGGCCGGTATCGCCAACGACGCGATCGGGTTCGCCCGGGAGAGCCGGGTGGACGTGGTGCTGATCGACACGGCCGGTCGGATGCAGGACAACGAGCCGCTCATGCGCGCCCTGGGAAAGGTGAGGATCATTGTGGGGTAGGGGCAGGATAGAGGGGAGTGCAGTTTTGCTTTTTTGACAATCTGATGAGCAATTAAATTTGTAACGTTCCTTTGACGATCTTGTGTTTTGCTCTATTCATTTTAATGAATCATCGTCCAGTAGAAGAGATGGCTGCCTTCCACCCAACTCCGACCGACAACATCTGACCCTCCTCTCCCCTCTCGGCACCTCCAGCTGATCAAGGTGAACGAGCCGGACCTGGTGCTGTTCGTGGGCGAGGCGCTGGTCGGTAACGAGGCCGTCGACCAGCTGGTCAAGTTCAACCAGTCGCTGGCCGACCACTCGGCCTCCGACCGGCCGCACACCATCGACGGCATCGTGCTGACCAAGTTCGACACCATCGACGACAAGGTGGGTAGCGTCGGCATCGGCGGACCGTCAGGCCACGAAATCGTCTCGGCGTAAAGGGTGGCTTCAGTGGTGGCATGAGGGGCTGAAATTAACGGCTTGGTGCTTGGGAAAACTTATTTAGAACGCGTAGCTTGTTGTCTATGCTTGTCGTTTTGTTAGCTGGAGCTGATTGTCCGTTTTAGATGATTACTTTAGTGTAAGGGAAGTGTTTACTGAATCACCGTTTATTCCTAGATGAGCCATGTGTTTATCACTGACCAGTAACCGGGGTTCTCTTACCCGCCTGACCCGCTGTCTGACATGCAACCTATCGCCGCAGGTGGGTGCGGCCATCTCGATGACCTACGTCACCGGTCAGCCGATCGTGTTCGTCGGCTGCGGTCAGACCTACACCGACCTGCGCAACCTGAACGCCCGCGCCGTCGTCACCTCGCTGATGAAGTAGAGGGACACGCCCGCCGGCCGGCTCCGGTCACAACGGACCTCGGATGACCTTGGATGACTCTGGATGACCTCGGCTGACCCTGCGCGACCTTTGCTAACCTCGGCTGACAGGCGGCTTTGGTTGACTGGCAGACCTTCGTTGATCAAAGGAGACCTTCGTTGGCCATGGAGACCTTGATTAAAGCCGGCTGACCCCAGACACGTAGGCTCTGACCCTGCCGCTTTACATTTTCCGCCCGCCTGATTCTGCTTCACGCCACACACATCCAAAGTCTTGGGTTCTATTTAACGCAGTCTATATATCTAACCAGTTACTAGTTAGTCGCCGGTGATTTGTCTACGAAAAGTGCGCATCCTCGAGGTGGTGCGGATCCGTGTAATCACCCAAAGCGGACAAACTGTTCCGTTTCCACTAACCAAGAGTTGTCTATTTTGTCGTTGCTGCCATGCTAAACTCGGCGGCGCCTACCATACGTCTCGAGATTTCGTCCGAGCTGGGACGAAGAGCCGGGAGAGTGGTCCCGTTTTATGTGTTGTTTTAATGTAAATGAATATCTATCATTGTTTGCAAATTATTGAGCGGGTTTCGTATTTTATGACTCGCCCCTGCGAGCTTCGCCATAAGATTCCGTCTATTTTTTGTCCGCTGTGTGATGCTGCTTTTTGTTGTCGTGCGTTTGCTGCCAGCCCACCTTGCATTTTGTTAGCAACATTCTGTGTACCGTTTGGTTCTGTTCGTCTTCATTTTCCTGACAACGTCTGCTAGCTTGGTTTACTTCAAAAATCCCCTTTTTCACCGGAATACTAGCGAAAATCCTTATCAATGGCATCAGTATGTCCAAGCCCACACTCTGAAGCTTTCTGTCACCATTCCGTTACCGTTCCCTCCGTTTTCGTTTCCGTGACCTAAGCGGCGCGCAGCTGTGGTGCCGGGGTTCGAGCCGGCGGCCACTGTGGTGCCGGGGTTCGAGCCGGCGAGCTGGACCGGCTGGTGAGGGGACAATCGTTCAATACACGGCTGAAGGAGCGAGTGGTATGTGAACAGTGACCGAGACTGGGTGGAGGGTGGCCAGTGGGTGGTGTCCTACCCAGGAACTACGCTGGTGTAGGGGTGGCGCGATAGTTGGAGCCGAGTTTGGGTTTCTCTTGGCGTCTGAATTGCGCTTGACATTGGAGTTCTGGCCGTCACATGCGTCTCGGCAAAACGATGGTGTATTACAGTTATCAACAACACATGACTATGATGAAATTAACTCGTACAAGGTGAATGCAATCACAGGATTATGCATGAAATAGTTAGAGAAATCGCAGAAAATCACATCACACTGTGCTAGTTTGGCTGGGCGACTACCAGCAGACTCGCACAATGCAACAGATCCGTCATACCTTAAGCACACTATAGCATCCAACAAACACTTGAACAAAGCTATGTAGATTGTGGTGGAGGCGTCAGACATGCACGCTTCCAACATCGCATTCGACTAGAAAGGCAGCACACAAGACTATCACAGAGGCAATGACAAAATGCTCTCTTAGGATTCTCAAATGTTTCTCTCGCATATCGGACATTGATGTTGCGTCAAAGACGTTCATATTACGACCTCAGTCACAACACAACGGCGTCCGCATTGCTCTCTACGACCTCAAACAGAGACTGGAATATGCCTACTCCATTCGTAAGTGGAGCATCCTGGTAGAAGAGGCATTTGAATGCGCAAGCCACAGATAACAGTGGTACATAACTAGTAACTACTGTTATCTGTGCACAAGCATAAGAGTTATCTTAGCATTGATTTACAATCACAATGCAATTGAGTCATGCTAGCCTATCTCACAGACCACAGTATACGGCAAGCAAAGTGTGTCTGCTCTCTGACTTCGGATTTATCCTGACAAGGTTCGAATTCAGCTCGCCCACTTGGTGTCACCGGGACACAAAAATGACGTCGTTAAACAAACATTTCAATAACGCATCATAACTGCATGCAAAGGTAGCCACTATCAGCTACCTTCCTCATCGCTAGCTGACGACCTCTCCCTGAATGCCCGCCCCCGGTGACCTGAATATCCAAGGTAGGGCTGTAGGTCATTCCATATCCTAACCCCTCCCTGAATACCCGCCCCAGTGACGACCCCAGGTCAGAGGTGGAATTCACACCATACCCATTACCCTGACCAGTGACCCCTCCCATTACACCGTCCCGGTGACCTGACCTCCGGCCTGAGATTGAGGTCACACCAGGTCGAGCAGGTCGTCACACTCGGCCAGCCGCCGTTTGTCCGGCGGCGGCTGCGGTCGGGCTGGTTCGGCCGCCGGCCGCTTGGGACGCACCGGTAGCGGGTCATCCACTGCCGACAGGGGGAGGCCGGGTGTCTGCTGATTATCAAACGGTCATGTCCAGCCAAAATGCGAGAGTAGAAGACTTGTATAACTATAGCAGTTGGATGGGGAATAGATAAGTGCTCCTCCCATGACATAAGGCCTGCCTGCCTGCTAGCATACGTTGCAATAAAGCTACCCACATGAAACAGCTTGAAATCACCGAGTGCCTGATCCAAAAAGTGGCAGATTGAGCAAAACATGCACGTTATGCACAAGCCTGAGCAGCCTAGTTACTATAACGGCTACATGAACCCCGGTCGGCTTGCATGTCAAATCGTGCATTTTTGCGGAACATATCAGCATGGCATAGCAACATCGTTGCATGAACTATCATAATTCAAAAAGAGGATGCCATCAAAAGTAACAATTCGAAGCTTCGAACGGCCGTCGGCACGGTAACGTCGAGATCGTCTTTGATATTGAGATCCATAGCAGAATTTTACGCACGCATGTGATGAATATGTGATAACGCCCTACACGACGAATATATTGATATTTTCCGTCAATGTACCAACAATTTTAGATATCAAATGAAACAGACCGGGAGAATTCAACGATAGTGGTATTAGATCAGAACCATAACTCATCCTGCCACTTGATTTCTCACATTCTTCTTCTAACCATATCCCCCCCCCCTGCCCCTCCAGCCGTCCCACTCACGTGCATCACCGTCGAGCTCCAGACTGTCGTCGGCCGGCGGCGGCGCGGCTCGGGAGGACGGAGCGGCAGCTCGGGAGGACGGCCCGGCCTCCTCCGCCCCCTCTGCGCCGCTGTCCACGTCCGTGTCCTGGTCGTAGGCGTCGCTGTCGCCGCTGCCCGGCCTGTCGGCGTCCTCGTCCGACCGTGTCGGCTCCGGGGACACGGGCACGGCGTCACCGACTCCGCCCGCTGCCGAACGGATGAAGAGTTGTGGAAAATGTCAGACGACAGGGTGGGTGAGTACTGAGTATAAATGTGGTTGTGGGAGCCTGAACGAGCCATAAACCAGAAGAGTGGCAGGCGCAGTGGAGAGGGGCGGCATTTGAGACCGGAGTCTCGAATTAGGAGCAGCTAGGAAAGGGAGAAAGGAAAGAGTGCTAAACAATGTCTATGACCAATGCATATCGTTAACACATTTAAATCTAATGTAGGTACACCGTCATAGTGCGATCTGATGCTGCCAATATCACGCATGGACTGCACACAAACTTAGCGACCTCTGTGTTACAGCTCTATCATCCAGTTAGGAAAGACACAGTCACTAGACAAAACCCCTGTCCCGCGGGAAGCAGTCGGTGGTAGGCGGCCCATCACCCACCTCCATTCATATCCTCTGCGCGCCGCTCATCTAGCAGCTCCTGTAGCGCGCGGATCTTGCACTTCTTCTCGTTCAGCAGCCGGGCAAACTTGGAGATCAGGTCTGCCTCCAGCAGCTCGCGGGCTTTGACCGCTTCCTCGGCCAGCCGGCGCAGCTGGCTGTTCTCTGGGATAATGAATGAATGAATGAATGAATGAATGAATGAATGAATGAATGAATGAATGAATGAATGAATGAATGAATGAATGAATGAATGAATGAATGAATGAATGAATGAATGAATAAATGAATGATGTAAGAACAGATGAATGAATGAATGAATGAATGAATGAATGAACCAATGTATGTATGTATGAACGAATGAATGAATGAATGAATGAATGAATGAATGAATGAATGAATGAATGGTCATGACAATGATGTTAAAATAATATGATTACAATGTCGTGAATGTGGCAGTTACATGCAAATATTTCTCATTGTTGTTCTTTACTTAATCACTTCTTAAACCGTTACATTGTTCTGCTATTATAAGCATTTTACTTCTACTTATTCATACCACTGTCGGTTGATACTTCATAGTGCTAAGACATATGTTTCAAATGTTGCAAATTCAGCAACAACAGCTTGCCAAAAATGTTGCAATCAGTGTGTAACTTTCAGCTGTGCTCTGTAAGCATCTAACCAACTTATGAGCCAGTGCTTCAGTGAAAGCACAAATTCCCCTATAGTTTCTAAGATACCGATTGTGAATTGGCCATTAAAGCTCATTTGAGAAAAATTACCTTTCTCCAGAGTGTCACATTTACTCTGAGCCACCTTTGTTTTGGCTGTCTCCTCCTGCAGGGTTGCAGAGCAGATAGAGAGCATATCTGAGGATGCAGAGGGGTGTGCAACCTGGAATATAGGACAATGATGAAGCATGAGGCAAGTTCTGTTTCAACAATTGAGTAACTAGAGAGGACTCATCATTGATAATGTACTAATACAGGTGCAAATTTTTTGCCTGCACTATAGACCTACAGGATGTGACATGAGAGTGGCTAACAATGTTAGCCTAACAAGTAATTGTTAGCCTAACCATGTAACATGTTAGCCTAACATAATTGATGTTATAGGTACTGAAACAGCAATACACTGTTACATAATACATAAACCTATGGTTATCATCAGTGACTGAATTGAGAAAAATATAGTTTTGAATAAGGGTATTACATACTTACCAAAGTAATTGATCCCAGTTTTAGCCTCATTCCCTCAGCCAGGCTCCTCTTCCATGTTACTTTGGCATCTGCTCTGCTGGTCTCAACACACCAAACAATGCTGGGCTCTCTGGCAAAAAGCAGATTTCTGGCTAAAGCTGCTGGTTCTTCACTTTGCTGAGTTAAGATGGATAACATATCTGGGGTCACCTGAAAAAAACATGAGATATTACCTGACAATAACCAACAGAAATCAATCAGAACTAAATAAAGTAAGCAAGTATCTGATATCTATTGGTAATTTGAGGCAGATTTGATGAGATTTTGTACAGATGGAGACATGCCTGCCTTCAGCATTCCATTAACCAAGCACTACCTACTGAATCTATCAACCATTAAAAAGATAAAAAAGACTAGAGCACTACCCTGTAACTTCTTCAAATATGGTTCAGCAGGTGGCCCCTAGCATAAGGGCCATGATGGGATACAATAACCTTTCTGATGCCATGGACGTTGTGTGGATTTGCAAAATAAGACATACTTCAACCTAAGCTGAACACAATCCCCATTATCAAGCAATCTTGATCCACGTAACATGATGCTCATATTAACCTGTTTTACTTATTTTGGCAAATAATGAACAGGTAATTTGAAGCAAAGTAAAAATGATTTTAGAGGCATGAAAAATAAAAAAGCAATGGCTAATGCATCAATTTGTGCAAAAAATAGGGGTAGTCATTAAGCAGGCATCACACTTATGCGTACACTGAAAGACGGATGACTACCTACCCATCATCAACAGCCTTAGGATCATTGGTGTTTTAAGATTAATTCCAAACAGCATAACTTCAACTAATTGTGATATTTAACTCAGACTTACCTCCGCCTTGTAAGAAAATGCATTATCTTCCGTCGAGTGTAAATAAATGGTTAAAAGACCAGCATCGTTCTCATGAACCAAGTAGTTAAACATTTTACCATCATCACTTGAAATTTTGGATGTGTGCAATTTGCTAAGCTCAGCCGCACTACACATGATGACAGAGTGTGCGATATCGAGCCGAAATATCAAATTATTTATAAATTTCTTATCTATTGTCAGGGGTCTCATGTGTGTGTCGTTCAGAACTGGTTCAGAACGGTTTGTTTATATTTTCGAAGTCTATCCTAGAGAAATCATCAAGTTGATGACGTCATGAATAACAATAAATTTTGATCATTTTTTTATTTCATTGTAAATAAATTTTTGCATTTTCGAGTTATATTTTTTATTGACGATCACAGAGATTATTGCAAGTCCCGCTTTGACAAATATAAGTAATCAAACGCAATAAATTATGCAAGCAGGTTACAGAAATGACTACGTCATTTTTCTGTAACAGTTTTTCATGTAGACTAGCATTACGTTCCAAAAACGTCTCAGCCTCTTCATTTTTGTAGCGTTCAAGCTTTGCTGTTGAAACATGTTATTTCACTGCAGTTGTATAACTGACACATCGAGCCCAGAATTCGAGCATAGATGAAAGAACCTTCATCCATGCTTGGAGCCTAAATGGAAATGTAGGTAACAAGAGGGGCGGCAAGACCATATGGAGGGGCGCTACATAAAGTTAAGGGTGGCAACATTAAACTAAGGGGTTCCTCCGACACTTCGAAGGGCGCCACTGTTTCTTTGAGAGGCGTCACCGCCACTGCAAGGGGCGGCAGTGGCACCATCACTTGAAGGGGCGGCAACATCATTTTGAGGGGCGCCACCGACTCGTTGGCGGGCGACATCATTACATTCAAGGGCACCACTGACACTTGAGAGGGCGGCACCATCACATTCAGGGGCGCCACCGATACCGAAAGGGGCGGCACCATGTCTTCTTGAGGGGCGGCTCCATCACATTTAGAGGCTCCACGGATGCTTAGAGGGGCGGCACCATTACCTTGTGTGGGGCTACTAACAGATTAAGGGGCGGCACTATCACAATGTGTTGCGGTATCATCACTTTTTATGGAAGGCTGTTTCACTTTAATGGGCGGCATTATTATTTTGAAGGGCAGCAGCCTAGCTATGAAGGACAGCGCCTAGCCTGCATGTGTGTGTTGCATCTTAGAGGGGGGGGGGGTGGCAGCTGGGTCCAGGGTCGGCAAACGGCTGTCACTGGGTCGGCATTCTCCGTACCTGGGTAGTGGGACGGCGTCGGCAATTGCCGACCCAGTTAACATGTTAAAATAGGCCCTGAATAATAGGTACATCATTTTTATTTTTACAAAAATGTTACAGGCTATTCGCCGAGAAACATGATGGCTTTTAGAATCAAACATGTCTCTCGAAGGTGCTGAAAATTGGGGAAAAATTATAATCGGACTGCATCAATGGACCGAATACATTAAAAATATGCAAGGCGTAAGCTGGTCATTGGTCAATGACTTACGGCAGTCTCATCATCTTTTCTGAAACTTTCATCTCCCCCATTCACGCGAAAGAAAGCTTTCCAGGCTTTCATTGGCTTCCGGTAGTTCCGCTACAGCAATGGATAGCTTTAAATCGTGCTAAATTTAATGCATGATGTAGGTTCTTAACAGTTCAGTGCCTTGCTTTTTGGGAGAGGAGGAGTAGGCTCTACCGGCCTGAAAGCCCATTGCTCAACGCACATTGCACAGCTATATATGATAATATGGTAGGGTGTGGAGTGTAGACATATTGCACAGAGCGGACCACCAACGATGCGCCGCAACGGCATAGACCGTTTCGGTGGGACGGGAATGTCCCCAATGGGACATCCCACCCTGCCGGTCAAATGGTCACCCTGGAGAGGAAGTGGTCCTGCCCCGAACCTGTCCTCACCGCCGGTTTTCTGTCAGGGGGACTGGGGATCGCAGCCCCTGCCCGGAAAGGAAAGCGTGAGGGGAACGCGGATGGACTTGTCCTGAGGACGGCGAGGATGGATGGTTTGATCTGACTTGGTCTCTGCTGCCAATCCCCTCCCTTTCCGTCTCCCTCCCACCCTCGGCCACCCTCCCCCACCGTTCACGGCAGCCCGCTGCCGCCGTCTGCCGTCCGCCAGCTCTCCGTGCAGCTCAGTCACGGCCGACCCGGTCGGTGGAGCGCCTGCCGCTCCGGCCGCGGTGGGGTGCAGCCGTCGCCGGTCAGTCCGCCCCGCCCGGTCTGTCCACCCGTCCGACAATCCTGTTAGTCGAGCCGGTCGATCGCAGGTGTGTGGATCGAGTGTCGCCGCGCCCGAGTGAGGAAGAGTGACGAGTGAGGAGTGACTGAGTGTCGAGTGGTGGTGGTGGTGCGATGGTTGGAACTCGGGAGATGCGAAGAGATCTGACAGTGGAACAGGATTTTTAGACCATTTGCGCCATTCTGACGGAAAGGTGACTGTTTTTGTGGTGGTGTCGCGGATTTCGAGAGAGTGAGATTGCCGGTGGATTTTGTCTGTCGTTCGGCACCTACTTTCGATGGTCCGTCTAGCCTCTCTGACGTGACCTACGCGGTGCTGAGGCCTGTGTCCTCTCCGTCTGTATTTTCGCGAGGACTCCGAGCGGCGGTGACGCCGGATCCACTCCAGCAGGACCGACAGTGAGGTGGGTAGTCGCCGTCAGCGACCGGTCGGTATTGCGAGTCACCCTGTCCCGCCGGCCGTCTAAGGTCGCTGCCCGGGAGAGGCACGAGCCGGGCGCGGAGCGGTCACAGGTGATCTGACGCCGGTAGCTAACTGACCTAACCGGCGCCTACCTGACCCAAGCTGACCTGTGCTGATCTACTTGCATGACATGGCCTTTCTGCATGGATCTGGTTTAGCCTATCTAAACTGGTTTGTCCGCAGTGTCCCAGACAACCTGACCTGAGCTGTGACAGCTTGATTGAGCTGACTTGGTCACTGGTCAGACTGACCTGACCTGATCTGTGCCAAGCTGAGGTGTCTCCTCGACGTTTCTGAACCGATTCACCCAGCCTGACCTACCACAGTCTCCCCGTCTTGACCAAGTCCGAGGGGTCACCTGACTGGAACAGCCAAACTTTGTCTAATCAATTGTTAGCTGACCCCACCTCAACTCGCATTACGGAACCTAGACTTCTTATCAGCCGACTAGATATAAGTCAACCCACTTCACACAAATAAATTTCGATTCAAACTCTGCTCGCTTGGCTCAACCTTGCCGGCGCTGGACGCTCGTTACCGTTCAATTTGGGCAGTTACAGGGGCAATTCGCTGCCCTGTTGGTCGGCCGGCAATATCCAAAGGTCACCTCCATATACGCTCGGCCTTTGCAGGGGATGTGTGTTGCACCGTTCGGCTCCTTGCTGTGTTTGACTGGGACCACCGCTCCAAGTCTCGAGTTCGCGGTCTCCTTACAAGGCTCTGATTACATTGGTGTTTGGCTTCATGGATATCTTGATTTGATCAATGATCATGCTGTCTGTCCAGGGCCAGAGGGAGGGAGGGAGGGAGGAAGAAAGGAGAGAGAGAGAGAGAGAGAGAGAGAGAGAGAGAGAGAGAGAGAGAGAGAGAGAGAGAGAGAGAGAGAGAGAGAGAGACGCCCGAAGTCTCGAGTTCGCGGTCTCCATACGCCATGCAGACTTGGATTACAGTGGTGTCTGGTTTCATGGGTAATGGGTGTCTTGATCAATGAGCATGCACCTGTCCGAGGCCAGAGGGAGGGGGAGGAGGGAGAGAGAGAGAGGGGGGAAGAGAGAGAAAAAAATAGAACAGAATCCACCGTAACCATTTCCCGGTTACTGCACTTCACGTTAACTTGTAAGCGCGTTGCGTTGCAAGCAACGCTCGAAAGCTATTTACCTACTATCAATCCTTGCAGTTGTTTTCCTACCTTCAACAATGAAAACGTCTTATCAGTAAGCTAGACTCTAATCGCTGGTTAGGCATACAGTTGTATGGAAAAAGTGGAAATGTACTATTGTCATTTGCATAGATGTGATACGTGATATCACACATGACATGCACGTTGCACAATGCACAGCAATGTGAGACGGATAAGGCAGCCCAGTCCATGTGTGTATGGCTGTCGTTTGACAACAGCTGTCTGCCGGAAAACGACAAAATGACAGTCAGGTGACTGGCAGATGACGACAGGATGACGTGCTGATGACGACTTTCTCCGGCGGCTTTCCTCTCTCGAGGAGCGGCTGACGTGATGACGCCACACAGTGACGCCCCCCCCCCCCCCCCCCAGTGCCGTCATTGTCGTCACCCGGTAGTGGCGACTGCCGAAAGGATGGTGACCGGCTGCGGTCTGCGGCACTTTCTATGTAGTTTCTATGCCGTCATGAACGGCGGAAGGTGCGGCCGGTGGTCATTATTTTGTAAGCCGGCGCAAACTTGTGGAGCTGGTGGCTTTGTAGGCTCAAGCCTCAACCGGTGTAATTGTAATGGAAATGGAAAGGGTCAAATATGAATATATTACCTAAATGCTTCAAGCGATAAATAGGGAAAATAATGTTTAGCTTACCTTACAAGACGGCTGTACGAAGTGTTAGATAATTTACGACTGACTGTTACCTAAATATTTCATACAATCTATGGCTCTTCTGAATGCACCGCGAGCATCCTTCCTGCTCCTAGATATTCCGTCCGAAACAAATCCCACATACTCCGTGTCCATCTTACAGTGCACACCCCCGTTCCACCCTTATCTGGTTCATAAACGTCAACGAGCTGTCTCCAAACCGTCTTAGCGCGCAGTCTTCGAGCTGTTTCAGCGCCCTCCGAATTAAAGTGTCGCAATTCCATCGCTATCTGCAGAATATATCTCGAGTTTCACGTCTCTGAGCTGTCTTTGAGGCCTTCACCGAGTTGACGGAGATCCATTTCCTGGTTATACTGGCGCAGTATGCCGCCTCTATCTCCATGAAGACAGCGAGAAGACAGACAGCGACAACGAAACTTTTCACCGCACCGAAAAGTGGGCGATGCCGTTGCTCGCGGCTGAAGTCTGAACGAACTCGCCAGCCTCACAGTGACGGGACTGGCCGAATATCGGCCGTCCATGGTTGTTGATGGTCCGCCCGTATCGGTCGCTGGGTGTCTTTCACTCGCCATCCGTCCGTCGTCCGTCGGGCCGTCGGTCGTCCACTGGCCCTATAGCGTCGGTCGTCTGCCGGTGTCGTCCGTCCACGGGACCCCGTCGTCCGCCGGACCTC